GTTGCCAAGGACGTCTGGCCGCCCACTCGCCAGGCGTTCTGGACGTACTGGGATGACCAAATTGAGCGGTTGAATGTCAGCGGAGACGCGCATCTCTTCGCTAAGGATCTTCTGAATCGGACGGACTTGCCTCGCTGGGTTTCAACCGTGAAGCCTCTGCTGAGGGTTATTACAATTGAGATGCTCCCGCCTCGGATCCGCGAGGCGTATGGGCTCAAGTCGTCAGCTAAGACGAGGGGACTGTATCGCGGGACGATGGGGTTTTCGGTGGCGGTTGTATCCGGCGCTGCCTGCGTCGATAAGAGGGTATCCGTTGAGGTATTATTTGGGGGAGTTGAAGGGGAAGTTGAATGCTTAGCGCTGATGAATCCCCTAATGATTTTTATCAAAATCATTAAGTTAAGGTAGATACACATCTTGTCATATGATCAAATGGTTTCGCCAAAAATCAATAATCAGACAACAAAATGTGCGAACTCGATATTTTACACGACTCTCTTTACCAATTCTGCCCCGAATTACACTTAAAACGACTCAACAGCTTAACGTTGGCTTGCCACGCCTTACTTGACTGTAAAACTCTCACTCTTACCGAACTTGGCCGTAACCTGCCAACCAAAGCGAGAACAAAACATAACATCAAACGAATCGACCGATTGTTAGGTAATCGTCACCTCCACAAAGAGCGACTCGCTGTATACCGTTGGCATGCTAGCTTTATCTGTTCGGGCAATACGATGCCCATTGTACTTGTTGACTGGTCTGATATCCGTGAGCAAAAACGGCTTATGGTATTGCGAGCTTCAGTCGCACTACACGGTCGTTCTGTTACTCTTTATGAGAAAGCGTTCCCGCTTTCAGAGCAATGTTCAAAGAAAGCTCATGACCAATTTCTAGCCGACCTTGCGAGCATTCTACCGAGTAACACCACACCGCTCATTGTCAGTGATGCTGGCTTTAAAGTGCCATGGTATAAATCCGTTGAGAAGCTGGGTTGGTACTGGTTAAGTCGAGTAAGAGGAAAAGTACAATATGCAGACCTAGGAGCGGAAAACTGGAAACCTATCAGCAACTTACATGATATGTCATCTAGTCACTCAAAGACTTTAGGCTATAAGAGGCTGACTAAAAGCAATCCAATCTCATGCCAAATTCTATTGTATAAATCTCGCTCTAAAGGCCGAAAAAATCAGCGCTCGACACGGACTCATTGTCACCACCCGTCACCTAAAATCTACTCAGCGTCGGCAAAGGAGCCATGGATTCTAGCAACTAACTTACCTGTTGAAATTCGAACACCCAAACAACTTGTTAATATCTATTCGAAGCGAATGCAGATTGAAGAAACCTTCCGAGACTTGAAAAGTCCTGCCTACGGACTAGGCCTACGCCATAGCCGAACGAGCAGCTCAGAGCGTTTTGATATCATGCTGCTAATCGCCCTGATGCTTCAACTAACATGTTGGCTTGCGGGCGTTCATGCTCAGAAACAAGGTTGGGACAAGCACTTCCAGGCTAACACAGTCAGAAATCGAAACGTACTCTCAACAGTTCGCTTAGGCATGGAAGTTTTGCGGCATTCTGGCTACACAATAACAAGGGAAGACTTACTCGTGGCTGCAACCCTACTAGCTCAAAATTTATTCACACATGGTTACGCTTTGGGGAAATTATGAGGGGATCTCTCAGTGCTTAGCGTTCTCTTCTTTTATCTAGTATAGTTAGGTTTCTGCTACGTTTTGGTCTCGTACTTAGGAGTAATAGGAGCAACTAAGGCAACTAATTATATCATTATCATCATTTCATTTCACTATACTATGTCCTATAAACTACTACTACTTCTTGCACCTCACGCAGTCTTCATAATAGCCGTCAATAACGCCGATACATCAGTCACCAACTGGCCCTCATTAGCATTGTATTCTCACATAGTATATACTCCGAAGCAACGAAAAATATAGGCTTACCGGCAACGCATCCCCAATCAACTCACTCGTCTCATTTACAAACGACGTCGTCAACAGCAAATCCGCATTATCGATAATATTCTGCAACTTGTCGATATTGCTACTCGACAACAACTTTTGCAGGTTCTGTGGCGTATCGCCCCCAAGTAGCACTGCCGCGCCCTTGACGATCGTTTCCAGGTTGTCGACTGTGTCTTGGCTGAGGAGTTCCTTGAGGTTGTCGATGAGGGAGGGGAGGTCCGATAGTAGGCCTGTGGATTGGGGGCTTCGGGGCCCGACCGGGTTGGGATTGGGGTTGGCAAGGGTTAGAGAGATTGGGGTGGCGAGGAGGAGAAGATGTTTGAGGTTCATTTTGATCTTTGGTTTCGGATTCGGGTTTGTTTTGGGAGGGAGTTAGGCGTTTGGGATTAGATTGAATGGGTTGAGTATGTTGATTATTTGGTAAGGGGTTTAGATAGTTATTGTTGGCTGATTATCCGGACTGTGTGGCTTTATACTATTATACGGGTTATTAGTATTTCTGGTTCTGCTTATCGGGCCTAGAATTGAGAGTGAATGACTAGTACTATGTAGTACTAGTAGTAGATTTCAAGACCCCTTGCCGGGGAAGAGAGAAGGAGGGCGGGACAGAGGTGTGTTTGTTGGCTACCATACCAAGATACCACCTCCGAGGATAATGCGCTGCTAGCTATCGACAATCTGACCTACATGTGAACCGAGCTAGGAAAGGATAAGCTCTTGCGCTTTCATGTCTAGTAACTAGTGTATGCTACGCTACGCCACCGTTTGATATCATCACCCCGCATCTTAGGGCTCACTAAACTGTCGATCCACCCCGGTGTGGCCCAATAGCGGTGTGGTTCCTCCTGCAGGAGCAGGAACCAGTTAATCTATTTCACTGTGGCGGAGGAAAAGCGGGAGAGGGGAACAGGAACATGAGGATGTTCCTCGGACCGAGCTATACATGTGATTTTGCTTGTTCAATTTTAGCGAACGCACGATGGATGCATGGTATCTATCTGGCAGTAGGATGAGGAGGGGTATGAGATACTCGGATCCTGAGCGCTGGGTTGGGTGCCGTGCGTCTAGACTCTAGACGCATGCATGCACCTCGTCTCGTCTCGTGTCGTGGTCGGAGATATGTCTGTATTGGGATAGTGTGAGATCTAAACTGGAATGGATGAAGATTGTTGTTGGGAAGATCTAATCTCGTTTTCCCATCCAGTTCTCGTAGTATGTTTCTGCTGAAAGCTTGTTGTGCTGCGGTTCTGGCCGTTCTTGGCTTGTGCGCTGAGTGCCATGTTTCTTTCATTGGACCAAATTTGAAGTGCTGTTGGCAGGTTTATTTCGATAGTGATTGTCAATGGGAAATTATCTGTGTTTGGAGCTAGATTGATGTTGGAATAAGGATGTTTTAAGTATCTGATTTGAGTGAAAGCTCGTTTTTTGGGCCTCCTGGTGGGTTCTCATTATTGGGTTCGGGCGGCTATGGCTATACTTAGCAACGACGGTTCTGCAAGATGAACGCGATGTGCGGTTTCAGGGTGATCATTAGGATGGTGAAATTGAAATAGTTTCGGAGATAAGTCTGATGCCTTTGTCTTTGACGATCTTGACTTGCCTTAGGTGGTTGATGTTATAAAGGAATAATGAGCATCTTTAGATGGTTTCACGGTTGTCGCGTTGGTGAAACGGCCGTGGTGAGACAACTAGACTGATCTCTAGTATTAATGTTTGAGAATGAGCGCGCTAATAAAACTTTTATTCACCGCTGAAAGTTTGCTGCTGGGGATTCTGAGTGTTGTGGTATTCTGCAGCATCTCTGGAAAGCATCTTGTCGTAAATATTGTTGTCAAAGAGAGCCAACACGACACAATCGGGACAAATCCTTGATTACAGAGCTGCTGAATTAGCAGATACGAGTTTCTAGTAAGGGGAAAATAAGATAAGCAGGTGATCTGCTTATTTTATTGTTTCCTCGATCGGTTATGGGTACAGCCAGCGCTGGTTCACCACGAAGTATTATTCGACCGCTTAAGTATCGAAACATCTCACCCATTTTGTTCCGGCATACAACTTCATCGTGGCCCGACCCTTTCCAAGATATGTTTGTACGGGGGTGGTGTACTGTCCCTTTGAACTCCTTATTCTTGCCGAAGCTTGTGCTGTCGAGGAAGTCAGTAAAAGTCACATCTGGGGTCCTGTAGCCCTCTATCGAGTTGCAACCCTGTTTCGATGTGAAGATTATGAACCACTAAAAATTTCTTTCGTGATCGCCATATTGCAACAATGACATACATTTTCCAAAATGTGAGGGCCGCCCCGAAAATCAGAATTTTCATCTAAGCTCTGTTGCAGGGGGTAGTTTGATTGCAACAGATTAGAAGCTCTGAGGAACAGGGTCTATAACGGTATGCTGATCATCTAAACATTGTATATAACTGCAGGTGCCTCAAAAATGGCTAAACGCATCACATATTTATCGCTGACAGGAATGGTGTGGAGCTCCTATTTGGTTTTAAAACTCCGACTTGACGCAATTTCAACTTGCCCTCTTGCCTCTGAGGAGGTCGATGTTCCGAGTTTCAAGCTTATTCTCGCTCACTGTACATGAGGCGACACTACTATCCCCTAGTTCATCTTGATCATCTGTATTTTAAAATAGGGAGTTTTGCTTGTCTTGCCACCTTATGGGCGCCATGATATGACATAGGGCAGACTTTCTGTCATTAGGTGATTGGAGACTGAACCATTTCGTGCTGTGCATGTGAATGAATGTGTCTTTCTCTTTATTTGCAACGAGAACAATCTGTGCTGTCTCGCTCGTGGCGTTTATATATTCAGCGTAGTCCACTCTGAACCTAAAGTGGACGAAACGCAAGAATGTATTTGTCCCGGCAATAAGAAATACACTAGAGCGCAAATGGGTAAATGTAAAATTGCCATTTAACCAGCAGTGTGAAAGCCAGTGCTTACTCTTGCTCCTGGAACTTTTGGTTTGCTTTTCATGTCACAATTGCCTCACCGAGATATTGGGCCAGCGTCCCTTTTGAAACTATCGGCTGGTATTCTCCCATTCGCTCATCGATATGGATAAATTTGAAAGCTCTTTTGGCTTCAAGAAAGGCCAAGGTTGGCAGACCCATGCCCCAGCCATGAACTTGGCGATCCATCCAACACAACCCACCGTCATCTTCAGCAGTGAAATTATACATGCCAGGAACCTGGACGGTGGTCTTCTTGCGCTCAACTCGCACTCGAATCTCTCCTTGGCTGTTAGGCTCTTGAAGGAGGCAAAGGTTCAAGGCAAAGTATAGATAGCTGACAAGCAAATGGACCGTGACTTCCTCGGGCTTACTTCACCGTTCGTCGTGTTCGTCCTCCTCAACGTCATTTGGATCAATCTCGTACTCAGATGAAGAATGTCCCATGGGAGAGGAGGATCATACTATAGCCGCCGCAGAATCTACATATCCTTCTCTGTGCGGCGCCTGTCTTTCGCGCTGAGGGTATGCTTTTGCTGCGCTCCCTTCCGCACGCGAAGCACGTGCGAGGGCAACCCAGAAAAACCCCCCTGGTAGTCGTAAAAGCTGAGAGGCTGTGCTTTTCGAAATTGCAAGCTGGCAGGCCGCAGTCAGGGTTTCTATCCAGTGATGGTCCGGCTCGTATGGATAAACGTCCGGAGTACTATGGCAGATGGAGCAACTCTCATGCTCAGGCGCAATAATCTGAAGAAAGGCTTTTTGACGAGGTAAGTAGTCGAAAGGCGAGCAAGTATCGTACTGTCCGTCTACTAGCAGAGCTATTCCGTTCCCATGGTTCGAGCTGTGCAGCCACTTGCAAACCCCCATACTTCGCGAAGAGCCGCCCACACTCGCTGCGACTTTGAGCTTCAAAAATACCGTGAGCCATTTGCCGTTATGATCCATAGAAGGACTGACTTACCGGCTCTCGACCAAGCAAGGCCTGCTGAATGTGCTAATTTTAAGAAACATTAACCCTCACTGGTTCTACAGTGTCTATGCACATGACCTCGTGACGTTTGACTTGGCTTCCAAACGCATTTCCTTTCATTCCTGACGTGTCATATTTCCTTCAACTTTGGCACTACTCGCAAGCGGCCAGCACAGCCTAGAAACATCTGGGACTTACAATGCAATAACGCTACGAGATGCCAGCTAGACTCCAGCGCAACGCCACTGATGATCATCGATGCCCTTCTGTACAGCCTCGCGGTCACTTCAGGCCGCAACTAACGATAAGATGGTTAACCGAGCCTAATTCGATTGAATCAAATTTACGCGCTAACAATCGAGACCGTCTATATGTCCCTCCAGTAGCCTGGACTTTGAGACATCTGCGGCTCTTAGGTTGCGGGTTCACCCTGCAGACAAGCCAGAGGAAGGAGCGCCCACACTCGCAAGTTGTGTTATCGGATTCCCCCGTTCGCCATCTCCCAAAGCCAAATATGCCTTCAGACCTTCGTCGTGCGATGCTCCAATTTGGAGGGCGAAGGACGTTGGAGGTCAAGAAATCAGCTATCAAAAAAATACTTGGCGCATGTGATTTCTGTCCTCTTAGGCAGTTTACTTGCATGCCGACCCTCGATCGAAATCGCTGACAGCCACAGCTCTGAATTTTTGTCTTTTTACTTCCGCCGGCAGTCTGTCGCGAGTATATGGACAGAGGGCGTATTCTCCCGCAATTCCACCGGCCCATCCCTCGCCTACGTCACGTTCGATGGGATACAGTCCCGTCGGAGCAAGTACGTACACAACTCACCGGGGAAGGGATTCAACGAGCCCGTGTTTAGGACTTGTGATAAGAAGCTACGGTCTCTTCAGCCAGCAAATACCATCGAAGATCCATATATTATGGGAATCCTAATCGCACTTGCCCAAGAGCAGTGGCACAGGCAGAGTAATGAGCAGCACGAGGAAGAAGCTGCCTGGAACACACAATTTCCACGTCCCCCAGTTGCGGCGCAGACCGAAGACCTCATGACTGTGGTCAGTGTTTCGGGGTATGTAACACATCACACGAGTACTTCATCACGGCTTGCTGAAGAATTTGAAGGTCGTTGTCCTTGCCACTTCTGGAGTGAAAGACGATTATCTATACGTATACACTGCTTCTATCTCTGTGGCATTTCTTAGGAAATTCGACGAACCGTGGCGCTTTTCGCCGAGCTCTCCAGTTGTGTCAGGATACTATCCTATCCCTCTTAGATCCCCAATAAAGTCGTTGAACAAGCTGCACCGAGTAATCTGTGCCGAGTCATGTCGCTTTTGTGCCGGCGATAGCCCAGGAGCTCTTGGCTGAGCTTCTGGAAAATTGAAATTAGTCCTGCTACCTTTTTTGGGACGCGAGAGATAAAAGAATTATTAGCCCGTCAAGGATACTTCCACATGCCTGACGATGCCTAAGGGCCCAAAAAGGCTGAACTCGAGATACAATCAGGACACTGGTGTCTGTTCATGCTCGAACGATTGGAAAACCTAGGAGTTCTTTTAGAACGTCTTGTCTCTCCAGGGATACATTTAGAGTGCGTACGGTTGGGCCCGACAGTGGGAAGCTAAACTTGACTTCGTTCAATCGTCGCGAGTTGCATCCATCCCTGCTTCCCTCCATGCTCCCCCGACATCATCACAAGGGATAATCATAAAGCTCGTTGATTAACGACCCGAATACTGCAAGAAGGGCTTGAGAAGCTCAAGTCTGGCGAAGGTGAGGAGATGCTAATGCATTGACAGTAACGTGACGTCGGTGATGTCCACATATCAGAGCCAATAATACTATACTACGGGGTACTAGTATACACCAAAGTGACCGCAATTCTCGACGACTTAGAATTACTTGGTAGGAGGCCTGGTGGACAGCCATTGTTGCAAGTCCTATATCCCTATTACTACGGTTGCTGTTTGTCTACCTGATAAACCCATCGGAATCGAATGTCACGGCTTCTAGTAAAAGTTGCATAGGAACGCATTGAAATACTTCCGAAGTTCTATAGAACCCAAAGTAGCGGTCAAATATGCAGTAGGAATAAACAACCTCGATATTATCAATATGTACAGCGAACGGTCATCATCATGCAACGCTCTATGGCAAGAATCAAAAACGACTGGCGATTCCTACTTGTCAAGTGATACAATGGCACTCCGAAACTCCAGATAACCAGTGATGACATTGACGAGCAAGGAATAAGGATATTATATAGCTATAGCATAATGCTAGTTCAGCTGGACGTAGTTTGCTGGAATACAAGTTAGCGAGGTATGTTTTGATAATGACAGCCGGTCATGCTCACCAGGAAATTGTCCCTCTCGTCCGTCAACACGGCCGCTCCACCACTCATTCTGGTTATCCGTTCGCTGTGTGATCTCGATGACATCCCCGGCGGAGAAGCTGAGGTCGCCGTGCGCCTGGGCCTCATAGTCATATAGTGCCGTGACGGTTTCGACGGGAGCGCTGAAACGAGCGGGCTTCGGTTTCGGCGGCGGAGGGGCGGGCTTGCTCTTCGCTGCGGCGGTAAAGCTGCTGCCTGCAGTGGCAGAGTAAGGCGGCGGGGGGTTTTCGACAACATCGGGATCTCGCTGACGTGAGGCGTAACCACTCTTGCCCTCTTGCGCCAGTTTGTCCTTGGGGCCAAGCTTCGAGCCGGGTTTGCGCCCGCCCGTGGCTTTAAAGTGGACGATGCTGAGCTCCTCGGCGCGCTCCTTGACGTCTCCGCGCTTGTTCTCGAACGCTTCCTCGATGTCCAGATTCAGGTCGAAGTAACCGATATTGATGCCCTGCATTCGCTCGTGTAGTGTGTAGAAGACGTTCAGTTGCATGTAGTAGAAGGACTGGAACAGAGGACGGATGAATTCAGCCTCCAGAGCGAACAGCTTGGGCAACTCGTCCTTGAGCAGGTCGTTGTAGTAGTTGTAGTCCTGAGTCGCTTGTTCCACATCATTTTCTGCCTTGTAAAGCGCCTTCTCATCCTTCAGTGACTTGTCCTTTTTATCCTGAAGCTTCTTGAGCGAGTTCTTGTGGCGGTCGTAGTCCAGTTTCTTGTGGTCTCGCTTCACCGCGACTTTGCGGATCACCTTGATTACCTCCAATAGCTGCTGTGCAGGGCTGATGACGCGGGTGTCGATCATCTCTAACTCGGGCACCAGCGATTCTTGGAGGTCCCGCACAATCGCCTCGTATTCCTCACATGCCCGGATACCCTCCGGATTACCCTCGATTGTATAGGAGCTAGGGTCGGAAGCACGACCGGAGATGGGTTTGTAGAGTTCCGTCATCGCTTTGGAGAATCCAATCTGGTGGTTCAACATGCCTGGAAAAATACGCCAGTCAGCAAAAGGAGGGGTAGCTGCGAGACGGGGGATCCGTGTGTACCGTTGATGGCATCGAAGTACTTCTTGGACTCATCGTGCAGCTTCTTGGTCTCCTTTTCGAGTTCTTGAAATCGTCGCTCAGCGTCCAGGTAGACAGGGTCCTTGGTATGCTCGCCAATATTGAACTTGGCCTTGAACTGTTGTGGAGCGCGGACAATGCTCTTCTGAAAGCCCTTCAAACTCATCTCTGATTGGCCGCAGGTCGCCCAACGCCCGCGGAAGGATTCGGTTTAGAAGGGCAGGAAGGTGGTGGTCGTAGGAAGTGGTGTAAAGGGGTCGGGAGAGGGTCGCGAAGGCGTAGGAGCGTCGAGAAAGGTGAATAACCAGAGCAGATCAAACCAGGGATCTCGTGGTAGGCCAGAAGTGGGGAGGAAGTGCCTTTTGTTCGCGGCAAACGGACTAGTGAGGACTAAAGAATACTGGCTGCCGGTGACGGTTAGACTGCCATGATTCGTGGCTGAGCTATGACATAATGCTCTGCCTGCTCACCGTGGCTGAGTTGTGGCTCCCCCCTTTCTTGGTGGTGTGTTTTGGTGTTGGTTCAGTTGGGTACCTGGCCAAATGATGGTAAGGCTGCAGAGGGGAAAAGATAGAATATGGAGTAGCCTGGAGACTATTATAGTAAATGAGCAAAAAACTATAAGATCAGCCCCTCTCCAGGCTCCAGAATCTTTCCTTTCTCTCTCCAGACCCCTGAAGAACTTCGATCCCAGATGTGGCTCAGGGTCGGATCGTAGGGCCGATTATTCAGCCAGCCGGGGGGGCTCGGAGTGTCGGAAGCAGCAAAGATTCTCCATGGCTTTTTGCGGTGTTTGTTAGGCACCAGAGTATCCGGTTGCACTAGTAGCCACTATCGTCAACACAGACCTCGACGCCCAAGAATTTCCCTCGTTTTCCGCCGGTTTCTGCCACATCAATGGTCCTGTGCCCCCGTGATCGGTCGAGTGTTGTTTTGGTCATGATGCTATTTTCTCAGCTTGTCAGCTGTCAGCCGTCAGCAGCCAGTGGCCAGCACATAAGGCTGGTCTTCCCAGTGTGGGAAATCCGGGGAAATTCACCGATGACGATGTTGTCGGCCAGCAACATAAACGGGAATAAGTGGTTGTCTCACAATGAATGTGGAATGTCTGCCCCCATAGTTGTGCCTGGATTTGGCCATCCCTTTGAGGATCTTTCGTCTGTTCCATCCGGACATATGTCTTCTTACATTCATTCGCATCGAGCTATGGGAGCCAAGCATAAGATTCCTGAAAATATAGACTCATCTTAGACCCGTCTTACGTTTTACCTCACGACATAAGCCAACTTACTAACTAACATGACTTCTCCGTAGTCGCTGTTGGTCTCCGCGGGAAGCTGGCGAACTCCCCTTATCAAGGGCCCAAGTAACACCGAGACCGAGCCCCGATTGGGAAATTGCCGGACTATCTGATAAATCCGATCGGGCCTAGCGGGCTCGGCAATGATATAACCGGATCCAAACTTTTTCCCACCGGGCGAACTCGTCGTCCCCCTGCTGTCATCTTCCCTCGGTCATCAACTGTTCATCCATCCGTGTATGGTACAGTTGCAGATTTCATTTGCATCATGTCTACTATGACCCCTACTGCCTTGAGACAGGCATCTCGGGCTTATGCCCGTCGGCTTTTGTCGACTCCGCATGGCTCTCTGACAGCATCCCTGCCCCGGCGGGTGGTCGCCACCAGCGCTGCTATCCCCAGACGGTCGTACGTCTCCGAAACCAAGGCTGGAAATGCCCAGGTTACGGTGGACACGGCCATCAAGCAGGACCAGAAGGCTTTTGTGAACCAGACTGGACTTAATGCGCAGAAGGTCAATCTTCCTGGTTCGGGCATCTCCGGCGATGCGTCCATGAGCCCTACCGCCGGCATTCTGAAGCAGGCGACTGTTATGGACCAGGGCACCCGCCCGGTCTACCTCGACATGCAGGCGACGACCCCGACGGATCCCCGTGTCCTTGACGCCATGCTTCCCTACCTTACCGGCATCTACGGAAACCCCCATTCCAGAACTCACGCCTACGGCTGGGAGTCCGAGAAAGCCGTTGAACAAGCCAGAGAACACGTCGCCAAGCTTATCGGCGCCGACCCCAAGGAAATCATCTTCACCAGCGGCGCTACTGAGAGCAACAACATGAGCATCAAGGGTGTCGCCAGATTCTTCGGTCGCTCTGGCAAGAAGAAGCACATCATCACCACCCAGACCGAGCACAAGTGTGTCTTGGACAGCTGCAGGCACTTGCAAGACGAGGGATTCGATGTGACATACCTGCCCGTGCAGAGCAATGGATTGATCCGCATGGAAGAATTGGAGGCGGCCATTCGTCCCGACACTGCCCTGGTCAGTATCATGGCCGTCAACAATGAGATTGGTGTCATTCAACCCATGGAGGAGATCGGAAAGCTTTGCCGCTCGAAGAAGATCTTCTTCCACACCGATGGTGCCCAGGCCGTGGGCAAGATTCCGTTGGATGTCAACAAGCTCAACATCGATTTGATGTCGATTTCCAGCCACAAGATCTATGGCCCTAAGGGTATGGGTGCATGCTATGTTCGCCGTAGGCCCAGAGTTCGTCTCGAGCCTATCATTTCCGGAGGTGGACAGGAGAGAGGTCTCCGCAGTGGCACCATTGCCCCCCACCTCGTAGTCGGATTTGGCGAGGCTTGCCGTATTGCATACGAGGACATGGAGGTACGTTCCACTTTTTTTCTTTTAACCTCGAATTTGCTCTCAGTCAGGATGTTTCCGCGATGATTATAAGCTTTAATATGTATCGATTAACTGAGGCGCCATGGGGGTAGCGACACGCTTTGCGTGTCTCCATGGTGCTTTGACGACCGTAGCAGGGGTGATGAGTCGGGCTGCTGCATTTGCTTGTTGCGAGACAGTGAAGTCGATGAGAAAGTAGCTGACCAATATGCACAGTATGACTCCAAGCACATCGCAAGGCTGTCGAAGCGCCTGAGCGACGGACTTTTGGCCATGGAGCACACCACGCTCAACGGAGATCCTGACCGCCACTACCCCGGTTGCGTTAACATCTCCTTTGCCTACATTGAAGGCGAGTCGCTTCTGATGGCGCTGAAGGACATTGCCCTCTCATCCGGCAGTGCCTGCACGTCTGCCTCCTTGGAACCCAGCTACGTCCTGCGGGCTCTGGGCAGCAGCGATGAGAGTGCCCACAGCAGTATCCGGTTCGGTATCGGCCGGTTCACGACCGACAGTGAGATTGACTACGTGCTCAAGGCGGTGCAAGACCGCGTCCACTTCCTGCGGGAACTGAGCCCGCTGTGGGAGATGGTTCAGGAGGGTATCGATTTGAACTCGATTGAATGGAGCCAGCACTAAAAACTTTCTCTTTCTGTGTTAAAGACTGACTGCGAGGGCGGTTATATGGTCGTATACCAGGCGCATACTTGTTGTTTCTTTTCCAGATATCAGCGGTGGGATGGCGTTCATATAGTGTGTAACATTATAGGATTGATGACGATCTGTCCAGTCTGTAAAGAAAATGGATATTAATGACCCATGATTTCGATTGATCTAGAGAGATGAGTATGTAGACAGAAGCTTCATGGAAACCGAATGAATAGTATTGGCGGTCCGATGACCTTGGTTTGGTTTTTGAGCGACCTGTACCTATAGTACTCAGTACGTCATGTATATATGGGACCACGATTATGCTCCCAAGGCCTTGAGTCCTGTTGTGATGTGCTTGGAGGGGAGACTGTCGAGAATAGATTAGTACTGCTGATCAAGCACTGGCATCCCGTGACTCCTTTCAGTGTTTGCTGACTCACGAAGGAGGCACCAATTCGAGCAAGCTGCAGGTGATGTGTGATTGGCTGTGCAGGAGCAACATCACGTGATTAACGTTTGACGCGGAGAACTCCCGGCGCCGAGGTAATCACGTCTTCAGAGGCCATCCATTCCGTCTGGGAGAAAGAAAAAGAAGACGGGAATTCTCCGGTGGACGAACCATGAACGAAAAGACAATCATGCAGATCATTGCTGTCCAACCAGCGAGGTCGGAAGTCAAAATAAGATGGCAGCTCCGCACGGGGCCGACCATCTCACCGCAGACCCGAACGGGGTGGCGTGGGTGGGAGCGAATACGCCCCCCAGCTCGCTTAACTGCCCGATTTCGCACTCGGCCTCCCCTCCCACGCAGTCCCGGTTCATTCTCTAGCACTCAGCCTACTGGAATCCGGTGGACACCCCTTTCGCTCGCACCCAGTCCTCCCGCTGGCGCTGTCCAAGGGCCTCATCTACTCCAGATGCGCTGAGCCATCGACTTTACCATGGGAACAGCTTCGCCTCCCTTCTCCGTCTCTGGTGATATGACGGATATCATCAACCAAGATCCCCAACAATAATACTGTGTCTGAGCCCGCCATCTTCCTGGCCACTGCCTCTTCCTCCAGAGGCAAATCTTCGCCTCTGCTCTCCCGTCTGGCCTGGCTTAGTTGGTTCCGGCCCACTTGACTTCTGGTCAACTGTCCATCCACGGACTAGTCGACTGTCCTACCCTTCACCATGGGTACAGAATATACTACCTCCACGACCGCTGGCTCTACCCCTGTTTCGTGTCGGTCGACGGTTTCCGGGTGACACAATCGCCGTTATTGCGGAATGACTGATCCTGGGTCGCCAGGCTGATTAATTCTGTCGTCCGGCTATTCGGTCCTCGCGGCTTTCCTGGGAAAAGTCCTGGTGCCAAAACTGTCGCTGATTATTTAACTTCGGGAGAGGACCATTGTTACGATGATCTTAGTTTGAGCAAATTTTCCTTTCCCTTTCTTTTACCTTTCCCTCCCTCATCTCGCCATCTTTGTGCTCAAATCTATCCGGTTGTTCCCGTGACCTTCACAAACCTCACTTTTTTAACAACTACCAGACCTGGAGCTGCCATTTGTGCCTGGTCCCCTCTTCTGAGCCTTGCTCATCTTGCTGTGACCTGGGTCAGATCAACCGAAGCCTTGATTTCCTGACTGCATCGCAGTTGTGAGGCGTCCGTAACAGGCCCGACACGACACCTACTTCTGTTTGTGTCCGATCTTGTCAGCTTTTACTTGGTCGGTTGGGATCTCGCCTGCTTTGTCGCAGTGTGTGCGTCACACGACTGTTGCTTCACTAGAGATTGTCCGGACTCACGTCCGGGCACTGGAACCTCTCCTTCCTCCGAGCTTCCATATTATTCCGCTCGACGTCAAGTTCCGGACAATCAGCGAACTTTAAGCGACTGCCCTCACTGTGAGCCCACTCGCACGTGAGCATCTAGTACATTAATACTAGGCGTCGTCGCTGGCTCCTTGGGCGTTCCCATTCACCCCGACTCGTATACAGTGTCGTTTAGGCTTCTCTGAGCCGTCTCATCATCATGCTTCCTCCGATTCCAGCATTGGCGGACTACGGGATCTCGGCAGACCATGGCTTCCTCCCTCCAGAGCCACCCCTTGAGATCTTGCCAGACCCCTATTATGCCAAGTGGGAGTGGATCGTTTCCAACCTGCAGGCACTCTTGACTAGCCGGAGGATCCGGGAGGTGGTCGATCATATGTCCAAGCTGTCTACATCATATCTTCAGTCGGAGAACGAGTGGCGCAGGGCCTACGTCGTACTGGTATTTATGCTGCATGGGTATGTATGGGGGGGAAGCAAGCCGGCAGAGGTAGGTGACACAAAGCTACGAAGTAGTTCCTGAGCTAATATTGGTGACCAGAAAATCCCGCCTCAGCTGACCGTCCCACTATTCGACGTCTGCGAGCACCTGGGTCTGCCGCCCGTGGCCACTTATGCAGGGGTGTGTCTGTGGAACTATAAGCCTATTTTTCCGGAGGAATCGATCGATGATCTACGTAATCTCGACACCATCAACACATTTACAGGGTCATTGGATGAGAAGTGGTTTTACCTGGTCTCCGTGGCCATTGAAGCTCGTGGAGCACCCTCGATCCCGCTGGTGCTGCAAGCAATTGCGGCGGCCCGGGCTGGAAACAGCCTGGTAGTCACCGAATGTCTGCAGCGACTTGCTGAGGTGCTGGACGAGGTAGGGTCGCTGCTGGAGCGCATGTACGAGCACTGCGATCCGTATGTGTTCTACCACCGCATCCGACCCTATCTGGCTGGGAGCAAGAACATGGCTGATGCTGGCCTCCCGCATGGTCTATTATATGACTATGGAAACGGACAGCCCGAGTATCGGCAGTATGGCGGCGGTAGCAATGCCCAGAGCTCACTGATCCAGTTCTTCGACATCGCACTGGGCATCGAGCACCGTCCGACCGGGGAGACGCGTCCTAGCAGCACCCCGATGAAGGACGAGAAAGAGGGTGTTGTTGGGGCACCTCGTCACGGGTTCATCCAGGAGATGCGTACATACATGCCTGCGGCGCACCGTCGTTTCTTGGAGCATGTTAATGCCGTGGCCAACATCCGACAGTATGTGGAAGCACGACGCTCGGACAAGGCACTGTGCATTGCATACGACGCATGTCTGTCGATGCTTCGGGCAATGCGCGACAAGCACATCCAAATTGTATCCCGCTATATCATCATTCAGTCTCGGGATGCTCGACCGAGTCGCCCAGCGCGCGCAACCAGTCCCAAGAGAGCCATTAACTTGGCGACCGCCCGACACGGTGAGAAGCCGGACAGTAAGAAATTGCGGGGCACGGGTGGAACGGCCTTGATCCCGTTCCTGAAACAAGCACGGGACGAGACGGGCGAGCCAGCGATCGATGCATGGGCCCGTCGGCTTTTGAGCACAGGACCGTCGGAGTCTAGCTTCGCGGCGCTGAGCAAAGTGGACGAGGACCACGATGGACATCTCCAGGTGGTGGGACTATCAGGAACATGGGCAGCGGATGACAGCGAGGGTGGCATATGTCATTGGTAGCATTGCATGTAATAGATGCTGCATGGTTTTGTTTTGTTTTGTTTAAGATTCACTAATGAGCGGGTCGGTGTTTTTCTCTATCTAGCATTGAGACAGCCGATGACGATGACGAGGGGGGAAGATGATCGATGTACATAGAGCGATGAATACTTTTGATTATGACGAGAATGATGAATGCATGAGAGATTTGGACGTCATCGCCTTTTTTCCATTTGCTCTTTTGCCCCTTTGTTCCTGTTGCGGATCCATTTTGGTGGTCACTTCATCTCTGCCGTGCCTGGCGATGACGTCGATGCTTGACGTCATGTACCCCGGACTCACCACCACCTTCGATCTATAAATACACCCACAGCATCAACACAACACAACAACAATTACAACAGCAAGCAAATAAACACTACTACACTACAAGCAATCTACTCTCTACTACAATTTTTTTCTTCTAAACAAACTACTACTACCACTACATACCAACACCAACACCACCAACCACAATGTCCTCCACCGACTCCACCAACAACAACAACAACACCACCACCACCACCACCACCTCCACCCTCAAATCCTACGTCGACCAAGCAACCGGCATGGTCCAACGCGCCGCAGGCTCCCTAACCGGCGACTCCTCCGCTCAAGTGCGTCCACATCCTCCTCATCCTCCCCCTTTTTCCAAACCCCACAAACTAACCTCCATCTACTATTTAGTCCACCGGCACTGCCACCCAAGCCCAGGGCGAAGCCGAACACAACGCCAGCCACAACAACTTCACCAAGCTTGGTCCCGTGACCGCCGACCCTGCCACGGGCGCCGCCGCCACAGACCACCCGCAGCGCAGCAACGGCAGCTGGGACCAGACTGTGGGCTCGGCGAAGGAATCTTTGGGCAATTTGATTGGCAATGAGGGGTTGAGGAAGGCCGGCCAGGAGCAGAATGCGGCGGGAAAGCAGGCTGAGGCCGAGGGCCAGATGAGAGATTGGAAAGAGGGTGTTGAGGGTAGGGCCAAGGGAGCCGTTGGGAAGGTCGCTGCTGCGGCGACGGGTGATGAGGAGGAAGAGAGGAAGTGGAGGGATGTGCATGATGAGGGGAAGGTTAGGCAGAGGGGCGTGGAGAGCGAGGTCCAGAAGAGATATTAATCTTTCCTTCCTTCCTTCCTTCCTTCCTTCCTTATGGGGGTTGGGATTATGTGATGTGATATGATGACTTGCTATGATACAATATGGGAATGGAGTTATTGATTTGCTTTATCATTCTGTGTGATTCGCGTAGGTTGGGAGGAGAGTGCGTGTAGTAAGGTGTGGATTCTGGATTAATGGTGAGTATGGATGGAGAAAGTATGAGTGTGTTTAAGTTGTGCTATTATCACGTACTATTTAGTAAAGAAGGGTCTGTTGACTAGGAAATGATGCCCATTGTATTATAAAACTGGGATTGGTCTAGTACTTCATATGACTATGTATCCATTCATCCTCCGCCAAATCCTTAGCAGAACTCCTCCTGTTCGGCTCCCACTGCAGCATCTTCCGCATAAATCGCAAAAACGCGTCCCTCTCTGCCTCTCCCTCCAGAGTAGTCTCTCGTTCTTCAAGTGGAACGTAATCAGTCAATAAATCCGGATGGAGGAAAGCACCTATACTCATCGAGTTAGTAAATCTAAAAGACAAACCCCACAAGGTTTGGTATAACCACCTTCACTCGAAAAGAACTTATCTCTCAACTCTCCCTGCGTAAGCAAACTAGCAGGCGGTGGGCCCAGAAGATTAATCATCTCGGCAAGATGCGCTCGACTCCGGTATCTCTCATCTACAGGGTCTTGCCCCGTGAACAAGGAACCGCCTTCGTATAAATCCCAGATCTATTAGCTCAAGTATTAGTGGAGCTGCGGACGAAAATGAATCGTTTTGTCCTACCATGCATCCAACATTCCAAATATCAGCGCTGTACGTCCATGGAACTCCCAGTATCACCTCCGGGGCTCGATAGATCTGAGGTTGAATGAATACCCTCTGGTATTCATCATTGACGACCATGGCTGAACCAAAATCGCACAGAACCGGGGCGCCAATTCCTTTAGGTACTTTGAGTTCCCGGGACATGTATATCGTTCTTTCGTCGACCTCTTTCCTCGGGACGGGTCGTTGAAGTTCGTTCTCCTCGATGTCCGTAAAGACTGAGTCATCTTTGATACCGAACATGATATTATCGGCTTTGATATCTGGAAGCAGGATAAGAGAAGTGAGAATCATAAAAGCTGGTAGATATATCGAGCTACAAACCCGTGTGCGCGATCTTGCATTCCGTATGCAGAAAGTCCAATCCTAGAAATAAGCGATGAAGAACAACAGCAATGACTGCAGATGGTAGCCTCTCAACCGGATTCCGGCGCAAGAAAGCTAGCACGCTTTCCCATAATGGGGGATGCACTAGGCAGCGATGTTTGTCTTGAGGGCCGTCGATGTAAAAAGTATCGAGTAATGTTCTGATGGCATCGCGACCGGGGTGGATGGGCGGGGACTGTTCCATAAGTCTGTACATATTAAGCTCGATATCGGCTTGCTGACCCATAGACGAAGCCTCAATGAATATCTTGAGCATAACATAACGGCGGTTTCTATGATGTATGAGTAACTCAGATAGGCTCATTCATGGGAAGAAAGAAAAGGGGGTTCTCCACTCCATATCCCGTGCAAGCCACGCGGTTGAAGTCGATCCATATCCCAGTTTACCAATGACTTGATACCGCTCCTTGATAACTTCTCCTATTCGAGTGGGATAATACTGTGAGGCGGTATATTCGGGAAGAGTCTCTTCTTCTATGTTGTGCCAATTGGGGATTCGGACGAAGTTAGAGTTGGGGAAATTTAATGGTTTCCATCGCCGTCCAAGATGAGTTAGAGACCGGAGAAGTGATGAGAGCATCGTTTGAATGTAGTAGATACTAGTTAACGATCTCATGTATCTGGGATTAATGTTTACCATGAAAGCGGAGCAAATCACAGGGCGGACTTACAGAGAAGGGGACGCTATGCTGAAAGCGGAAAGGTCAACCAGATCCACCACAACATTTGGGACCGAAAAAAAAGAGACCCTCCAGATGGAGGGTCAGGAGACAAAAAAGTTGACCTACGCAGGACTCGAACCTGCAATCTCTTGATCCGTAGTCAAGCGCCTTACCATTGGGCCAGCAGGCCAGCTGATATATTTTGTTGACTATTTATGGTTTTATTAACCAAAGTTATTGGCGGGGCTAAGAACAAGCCAAGTTGACCCTTGACTAGGGTTTATCTTAACATAGTTGGGAGAATAAGCCATTGTACGATTAGTAATAGAACTGGGATTCAGATCACGATATTGTCCAGTTATATCTAAGGATATCAATACCTATACGGATTGGACGATAAGTGACAACGAGTAGATGGTAAAAAAAGCAATCCATCTGCGACTGACCAGTGTACTGGCAGTGCACAGTTATCACACTCAATGGATGATCAAGTCAGGCCTTCAGAGAGTATTCTGGCAATCTGAAATAGTGGCAGAGGGTGAGAGAGTATATATATGTCTGTGGGTGAATGCACAGTGTCCTTCTATCCTCACCTTCAATCAATTTCCGGTTATGTATGAGTCTACCCTAGCCAATCGAGCGAGTAGTAATCAGGTCAGCAGGGAGACAGTACTAATGGAGTTATTAAATATGAATCCTATTATGTGAATGTCTACTCTTCGTATAGTCTGGGTATTATTTGTAAAAGCAACAGAATAGCAATAAGATAAATTCTGGTAAGAATCTCTCTACAGTCAGCAGTCGCAGGATTCAAACCTACGATACAACAAAGTAGTCAATAGGTATAGATAGAAACACTACCAGCTATCTCTACAGTGTCTACCGGAAAGCCACCATTTGACCATCCTGCCACCTTTACGTACTCTTGCACTTGCTCCCAAGTCTCACCTGAGAGATGAATTTTCGGCAGGGTTTGAGGTCTTCCAGATCGAAGAGCTCAATGTACCGACGCACAGGCAATTCGAGACCATTGATCAACTCGACTACATGGCTTTGCAGCTCTGCATCATCAATCATCTCTTTCAGCCGAACTACATTCCCTTCCCAGGGAGCGAGCTCATCAGCAGAATATTCACCTGACCTACAATTGACTGCCTGGTTGAATATGGTCTCGAAAAATCGTGGCTCTGTGAGAATCTGAACGGGACACGTACTGTTCTTCCATCGTCCGCGTTCTGGCAAGCGAGGGTCTGTAACAACCATATAGTTCTGGTCTTCAGGCCCTGGAGCACCCAGTCCAGGATCAGGCAGCGTCGGATCAATATCAGACTTCTTGTACAACTTGAGCGACTCACACCAAAATGGGGGGTTACCCTGGGGGCCGTGATCAAGATGGAAGTGATAAGGCGCAGGTGATGACGCTTCCTCAGTCAGAGCATCATTCTCCCAGTCGCATTCCTTGCCTTTAATGCAGGGCTCGATGCCGTGATTGCTGAGAGCCTCGGCTGCTTCGTGGACTTTTCCATCGGCAACGATTAAGCTAGTGCCCTGCAGAGTGATGTGTTAGTATTTTTCCTCTTCTTGAATTGTTAGCAGGCTGTGGGTGAAGAACTTACCAATTTGTAGGGAATCAAAGCGCCGTAGCTACTCAAAGCGACCTCTCCAATGAAAGCACAGGTTATACCGGCTTCATGCAGCCAGATAGTAACTGCTTCAGCTGACTTCATCCCATTCTTAAATGGCTCCATCTCGAACCAGCGCAATTGTGATGAAAGATTTGTGAAAGCCATTTTTGTAGACAGAATATATTGCAGCCACAAATTTGTAAGGCATCTGCATGTTCACCTCGGTGGATGTTGAGGGTCTTTTATGGTTACACGAGGTTAATGGTCTTCGAAGCATTCCAATTCTGTCTTCCTTATTTTTACCGTTATCGGATATTTCCTGGAAAGTGTAGAATTCTCGTCGGGCATGACCCGACATTGTGAAGGGATGTCTGGCAGGATATAGGCGAGTAAGAGGTTATTCCCATGTAACTGCCGGTACTTCACGTGGTGGATCAGTGCTTTTTAGCTGTGATTGATGCTGTAGGTATAGAACTTTCAACTACATCAGTAGAATATCTTCAATGACAGACTGGAGGTTTCACACGATGTAAGGTAGCAAATACCGCACATGGTGGGCAGCTTCCTGGATATATAATGGAAGCTGTACCTTTGATCTTCTTTTGTTTGGCGATCCATGGGGATCCATGTACTTAGTAGATGGTAGCATGCCTTGCAGGTCATGAAAGAAAAGTGAAAGGCCATAGCCCTAAATGCGATATCGGTCAATGTTGGCAACTGCCAATTTAAATATTCAAGAACTCACATTTTTTCGATCTTATTGCTTGTCAGCTCCAGGAGACTATCTACTTACCCAGACATATAGGATTCGAGATCTACCCTGAAGCCTAACTACCTGGAGGTTCCGTGCTACACCTCAATCTGATGGCCATTCATAGACCTACAATGAAATGATTTTCACATCAAAGACCACACCCAACCCAGGCCTAGCCCGTTTCACCATATTAACCCTTATTCTATCTTCGATCCTAATTAGGTTACACCCGTCCCATTTATCCCAAAAATCATTAAGACAAGCCCAACCTTAAAAATGAGTCCAAACTAAAGCCCAGACTACGCTTCAGAAGTTCCCCTGGGTATGCAGATCCCTCAATCTTAGCCCGGGCCCTTCTCCACGACGATCCCATCCGTTTAACCCCCTCACACATCGGATCTCGGTCCAAGTGAGCCAGACAGTCCCATGCATATGATGATGTGCCTGCGCCCTAACATCCGTCCCATATACCATTAACTACACTCCACCCTCCAGTACCTCCCCTTCCACCATTAACTCACTACACTCTTTTTATACAACCCATCCACCATCCAAACAATTCAAAGAAAATTAAATCTAAAAAAATACCACCCACCAAAATGAAACTCTCCTCCCTCTTCCTCCTCCCCACCCTCCTAGCCACCACAGCCTTCTGTGCCCCCGAACCCATCCCCAACGTGAACCTCAATGACAACAACCTCGCCGCTCTCGCGCAAGCCTTGTTCGTGCCCTCACCTTCCCCTCTTCATATCATATGGCTGATATAACTAAATTAATAGAAAACCCTCCCTCCCAACACCAACCCAACCCGTTCCCAACCTAGAAAGCGTATCCCCTCCACCACACGCCGTCGTGCACCAAGTCATCACAGCCGTTCCTCCCACAGCACTCGCGCAGCTGTTCGTGCCCGCGAAGCGCGTCGCGTTGGCGAGTGAGTTCAGCGCTGGCAATACGCCCGAGTGGTATAAGGCGCTGCCGACGGATGTGCAGAGTTATTTTGCCGAGGTGAAGAGGCAGATTGCGGCGACAGGGGTGGGTGAGGCGAAGGCTGCGGAGGAGAAGAAGTCGAGTGGTGGTGGGAAGGTGGTGAGTGTGCAGGGGATGGGGTTGGTGGTTGGGTTGGTGGGTGCTGTTGTTGTTGGGGTTATGGTTTAGGGGGTTTAATTTACGATGGGGTGGGTTGGATGGTTGTGGAGATTGTATAGGGATAGTAGTAGTTGGTGGAATGGGGATTGGGGATGATAGTTGCGGGTAATACTTACTGGGATAGTGGTAATTGTGTGTCGAAGTAAGGTTCCAGGAAAGAAAACATTGGTCATTGCGTTTATGATCTCTTTATCTTCTAGTGGCTTATCTTGCATTGTCTGTTGCTAATTGTTGAGAACTGTGCGAATGATTGCTTCTTGCACATTGCTAATCCATTCAAAAAAACCTCCACTACGGACGCACCAAGCTATGTACATTGTCTGGCCAACCTGTATCGACCTTATGGGTATCTATCTACAGATCCGTCAACATAGGTCACGCAAACCAAAAAGTAGTGATTGCATCATCGTATCATCAATGCACTTCCAATCCCATGCCTTTCCCGATCTTCCGTATCAATGCACGTTTCAAGAACGCTTCTCGCGCAAGTCCACGCGTGTGACGTGACCAGGTCTCAACCCCAATGACACCCTTAACCAGCGCAGCTTGGAGGGCATAGATTGCCTGCTGAATACCGCGTTCCTCAGCAACCAAGTCGTACAATTGTTTACCGACCACGGTTGGGGCAACGAGAACTTCGTCGATTGGTGGGAGACCCGAAGTAACGGGATCAGTGCTGGATGACGGGGCCGAGGATGATATACGGCTTTGCGCATCGGCGATGACGCCGTCGGCGCGCATGAGAGATTGCTGCAGAGTCGTGGTGTTCGATTGAAGAGTCGCGTTGAGCGTGTTGAGCGACGATACTTCGCCTTGAAGCGTCGCAATTGCCGCATGCAGCGAGTGGGATTGAGAAATCAAAGATTGAGCAGCAGTCTCGGACTGTGCGACGTTTGCTTGCAGTGTTTCAGCTAGAGTCTTAGAGACGGCCCGCAGTAGGGCGTCCTTCTCGGGGTTGGGTGGAATTGGGGGCGCCGGGCCGGTGGGTGCGAACGAGGGGAGCTCGAGCTCAAACGGAGAGGTAAGAAGATCTTGCGTCTCTGACTTGGGACGTGGAGCTGGTTGCTGTGCTTGCTGAAGTCCAACATGGGGTGAACCTTGCGGTGGGACCTGCTGTGGCGGAGGTCTCTGGTAGGCTGCAGGAGGGGCTTGTTGTACGGGGTGGTAAGAGTTCCGTTGCGGAAGCCCACGACTGGGGTCATCTGGGCGAGTAACAGGGACACCGTTCGGTGATTGAAACTGCGCTGGGCCAGTCTGGTATGCCGGTGTCGACTGAGAGACGTGCTGCGGTTGTTGGGGCAACTGATACTGTCCTGATGCTACTACAGGAACTTGACTGCGATCCGGTAGGTACTGGGGCCTGTTCATAGGGTTGCCAATGCCTGTCTGTGGTTGCATCGGTATTCTCCTGGAATCATGCTCCTTTGGTGGCAGTGGAGGCAGCGGAGGGGGAGACGAGTATCTCCCTGATGACGGAGTGCCCTGTGATTGTGGCTCAGGTGTCTGCCCGGGTTTTGGAGGCGGCGGTGGTGGCACCTGAGCAGGTACTTGCGGAGAAGCATTCGGAGCGCTATGGGTAGAAGAGGGCCGATTAATTGAGGTATCAAGCTCCGGAGGCAGAGGAGGTAGAGGAGGTGCTTGCGCCTGTACCTGCGCTGGCGGAGGCGGTCGCGGCTGTACAGGCTGTTGCTGTTTATATCTCACCGGCGGCTCCTTGGCGAAAACCTCACGAAGTATCATCAGGAAATCAATAAGAGATGATCGCTAAGCTTAGGTGTCAGCGATAACGAGATGCGCATTGCGAGTCACATTGACTAACCTCCCACGCTTCAGCCCAGTGTGCCAGGTAGTGATGGTACACCCTCCCTTCCAAAGTGACATGCTGGCCCACACGAACGGCCATGTCTTGCGTCGGTGTTACATAAACCAATGGCGGTTCTCTGGGGTATGTATTTGGGATCCATAGTGTGATGGGAAACTTGTAAACAGTGCCGCGAAACGTCACGGGCAACGTGCCGGTCAGTTGGAGGAGGAGGGCGGAGAAACCGTTCTCGTATGCTAGAAGTTTGAAGAAAAGAATCGGTCAGTAAGATCGCAGTAAGGTCGCAGCAAGATGGCATACTGTAGACTTCAGTCCTGGGGCCCAGCGAAGGGTATTGACCGAGCACATTAGCTACATCATAGTAGGTGCGGTTGGGGTCCTGGTAGGTTTGTCGGGGATCGTAGTGGTCCTATTTCTGTCAGTGGTCCTATTCTAGGAGTCCGTGTTTGGTTTTTAGCTACCCTGATAAGGACACTGTACAGCCAGTTAAGCGTCCTTTGCGGCACAGCAGCCATGGCGGAGGAGGCGAAGGCGCATGGTGGGAGAAGTGGGATGGCGGAGTTGGAGTTGGAGTTGGAGCTAGACTCCCTGGGCATTCTTGGTGCCTCGCAGCCTCGCTCCACCGCCGCGGCAGTTCCCCGCAACTTTCTCCCGCTGACATCTTGATCTATAACATCACCTTGCCATTCATTCTTGAATATGTCTATCCTTGCGGAAACATACATCTTAAAGTATACCAATGACTGCAGTGTCGTACAGAGTCAATGGATGAAGATTAGTCTAGCGGGGAGTTTGGTACCACTGTTGGGAGTGGAAGATATAAAAAGGATAGAGTACTAAAGCTAAATTCCGGGTGGAATCACATCAATACAACCACTCATTTTCGACCAGAGACTTCCCATTAGTACCTCACTGTCATGCGTAACCCGGCCATGCCAGGTCAGAAGTTCGGCCTGCTGCTATAGAGTCGGCTCTGCTTTCCCTACTGACTCGGCCCCTATAGCGTGGCATTCCATCCCACCCCCCGCTAATACTATACTGGTGTCAGCCAGGGACCTGAAATCAAGTGAATTCAGTGTAAGCATACATAGTTGCTGGCGCAAACCCAGCAAGAATTTTGATGATAATACAACTACCAATAGTTTAATGGGGATCCCCCAAACACTCTACAACTTCGCAAGAGCTACAAATAACCAATCATCTAGCTCTGGGCCAGGCTGTTTCAGCCCGGACGAATCTCGTGTGGAATAACACATAAGCAGTTCAACAAGAGGACTGAAGCCTATTTGCTCCAGGAAATCATTGCACTGTTCAGCACATACACTGTTGGAGCGGCGGCTACTCATTCCCAGCTCCTGATTGGAATGAACTACACAGCCAATGATACTTAGATACATACTGGCCAAGCCCAACAGACCTGACAATCCTTATGGATGATTATATTACCAGAGGTAAGAAAACAGTACACGTCTGAGCCGTGTCTAGTGTTGACCGAAAGCTTTAGTCTTCCATTAGGGACCCCCTTTTTTGCTTGCCATTGTTCTTTGCATTGGCCTTGATATTGTTTGTCTTACATTAAACATCTTCACAAACACCTCCTGGAGCTTATTGCTCAATGCGGTGAAGATTGACATTGTTAAGGGTCGGTATCCACTTTGTTCCATCATAGTATTGTTGCCCCCAAATCAGCTCCATCCTTCATATTGTCTGTTTCGGTGTTGCAAGACAATATACAGCATCACACATCTGACTTGGCATGATGAATGTACAGCCATGGCTTCTAAGTTGGAAAGCCAGGCCGCGTACTGCTCGAACACTTGTCATATCCATTTCAATGGCCTATACAAGCCAACTTCTCAACCTCCCAGCTTCTCCTGTCGGATAACCTGTCCAACTTAGCAACTCAAGATACTTGACTTCAACGTTGCAGACCATATCAACCATACTACTGCTACACCCTGACAGCCACAATGGCCTCAACTGATCCTTTTGCCCAAAACGTCACCTTCCATACTGGCGATGGAACCCCCTTCGAGGTGAACGTGCAGGAAATTGACACATTCTTGCAGTACTGTATTCAGATCTGCACCAACTATGGCGCCCAGCTCGGAGCTTCCATCGTGCTCTTCGTCATCCTCCTGCTCCTGACCAGACCCGAGAAGCGCAGCTCCAGCGTCTTCATCCTCAATTGCGCTGCACTGCTCTCCAACGTCGGCCGTCTCTTTTGCCAGATCTTGTATTTCACTACCGACTTCGTGAGAGTGTATGCCTACTTCTCCGGAGACTTCTCTCGAGTGCCAACCTCCGCATACGCCAACTCCGTCATCGCAGTGGTATTCTACACCATCCTCGTGATATGCATCGAGGCCTCGCTCGTCCTGCAGGTCCAGGTCATCTGTGCGAACCTCGGTCGTGTATACCGACAGGTCCTTCTCTCACTGTCCATCGTGGTTGCACTGATCCCAGTCGGATTCCGTATGGCCATGATGGTCGAGAACGCCATTGCAATCATGGCAGCCGAAAGCAGCATTCCTCTCATCTGGCTTCAAAGTGCAGAGAACATCACCGCCACAATCAGCATCTGCTTCTTCTGCGCCGTCTTCGTTGCCAAGCTCGGATTTGCCATTCGTCAGCGCCGCAGACTCGGCGTGCGAGACTTTGGCCCAATGAAGGTCATCTTCATTATGGGTTGTCAGACTCTGGTCATTCCAGGTGTGCAACTCCCTCCCTCCCTCTCTTACCCTCACATATCTAACTGAACCTCGTCCATAGCCACCTTCTCAATCATCCACTACATCGCCGCCGTCCCGGCTCTATCCTCCAACGTGGCCACCCTAGTCACCATCTCCCTTCCCCTCTCCTCTATCTGGGCTGGTGTCGCCTTGACCAAAGTCTCCTCTGGCGCTGGCACTGGCTCTGGCACCGGATCTGGCTCGTCAGGCCGCAATCTTTGGAACGTGCTCTCCTTCCCTGTCTGGGACAGTAGAAACACTACCAGTACTACTACCTCTTCCTCGACGCCAACTGTGAATCCAGTCTCAACCTGCTACGCGGACAATGGTTCCTCTAAGCAGTGCAAGCAGCAGACTAACACTGAAGAAATTGGCATTACTGTCGAACATGAGATCTCAGTGCAGAGCTTCAAGAGGGAAAAGGATATGGTTTGAACTTCGAACTGAACTGTAGATCGTGCTCCGGTGGTGCGATTCGGAGGGATGGTTCATGATTATTAAGGTTAGGGGGATCTCGTATGGTTGTGGTCAATTATATCTCGGGACTGCTCATTTCAATCATGGTTTTCTTTTGTGACTGTCTTTTAAGATTATTGCAATGCTCCGCGCGCCAGCTACTTCTATTTCGTTTGTTTAATGCTTATCACCGTATCTATTGGCATGATAATAGTTCTTTTGTGGTCGATTGACTAGCATTTAATGGATCTTGCTTATGCTATGTATTGTTTGTGGTGGGTTTCGACGTAGGCAGTGATCATCTCCATAAGCGTATCAATTAGCTATACTAAGTACTATACGTTGAAGGCAAATTCTATTTGCGACCGCTCTCACAATACCGCCCGGCTGCATCAACATATGCTCAACCCTCTCTGCCCAATTTTGCCAATGATTCTGTAAGGAAGTCTCTGGCGTTCATCAAATCCGTACTACCATAGACAACCCTCCGTTTCGGCGCCCCATGCACCCCACGGTTGGCGGCCCCGGCACCGTCAGCGCCTGGTTGACCGCTTGTCCGGCTTACCCAGTCCTGCAAGTTGCCGTATTCGTCCATGCTGCCTCCACCGACGGTGAAGACGATCGCTTCGTTGAAGGCCTGTCGGCGTTGGCCGAAGGTGGCACTCATGCCGGGCCCGGAGCTGTTCAGGCTCTGCCCTTGGGCGTTGCGCGAAGCCGAGGCCGGAGGCATGGCGCCTCGGGCATTGGCGCTGCGGGGGTCGAAGTAGAGATAGCTTTCTGTCTTGGCGATAGCGGAGCTGGATGCGGAGGTTGGGTCCATGATGGATTCGGTGATCTTGGTCAGGGTCAGGTCCTTGTTGGCAGGGAGAAAATTCTTGACGCCGGAAATGAGGGAATCGAAGTTGGCGCCGAGGGCTCCGGAGGTGATGCGGTCAGTCAGTTGGTTAGAGAGAGAGGAGAACCCGCGGAAGAGATTAGAGGACTGTTGTTGGGGAGCGCCTGTTGCGGTAGTCATCATGGTCATGCGGGTTATTTCTCGGACCTGTCTGACATAGGCGATGGGGGTCACGTCCGTGACGCCGATGCGGGTGAGAGCCTCTTCGAATTGTGTCATCTCAGAGCGGGAAACCTCTGTTTCAGTGCTCAGGAACCAGATGATGAAAAGACGGAGCTTGTCCAGGGGTTCATTGCCTTTACTGGAGTCGTTGATGAGTTCCATGATCTGGGCCTTTGTTTGCTTGGTGATATTTTCTTCCAGTTCAAAGAAGTTATCCAGCTGACGGTCTTTGATTCCCTTGAGCAGGGCGGTCGCAATGTTCATGTGCATGTCAAGAATCGCCTTGCGTTCCCGTAGTTCGGGAAGGAGGGTGATGGCAGCCTTGAGGTGCTGTGCAGAGGCGCTGGTGTCGTTCTGGAGATCTTCAATTGAGGAAGCACCGGTCTTCTTTGTGATCTCAGTGGCGTCCTCCTTGTAACGTGTAAGCTCCGCATCGATGTCTTCCGCAACCTGAGGGAATGGCGCGCCGGCATTGCGCTTCCAGAAAAAGTCATTGCTATTTAAGTCGTATGCTCTCTTTGTGACGCCCTTGGCGGGGTTTGCTTCATCAGTTGACTCAACGGTAATCCGATTGAGGCGCATCTGTAGAACATCCTGCACTAGAGACTGGTATGTCCACGAGTGGGATAGCATAGGCACCAAATCCACGTTGCGATCGACGATGATCAAAACAGGTCGCGATGAGGGAACTCCCGGAGTGTTCTTCTTGTTTGAAAACAGATTGTCTTTCGAGTTAAGGATGTGATCGCGTAGCTTGCGGTCCAGCTTGGTTGCTATTAATTCTGCCGCGCCGCCCTTAGGGCACCGAATGATCGGGATGGCACCTGTTGTATTCAACTCGTCAGTTAAAAGTACAAGGACCATATCGGCTGACCTACCCATTGTGACGCTGACGCTAAACAACCCGCTTACAATCCTATCCACAATGGCGTCCAGATCATCGTCGCTGGTTTGCGCACTGTTAATCTTCCAGTATGCATCGTTTCCTAGCCCCAAGCTGAAAAGGTCCGGTTCGGCCACAATAAAATTCAAGTACTGGTCGTAAACTTGTGCGACATGCTCTGCGGTGCCGGTTGTTGCTATCTGAGACGCAAAGTCTTCGAGGAGGGGTCTGGGTACGGAGGAGAGGAAGTTGACGTAGGCGGGAGAGTAAAGACCGCGAGAAAGGTCATTTGTGATCGCTTCGACGTTGGAAGGCGTAGGTTCGACAAGGTATACAACAGGGACGTCGGGAATCGGGTATCGTGTGGAATTGATGTTTCTGGCGGAGGTCATTAGCTACGTCACGCACGCACAGCGATCGATTTAGGGGGCCTGGACCAGGGTCCGTACAGATGGATTGTGACTCCCCAAGCTCTGAGGTCATTGACACGCAGCACGCTGCTGATGACATCTCTTCCCATATTATCAAACACCAGGACCTTCCAGATAGGATCGCCATCCTCGTTCAGTACCGGGGTAGAAATGAGGCCCTGCGCGGACGCATCGTGGTGGGCGTCTTCCGCGGGTTGCGGTTCATGATTCAAGTTGAGAATCTTGTGGATGGAGGCTGTGATCGAGTTAGAAAGCTGTGAATATCTACACGAATCCGATACGGACAGCAGAAACCTACCGACCTGACGGTCCCTCAAAGACGTTGGTTGCGAGGCCATAGTAGTTCGATTTAAGCTGGACTTGCTTCACCCCGGATGGTTATCACGATTACCTGGAATGGCCAAGATTCATGACATGTGGTGAGGGGACCGTGGCAGAGAGATCAAGCGACGCAATAGTGAATTCCGGGGGAGAAAAGCAGCAATGGTGAAGAAAGACGGGCTCTGAACTCCGCTGGCGATAGATAATATGATAGAGAGGAATTACCCACTCATCAGTCTGTAACTACACACTCTCCACCTGGCATCCTGAGAAGCTCCCGCGATTGATGAGGGGATGACATAAGCTCCCGCCCAGCCAATCCAAGCACCGCGATCATGTGTCTGGCGCTAGGTCGGAAGAGGCGTAGCTCAGTTGAGGCGTGGCCCAACCGAGCGCCGCCCGGCTTTTTCAGTCTCACGACAACCAGCACTACCAACCACCCTCCCTCTCCCCCCATCCCTATCCCTTCCACCCTTCCTCGTAAAGCAAATGACTATGCTGCTAAGCTGCAGTCCCGAGTGGTTCTTTGTATAACACCTTTTCTTATCATCTTTTAAGACAGAATAAGAAGAAAAGGTCCACCCAGGACAGGCAGTACGAGTGATTTTGCCTCAGCTGCCTTTTGCCAAAAAAGAAAGAAGACGGGAGAAAGTGAAGCTGGCAGGAGAGAAGAGTGAACAAGGACAAGGATACAAACACAAGGCTTTTATTTGTTTAAAAGGATTGCTTGGGAAAGCCGGAAAGGACAGAAACAGAAGAAGGAGAGCAGGCTCTTCAGGAAGTCCAAGATTATCTTACGTCTATTATACGGAGTACTTGGCCGGTGTATTCGAAAGAGTTGATCCAGCTTCTGCAGCGTGGACAACCTTGTTCTAATCTGCCTAAAAAAGAAAGAGGAAGAAGAGAGAGAGAGAGGAGAGAGGCTGCACACTGGGATACCGCGCGCGCAACGTGACGTGACCTTAAGGATATCAGGCACAGCAAAGCCGAAAAGTCTGGTGCCATTGCTTCCCTCTCTAACTTACTCCGAGAGCTCAGGTGTGGTTCCCTTCCCCCCTCCGCTGCCTCCGAATAGGAGACAATTTCACGGAACTGGAAAGCGGGAGGAGCAGCGGGCGCCGACCATTTGCCACCTTCCTTTCGGCAACTCATCAGCTCTGCTGCCCGGAAACTACTACTTACCTACCTACTTGCACTACGGAGTACTACTACTACTACACCTACACTACTACTACTATCTTTGACTACTATTCTACGTCTTGGTCCACTATCGACGTATCAGCGATCCCTTAGGCTGACAAACACGGTCGGGACGGTTGATTCGCCCAGAGAGCTCTTGACCTAATATCCGGCTCCATTGGGAAGGTTTACTGCGCCGCCGTTACGCGTGACGGGTAAGCCAATCAACGCACGAGTCGGCGAGCCCTCCCCACCAGGGGAATCACGCCCAAACTCCGACCAAATCCAGAGCGGCATTGGCTCTTGTCCCAATCGAGCCTGGTCCCTCCCACACACACACACCCCCCCGGCACGTGGATGCATGTGACTTATACTACATTTGGCCGTGCACCCGCTTTACTGCCTTAGTACCTTGACTCCACCCGCGCTACCCACGACAATCATATACTTCTCGACCTACATATCCTTTCAAGATCGAGGGTCCGTGGGTTTCTAGAAAGCGGGGGATGAACGGGAGCATGGAGCAGTCGCCGCCGCAGAATATCATGCCCGGTCTGCACCGTGCACCAGTAGACCCCGGCTCGTTGCCGCCCGAATACTGGAACAGCTTTGAGCCTTTGTATACAAACCCCGACCCCCCACATCAACATTCGCACCCATCCCAGCCGCCACAGCTTCAACAGATCCAGCCGGCACCGCCGCAACAGCAACATGCGACGCCAATGGGAATCAGCTGGGATCACCCAATGTTCAGTCAGACTCCTCAATCCCGGAGTCCTCTGCCCACGCCCCAGGAACAGAACCATGGCATCTATACGTCGGCAACTCCCCAATCGTGGCGAACGAACCCTTTGCAATCGCAACAAATAATACATCCCGCACCGCAGACATATTCCATGAACCAGCAATATCGTCAGGCGCAATTTCCTCATGCGCAACCTGCGTTTGATTCACAGCCACTCCCCTCGTCCGACAACTCACACTTCCAGTCATACACCTTCCCCCGTGGCTACTATCCTCCTCAGAATCTCTCGGTACCAGATGTCTTTCCTCAGTCTCACTCTCCTCGGCCCACTCAAGCGCAGGCCCAGCCAACACAATATCGGTCGGACTCCCATCAGCACCAAGTCCCTCAGTACACACTTCCTGCGGGCTATCCGGAGGGGACCACTGTATGATCCGTTGAGCCATTCGTTTGCATTCATAGCTGACTCTCAGTAGCATATTCCGATTAATTTCGCTGCTGGGTACGGACAGTCCACTCCAACTGTCTCTGAGCAGACCATCAATCCACAATTCTTGAACTCGCCGCAACAAGCCGCTAGCCAGCAAGCATCCCTTCATAATAATTTGATGTACATGAACCCTGCGGACTTCGAGCGTCCTGAAGATCCAAAGTATGTCCCAATAACCGGGTTGATCCTTTTGGTAATCGCATGCGGTCTGACTGTTCATAGGTTGTACACTTTCTTCCGGGATGACTTGCAAGTTCCACCAATTTTGGGCCAAGGTCAAGGTCAGGGACAACCACAGCCACAGCCACAGCATAAACCCCAGCCTCAGCATCAGCCCATTGCACGGAACCAACCAATTGCCCCAACCACGCAATATGAGTTCATCGTGCCCTTGAATGGTATGATTCACTCTACCCCATAGTCGTGTCACATTCACTCACCGGAACAGGTCAAGACACAGTCACCCCCGTCGCACCAGTTAAAGCAGCAAAACCTAAGAAACAACCCAGTGTGAAGAAACAGTCGCAGCCCAAAAAGCCCACAATGAAAGGGGGGAGCAAGAAGCTGGATGGACAGTCGGCCTCTTCTAGTTCTGAATCAGATAGCTCTGATGAGTCGGATCTTGAGATCCAGGAGCCTGAAGAGGTATCTCCACTACCACCCACTCGTCCTAGCGAACCCGAGGCTGCTGCGCGGTATGACGCGCTCAAAGCTGTGTGGTCTCCACGTAATAGGCACCCCAATGTTGACAAGGTCAAGAGTGCACTGGTTGCGTTCAAAGATGTTGTCAAAGCCGTAAGAGATGCGTGGAAAGAAAGCAGCCAAGCCATGAAGGTGGCAGAAAACAAGGGTGATAATGACAAAGCAGCGCAACTAAAGAAGAATGTGGTCCTTCAGCGGCGCCTTATGGACGTCGTCATCAGCACCACCCAGGAGCAAGGTCACCCAGTCATTGTCGAGAAGTATGTCCTTTCTCTACCGTCTTCCCTTTCCTTCCCGCATCTGGCATGTCCTCGTGGCCATAGAAGTCTGAAACGAATTGAGAGCCTCTCCCATGTAATCTACCTAGTGTGGGCTTTGGCATATAAAAATGTGCTTATAAGTAAGGGTGCATATATGCTCTCCATCAGAGGACTAAACATACCTAGCTGTGTGTCCTCAAGCACGAGACAAAGGAGGATAGAATGCCCATCCTCGTTCAGACGAGCTATCTCCTGCCGTCATTGTACAGGTGCCCAAAGTGTGTTCCGTTGTGGTGTCACCCTTCGGAGCCTGAACTTTGCTAGCCTCCGGATGCCTTGCATCTGCTTATTGCTATTCTCATGTTCATCTGCTAGATTGTGCCGGTCGCTGACGTATGTGTTTCCAGGTTGGGTGAGCATCCAATGGCTGTAGCTGCCCTGTATTCATTTTTGCTGGATCGCCACCAGGCTTCTGACATTGATGGTGCTTTGACGGTGAATATACTCAAGGTAAACTACAAAGCGGCTCTGGAACCTCTTATTGAATCAAGACTGACCTTCACTGTAGTTGCTTTCCCGATTCGTGACAATGGATGAAGATGTTCTTCAGAAAACGAACGTTGCCAAGTTGCTGCCTAGATTCGTCAAGAAGGGCGGACCGACAGTGAAAGAGCTGGCTCAAAAGATCATGGACAATGCCGCTGCCTCGACGAAACGTAAACTAGAGGCGGGAAAATCCGCGTCAAAGGACGGTTCACCTAAAACTTCAGTGCCTGACGGGTCTGTCCCAGATGGACGTGGTGGTGAGGCTACTGGATCCAAGAGGCCTCGAGAAGGTGAAGGGAATGGGCAGCCAGCAACTAAGCGAATGGTTGTCACCGCAAACCCCAAACCGGCAGCAAAACCAAACAGCACTGCGGTTTCTGGTGTCAGCAAACGGCCGCAGGAGGTAGGACAAGATAACAAACCAGCTGCAGCCAATGCGGCCCGCCCCAAGGCCAACATCATTGCACCGAAGCCCACCAGCCTCTTTGGTAGTTTGAGCTCGGCCTCTAAAAGACCTGGAACATCGAACGCAGAACGAGCAGCGGCCGCGGCGGCCGCAGCGAAAGCAAGGTGCGTGCCATCTCGTTATCTTTCTGCTGGTTTAATGGCTAACATAATGTGCAGTAATCCCGCGGAAAAGAAAGAATCCCAACCCCCGCCTCCAAGGCCTACTTTCTCTTTTGGGGATTTGATGGCAGATTTGAACAAGCAAAAGGATCCTGCTCCTGCACAGCCTGCGGAGGATAGACCCCCTGAGAGCGAAGAAGAACGGAAGAAGAGGTTGCGTAAGGAGGCGCGCCGGAAGTTGCGTGTCACATGGAAGCCAGATGCGTCCCTAACCGAAGTTCGTCTATTCACACATGATCCCGAAGAAGAACTTGGCCCTGGCGATCACCTGGGAGATGTCAAGGGTGAAGGCAGTGTGCTCAAACTTCACCGAGACCTCGACGAGCTTGAGGAGGAAGATGACGGTGGCATCCGTGAGGAGCAATTGTCCGACTATTATGAGCCTTCAGGTAGGTCGTTTTATTTTTGTCAATGTTGTTATTCTTGTGCTTTGATACTAATCGAGTCAGAAATCGACAACGGCGACATCGCACCCGACGATCGCTCGCGAAACTACATCAAGCGTGGCGGCACTGCAGAGCCGACTAGTCCTGAAAAGAATGCTCAGGAGCATCGGGAGGCCACAACGCTTATGGTCTTCTACACCTCGCCGGCAGACGTACCGTCGACACCAAAGGAACCTCCCCCAGCGGATGCGGAAGACACCGCACCTGAAGTTGTGTCATTTGGGGAACTACCGGACCATGTTAAGGTATGTTCCATTCGTATTTGAATACAACGTCTTCTGACAACCGGTACTAGGCCCGGCAAGATCGATACTTCGCGATGGTCAACCCTCAGCCAGCGCCAGCTCCCCAGAGCGCACCGAACGCGCCATTCGATATTTCGAATTTGCTCAAGATCATACAAAGCGCGCCTCAGCAACAATCCACTCCACCACTACCTCAACCCCAAGTCGCCCAAGCACCTATGTCTGACCTTGAGCGAACCTTCAGCATGTTCCGCCAGCAGCAGCAGCAGCAACCGCCCCCGCCTCCGCAGGCACCACTACTGCAACTGCCCCAGTTCCCACCGGCTTCTCAGCCTCCAGGTGCTCAGGGTGTAGATTTTCAGGGACTTTTGTCGATCTTCAATGCTCAAAAGCAGATGCAACCTGCACCCATTGTACCGCAGGCCCAGCCATCGCAACCTAGCATCGCTCCTAATCTGGCCGCAATCATTTCTCAGTTAACTAGTCAAAACCAATCGGCTGCGGCCAATGGACATCCGCCGCCAGGCCACTACGAGGATCCGGAGCGGAAGCGCATACGTGAAACTGGCGGATATGACGGAAACGACGATGAAAGGTTCAATTCTAAACGAAGCAGGTCAAATGAGCCGAACAAGAAGCATGTAAGTACCTCTCACCTTGCATTGCTCTACTTCAATTCTAATATGTTCCTAGCCCAAAGCAGGATTGGTTCCCTGTCGGTACTGGCGAGAAGGCAAGTGCCGCAAAGGCGACGAATGCACGTTCCGTCATGATCCATTGGACTGACGCTTCTCTTTCTCTTCTCCTGATACCCCTCTTGGTTCTCATTCATTTATACACTTCTGTAATTGACATTCTCGCATCTCATTATATCACCTTACCATTGTACATTTGCCCTGCGTGTGTTGCATTGTCAAGTTAACAGTGTCTCAACCTTTCCTTATGTTGGCAGACTTCTCATAGCGTCACGCATCTCATTTCGGAGCATACCATATGTGGAGTATCTAAGGTGTTGCGTGAGGATTACGATTCCATGTCTTAAACATTCTCTGTCGGCTATACGTTTCTGGGAGTGTGTTGATGCTGTGTCTGGCGTTCGGGTGTGGCTGCTCAAAAACGAGCAGGCTAGCATGTACATTAATACTGATCAACCGTGGCAAGGGTTTATCTGCCGCCGAAACAACCAGTGACCAAATTTCCTATGTTCCAATTTTTCCTGCCTGTAGCTATTCGAGCTTAACAAGTTAATTAGTGATATTATCATACTTCTTATCCTCACATAGCCTGCTTAGGTAATCCATAAATATGTCAGTGGTTATCTAAACCATCAAAAGTGATCAACAGTAACTTTCTCCAACAACGCCTTACTTCTCTTATTACGCTGTGAACACTACTTCGACACTCCTCTGAAACACTGCCTATTAAGCCTCCCTTTCTTACCCCCACACAACACCATTGTTACCCACTTAGCACATAACTCCAACCCAGTAATGCAACAACAACCCCACTACACCCACCTGATCATCGTCTGCTGCCACGCCATATACACCGGCGGGCCTACAAACGGTCTATCCGAGGGTGAATGGTGCGCAGCCATCCCCATGAACAGCTAGCTGATCCTTCTAATCTGGAATCAAAGAATTCATAATTAAACCTTTGGTGCTAATTACGAGAACAGGATTATAGAACCCTTCCAGAAGGGCGAAACACCTACGTTCACGAACCACGTCAAGGCCGGATTGCAGGCTTTGGTTGATGATCCAGATGCTTTGTTGGTGTTTTCCGGGTATGTATGAGGCTTAACACTAGTTGGGTTAACTTTGCCTGTATGCTATGGTTAGATTACTAGGGTTGAAGGTGCGGGTGTATGATTATAATAGATGTTGTGTGTGGTAGTATTGTGTTGGTTGAATTAATTACTGATGAATGGGTAACTATAGGGGACCTACGAAGAAAGGACGCACGGATCTTGCGGAGGGGGTGTCGTATCTTGTAAGTTCCGCCAATCCAAACTATGTCTACGATGTCTATTTCTTCTTCCCATGACAAGGATTGACGATTTATATGAACCGTGTCCACTAATACATACCGCCAGAACCTCGCCAAAGACAACAACTACTTCGGTTTCGCTCCACAGATAAACCCTACACGAGTGGTCGCTGAAACCCACGCTACGGATTCTTACCAGAATGTCCTGTTCTCCATGCTCCAGTTCAGACTGCGCACGGGAGTGTATCCGAAGCGGGTGACTGTTGTGACGCATGAGTTTAAACGGAGGCGGTTTGTAGAGTATCATTTTCCGGCCTTGGGGCTCTCTGATTCTGCGTCTACGGTCGTTGGGATTAATCCGCCGGAGGAAGTGACGCCGTTGGCTTCTTTATTGGCTGGGGAGGAGAAGAGTGGGATTGGGTTGTGGAGTAGGGATAGGTATGGGGTGCAGAAGGAGTTGGCGGGGAAGAGAATGAAACGCGGGTGGAGGGCCGGGATGGAGGATGGGGTATTTGTGAATGTGGGCTTGGAGGCTGTTGTGGAGGAGTTGGTGAGGTGGGATGGAGGGGAGATGGGGATTGAATGGTTTCCTAAGATGGAGGAGTTGCCTTGGTGGGGACAGTTGCAATGATGCAGATTCGTTAGTCATTGATAGATAGCAATCATGCTAGTTATGAGAAAATAGATGTAGAATACAAGGTTTGATGAAAATATGCCCGAAATGCTCCCGAATTCAGATCCCGCCCTCTCTTCCGTAACGCCTCCCTTTGAACACCTGATGATGTGTCGAAGTGAACTAATCAGCAAGGCGATAGCTGACTAGAGTCTCTACGCGGTGATTATTGGTGCTGAAGCTTCGGAGCTGCACCTTCTCTGCGTTCTTGATTTCTTTGGCGTCACTGTCGCCCCATTCCACGGGGACCTCGGAGTCGGCGTCGGCGTACACCAGGACGTTAAATGTGCAGTCGCCATCCAGGACTGGCAGGAATGTGACAGATGCGGTGATCTGGCGGAAGATAGCCTGGATTTCGTCTTGGATCTCTTTCTCGGTTTTCTCAACGGTGGCAGCGGCTTGGGGTTCCTTGTCCCTGTAGAGCAAAACATGGTTAGTGGTGTAGAGTGGAATGCATAGTGTCAGACTTACCCAGGAGCAGCGTTCTCCTTGTCACCAGAAGTGCGGGATGACTGGCTCTTGGAATGCTTTCCAAAGATTTGCACCTGATACCTCATTAGCCCTGTATCCCGTGAGGAGGATTGACTTGCGTACATCGAACTGCCATCTTTCCACATGTTCACCGGTTTCCTTGTCCGTTATGACAATGACAAGCTTAGAGATCTTGCCACCCGTCATCCATTTGTTCAGCTGCGACATAATCTTCTTGATGTAGGCTTTGACCTGGTCGTCGGCGGTAACTATTATCGGTCAACGAAGGGACTCGGATACCAGAATCGTGATGACCAACCCAGCATATTGAGGCCATATTTCTTGACACTTTAGAGAACTGGTTAGTTTGCTTCCACATTGGCAGGTGTAAGACACTCACGTTGTGAAATCCTCTGGAGGGTAAACGCCTCTCTGGAAGCTGGAAGGAGTCAGATGAGCAATTTCCTCCAAGCATCACCAATAAACCTACAGGATCGAGTTGATAGAGTATTCAAACTAGATTCATTAGTATAGCTGGGTGATACCTCAGTCAAGAAAGAAAAACTCACGAATTCGGCCACCAGCTTCGCCGATCCTGCTGTGTATAAGCTTCTGTTGATATCTCGCAAACTATTGGTCCGTACCTTTCAAGGACAGCTTGTGAACCTTAGACTTATCCTTAGTAGCGGACATGATGGCTGTGAGGGAAGTTCCTGGAATTGAAGTGTTGACGGCAAGCTACTCAGGCGTGAAGAGTTACATGCGAGGGGAAAGAGGAAGCTTTGTTTATCGAGACAGTCACCGCGGCAATCTGGACTGACCGCCCGCCGACCTGATCTCCGCAGCCGTACTTTTTCCGCCCGCCAAACTGACGGAGACTTGCCTGTGCCTGATCGTGTCTGCAGTCCGCATACTATCTCGTCAAGCAATTCATTCCCATGCAATTGCAGACCTCCAGATGCGAGGATGCCTGCAGTTAGCCAGGTGGCTGCGCGCAGCACCGAAATGTCCTGCTGCAAGCCTTCTCAAGCCGCCATCCGGCCTTGCTAATCCAGCCCGGTTTTTCACGACTTCCACCGCATGCTGGGCATCGCGCTCCAGGGCTCCGGCCAGCCAGCCATCCTCCGACCTTGAATCAAGAATCGCAGCTATCCCGATTGATCGATACCGTAACTTCTGCATTGTCGCCCACGTCGATCATGGCAAAAGTACCCTCTCCGATCGGCTGTTGGAACTCACAGGAACGATCCAGCCCGGTATGAACAAGCAGGTTTTGGACAAGCTTGACGTCGAGCGTGAACGGGGTATTACGGTGAAGGCACAGACATGTACAATGATTTACAACCATAATGGCGAGGACTATCTGTTGCATCTGGTTGATACACCGGGACATGTGGACTTCCGTGCGGAGGTTTCGCGCAGTTATGCCAGTTGCGGAGGAGCGTTGCTCTTAGTTGACGCCAGTCAAGGTATCCAGGCTCAGACAGTCGCCAACTTCTATCTCGCATTCTCTCAGGGCCTGGAGTTGATCCCCGTCATCAACAAGGTGGACCTGCCGTCCGCTGATCCGGAGCGTGCTCTTGACCAGATGGAACAGTCTTTTGAGCTTGACACGGAAAGTGCAGTGTTGGTATCAGCCAAGACGGGACTTAATGTGCAGCAATTGCTTCCTACTGTAGTCGAGAAGATTCCGGCGTAAGTTTGGTCTATCAACAAACCATTTTAGCCAAGAATTGGAACTGACTCAAAAAAGACCGGTGGGAGATGTTAACAATCCCCTACGGATGCTTCTCGTCGATTCCTGGTATGATTCGTACCGAGGTGTCATCTGCTTGGTCCGCGTTTTCGACGGCGAAATCCGGGCAGGAGACCAGCTTGTGTCGTTCGCGACTGGAATCAAATACTTCGTGGGCGAGGTCGGAATTATGTATCCCAACGAGACGGCCCAGTCGGTCCTTCGGGCTGGCCAGGTCGGCTACATCTTCTTCAACCCTGGTATGAAGCGAAGCAAGGAAGCTAAAATCGGTGATACCTACACCAAGGTTGGGTTTGAGAAAGTCGTCGAGCCGCTTCCGGGCTTCGAAGAACCCAAGGCAATGGTTTTCGTGGCCGCCTATCCCGTGGACGCCGATCACTTCGAGCACTTGGAAGATAGTATCAACCAGCTTTGTCTGAACGACCGGAGTATTACTGTGCAAAAAGAGTCATCTCATGCTCTTGGAGCAGGTTTCCGGTTGGGCTTTTTGGGAACACTGCATTGCTCTGTCTTTGAGGATCGTCTGCGCCAGGAGCACGGTGCCAGTATCATCATCACTCCTCCTTCCGTTCCCGTGAAACTCATCTGGAAAGACGGCAAGGAAGAGATCATCTCCAATCCCGCCAAGTTCCCGGAGGATGAAGAGCTTCGTGGCAAGATCTCCGAGATTCAGGAGCCTTATGTTGTCGCTACTTTGACCCTCCCCGATGAGTATCTTGGAAAGGTCATCGAGCTCTGCGAGTCCAACCGAGGCGTGCAAAAGAGCCTCGAGTATTTCACATCCACTCAGGTTATTCTCAAGTATGAACTGCCCCTTGCGCAGCTGGTTGATGACTTCTTCGGAAAGCTGAAGGGCTCTACTAAGGGCTACGCCACCCTTGATTACGAGGAATCTGCGTGGCAAACAAGCAACATCGTCAAGTTACAACTTCTGGTCAACAAGGCTCCGGTGGATGCGGTCGCACGGCTCGTTCATTACAGCCAAGTAGAGCGATTGGGCAGACAATGGGTGACTAAGTTCAAAGAGCACGTTGACCGGCAACTGTTCGAGATCGTCATCCAAGCAGCTGTTGGCCGTAAGGTTGTGGCGCGTGAGACCGTTAAGCCGTACCGGAAGGATGTCCTCGCGAAGCTGCATGCCAGTGATGTCAGTCGGCGCAGGAAGCTCTTGGAAAAGCAGAAGGAGGGACGCAAGAAGCTGCGGGCTGTTGGAAACGTGGTGATTGAACAAAAGGCATTCCAGGCATTCTTGGCTAAATAAGTAGGGCATCATGCCTGCCACTGTACAGTATATTATATTATATTTGCTTCTGCTGTATTATTATATTGATAGATAGATCTTTGCACCTGAATGCATCTTCTCGTCCACAACGTACAGAGTATGTCTGTATAGAATTGTAGTAGTATGCAGTGTGAATACTGGGCTTCCCGGTGGCTCTGATTGGCGGAGCGGCGGAAGCTGGAGCTTACAATTTAACCGCAGAAAAGTTCGTCGCCGACCCCGCCGCCGCGGTCGTCTGCAATTTCTCCCCCTCCCGCGGTCGCTTTCTCTTGCTGGCTTTCCTTCCTCCAGATCCACAAGCTGCAGTGCCGCTGGCTGCAATACTGACCATCATACGTCTGGGCGATTCTCTTGTTCGTTGTACGGTGATTTCAGCGCCGTCGCATTCTACCCGTTGAGTCAGTGTCGCCTTGCCATGATCATCATCTGACAACGGCGATGCAGCCTCCAGAAGGTGTGCAGGTCGACCTGGGCAAGGCCCAGGTCATTGACCGCGTTCCCAAAGTTATCAAGGAGTTGAAGTTTGGTGTTCTGTAAGCATGGCTCTGCTTCTCCCCGTTCTACCCCTCCTGGATCTCCGCTGCGGAGCAGTCAAGACTAATACCGCGCGCGAATCGTCCAGGTCCAACGATGACATTGTCAGCCAAGGTGTGGTGGAAGTTTCGGATCGCAAGTTCTTCGATCTCGATCATGATCGAGCGGTGGTAGCCAATGGTCCTCTCGATGCGCGCATGGGTATCTCCAACAAGACCTCCTCATGTCAGACTTGTGGTGGCACTCTCCAGATTTGCAATGGACACTTCGGTCATGTCCGGCTCGTGCTACCGGCTTTCCACGTCGGTTACTTCAAGCGAGTCATTACTATTTTGCAGGAAGTGTGCAAGGAATGTTCGCGCATTCTGCTCCCCGAAGCCGATCGCCGTGCCTATCTTCGTGAAATGCGTCGTCCTGGGTTGGATAATTTGCGGCGCGGCCAGATTGCGAAGCGGATCAACGAGCGGTGCCGTAAGACACGCAACTGCGAGGCCTGTGGTGCGGTTAACGGTGTGGTGAAGAAAGCTGGAACGAGCGCCCTCAAAATCACCCACGACAAATTCCGTGCATTCAACGCCTCGACCTCCGTCAAGAAAGTTCCGCCGCCCAGCAAGATTGTTTTCGACCGGTCATTCGACGAAGCCAGAACGTCCAATGCTGAGGTCGAGAAACATTACAAGAAGGCCCAGGATGATATGAACGCTCTTCGCGTGCTGAACCTGTTCAAGAAGATTTCCGATACCGATTGCGAGCTGCTTGGTTTGAACCCGAAGGAAGCAAGACCGGAAATGTTCCTCTGGCAATTCATCCCCGCTCCTCCGGTGTGTATTCGTCCTTCCGTCGGTCAGGATGCGGCGTCCACTGAGGACGATTTGACAGCCAAGCTAGGCGACATTGTCCAGAGCAATATCAACCTGAAAAACGCATTGTTGAAGGGCGCACCGGTACAGACAATTATGGAATGCTGGGACTACATGCAGCTACAGATTGCGGTGTATATCAACAGTGATGTGCCGGGTCTGAACAAGGCAGACCTTGGAAAGCCCATTCGTGGTTTCGTGCAGCGATTGAAGGGTAAGCAGGGTCGGTTCCGTGGTAACTTGTCCGGAAAGCGTGTAGATTTCTCAGGCCGTACTGTCATTTCCCCCGATCCCAACCTGCGAGTCGATGAGGTTGCGGTCCCTGAATTGGTGGCCAAGAACATGACCTATCCCGAAGTTGTTACTCGGTACAATAAAGAGAAGCTACAGCAGAGAGTCCGAAACGGCACGAAGAAGTGGCCGGGTGCAAACTACATTATGAAAAAGGGCCAGACGTTCAAGCTCTTCCTTAAATATGGTAACCTGAACATGATTGCCGACCAACTGCAGGAGGGTGATGTTATTGAGCGCCACATCGAGGACGGTGATATTGTTCTGTTCAACCGACAGCCCTCTCTGCACAAGCTCAGTATTCTGTCTCACTTTGCCAAAGTTCGTCCTCACCGGACCTTCCGACTGAATGAGTGTGTCTGTAACCCTTACAACGCGGATTTCGACGGAGACGAGATGAACTTGCACGTGCCTCAGACGGAGGAGGCGAGAGCCGAAGCGATGGAACTGATGGGAGTCAAGAACAACTTGGCCACGCCCAAGAACGGAGAGCCGATTATTTCTGCCATTCAAGATTTCATCAGTGCCGCCTACATTCTCAGTAGCAAGGACAACTTCTTCGACCGCCGCTCGTTCACCCAAATTTGTCTGTACATGCTGGGCCCGCAGACACGCTTCGACCTGCCCCCTCCAGCTGTGCTTAAGCCTCAGATGTTGTGGACCGGAAAGCAGGTTTTCAACATCCTCATGCGGCCGAACAAGGATGACCCCGTCTTGGTCAATTTGGATGCTGCGTGCAGACAGTTCAAGGCTCCCAAGGATGGTACGCCACGGGATCTGGACCCGAAGGATTCCTGGCTCGTCATCCGTAACTCCGAGGTGATGTGTGGTGTGATGGACAAATCCACCATTGGTTCCGGAAAGAAAGACAACGTGTTCTATATCATGCTGAGAGATTACGGGCCTGTGGCGGCTGCCGAGGGTATGAACCGCCTGTCCAGGCTCTCAGCCCGCTGGTTCACAAACATGGGATTCTCGATCGGTATCACCGACGTATATCCCAGCGAAAAGCTCCTACGTTCGAAGCATGACCTCGTCGAAACGGCGTACGCACAGTGTGACGAAGTCATTGCCAAGTACAAGGCAGGCACACTGGAGAAATATCCTGGTTGTGACGAGTTGCAGACCATGGAGAACCAACTGTCCGGTATTCTCAGTAAGGTCCGTCAGCAGGCAGGAGACGAGTGTATCGCTCAGTTGAGCAAATACAACTCGCCCCTAATCATGGCCACGTCCGGATCCAAGGGTTCCAGTATCAACGTGTCCCAGATGGTTGCCCTTGTCGGTCAGCAGATTATCGGTGGTCAGCGTGTGCAGGACGGCTTCCAGGACCGTACCCTGCCGCACTTCCCCAAGAACGCTCGCCAGCCCCCGTCCAAGGGTTTCGTCCGTAACAGTTTCTTCTCCGGACTGGAGCCCACGGAGTTTATTTTCCACGCCATGTCCGGTCGTGAAGGTCTGGTCGATACGGCCGTCAAGACCGCCGAGACGGGTTACATGTCTCGTCGGTTGATGAAGTCGCTTGAAGATCTCTCGACCAGATACGATGATACCGTGCGTAACTCGTCCGCGGCCATTGTCCAGTTCCAGTACGGTGATGATAAGCTTGATCCCTTGGATATGGAAGGTAAAGCCAAGCCTGTCCATTTCGACCGGACTTTCATCCACGCCGAGTCGACGACTTACAAGAACGACGAGCGGAGTTTGCTTCCGGCCGAGATCATGGAGATTTGTGAAGAGATGCTTTCGAAGGAGCGCTCTAAGCTGGTGCGGAAGGATTTGATGGGCAACGAGCTCGGCTACATGGATCGGTCTGACCATGGTGTCGATCAGTTCGAGAGTGCTCGTGACTTCCTCGAGTCTATCCAGCAATACGTCGCTACGAAGGCAGACAAGCTGATCTCCCGCGGTGGTGACATCGACCCCAACGACGAGAGAAGTCAGAAGGGTCTGAACCACACCGGAAAGCTGACTGAGCGCACGCTCCGCACTTTCATCTCGTCATGTTTGATGAAGTACAAGAAGGCCCAAGTCGAGGCTGGCCACGCCGTCGGTGCAGTTGGTGCACAGTCCATTGGTGAACCTGGTACGCAGATGACGCTGAAAACTTTCCACTTTGCTGGTGTCGCCGGTATGAGTATCACGCAGGGTGTACCCCGTATTAAGGAAATTATCAACGCGTCGAAGGAGATCAGTACGCCTGTTGTTGCTTGCGAGCTCGTCACGAAGGACAATATCATCGCGGCGCGAATCGTCAAGGGACGTATTGAGAAGACCTACTTGCGAGACATTATCCACTATGTCCGTGAGACATGGACGGGCAAGGAAGCCTACATCACAGTGAAGATCAACTGGAAGACAATCCAGGACTTGGCGCTCGAGCTGAAGATCGAGAACATCTTGTCGGCGATCAAGAACCACAAACGGTTCAAGGCAGACGATCTGAAGTTCCGATGCTCGCGGTCCCACATCCACGTCTACATGGACGTGGATCCGTCGACCAAGGCCAATCTGTCCAAGACGGAGATCGCCCACACCAGTGCCGATCCTTTCCTCCGTCTGAAGCACCTGAAGCGCATGCTCCCTGACATCCAAGTCCTGGGTCACCCCCAGGCCTTCCGTGCCATCATCCGAACCGACGAGACGTCTACCACCAACACGCTTCTGGTGGAAGGCTACGGTCTCCGCGAGTGTATGACAACGATGGGTGTGGACGGACTGCGCACGTCAACCAACAACGTCATGGAGATGCGGGACGTTCTCGGTATCGAGGCGGCGCGGACGACCATCGTGCAGGAAATCAGCGAGGTCATGAAGGACATGGACATTGATCCGCGACACATGCAGTTGCTGGCCGATGTCATGACCTACAAGGGTGAAGTGCTGGGTATCACGCGATTCGGTCTCGCGAAGATGCGTGACTCCGTCCTGCAGTTGGCGTCGTTCGAAAAGACGGCGGACCATCTGTTCGACGCCGGTGGTGCGGGTCGCAGCGATCTCATCGAGGGTGTGTCCGAGTGTATCATTATGGGCAAGACGGTGTCGCTGGGAACGGGAGCGATGGAGGTGGTGCGCAAGATGAACTTCTTCGAGGGACAGATCGGGGCACGCAAGACGACGTTCGAAGATACATGGACCGAGGTGTACGAGGCGCCATTGGAGAGAGCCAAGGCAGCTCGACGCAAGCGATCATGATATACATAAAAGCACTCAAAAGAGAGGACTTGTAAAAGGGACGGGTTAAAAGCATACCAGGCGTTGTATGTACTTGTGTACTTTTAGCGATAGCAGCAACACTGCAATTTCACCTTCATAAGCCTTTATAAGAGTATTAAACCAATAAACCAATGAAGACTACGTACCTAATACTCTATAAAATAGTAACTTACAGCTTGGTGGTTGCAGCAGCGCCAAACCAACTGCTTAATAAGGCCGATAAAGCCATCCATCCATTAATCCCCGCCCCACCCGAACTTTTCGATAACATCGATTTCTCCCCTCACTCTCCCCTCCATAACCAGTCACATTTATCTCCCACCACCAGCATTACCTACACACTTCACAACATACAATACACAACCTCACCACCACCTCCCAACCGACCCCCCCAACAACACCAACAACAATGACCTCAACGACAGAATCCTACACACCCCCACCCCTCCCCCCACCCTTCCACCACACCCCCTCCCACACCATGACCCTAATAACCCAAGGCGCCGAAGCTCACCTCTACAAAACGACCTACCTATCACCGACCACCCCCGCGGCACTAAAAATCCGCCCGACAAAGCCCTACCGCCACCCGATCCTCGACCGGCGATTGACGCGTGCTCGCGTCCTCCAGGAAGCGCGGTGCTTGGTGCGTCTTGTGCGCGAGGGGGTGAATGTTCCGGCGGTGTTGGCGGTGGACTGGGATATCAACAACAAGAACAACAATAATGGGGGTGAGGGAGATGATAATGATGTGAGAGGCAACGGAGCCTGGATCCTCATGGAATGGATCGAGGGATGTGTGGTACGGGTTGTGATTCAACGGTGGGAGCGGTATATCAAGTCTCGTGCTGGGTCTGGTTCTGGTGTGGGGGCGAAGAGGCAGGTTGATGGGGAAGTCAAGGAACAGGATAATGAGATTGAGGAAGAGGAGAAGAAAGTCAAGGGGTTGTTGAGACGCATTGGGGCTGCTGTTGGGGCGTTGCATAAGGCTGGGGTGGTGCATGGGGATTTGACGACGAGTAATTTGATCTTGAGAGGTGCGGATGAGGGTGGGGATGGGGATGGGGCTAGTCCTGATATGCAGGGTGAGGTGGTGCTGATTGATTTTGGATTGGCGAGTCAGAGTATTCAGGATGAGGATCGCGCGGTGGATTTGTATGTGCTGGAGCGCGCGTTTGGGAGTACGCATCCCCGGACGGAGCCGTTGTTTGGGGAGGTCCTGGAGGGGTATCGGGCGAGTTATCGCGGGTCCGGGTCGGTGTTGAAGAGGTTGGAGGATGTGAGGATGAGGGGGAGGAAGAGGAGTATGCTTGGTTAGAATTGTTTTTTTTATTTCTTTGTTTTATGAGATATGGATGGGGTGGATGTGCTTGTCATTGAGTCGTTATGTATATGAAGACTTAGAAGTAGAACAAAACAGAACAAGAACAGAACGAATAACGCCAGCCGTGCTTATCCATGCGAGGGTGTGTAATCAGGTAGCAAGCAGAATGAGGAGGAAGAAGGAGAAGATGGTTATGACCTCTCCACGCAGCTGCCTACATCCGCCAGCGCAAAATATCCCTTATTCTCCACCACTCCCCGATCCTTCACCACAGCCGTGTACTTGACCACCCACTGCGGCTCGACATCGCCCTGAATGCCATCGGGCGCATCCGGCGACGAGGCTAGAATCCCTGCGCCCTTCTCCCCAGGCCCAAGCAGATCCCGGGTCGTGCCGACAGGCAAGATATCCATGCAGTCATTATGCGTGAGCAATTGAATATGCTCTTGCTTAGCGTAGAGAATCAGCGACTTGGGCACGACACAGCAGTCCTTCAAGTTGATCTGATCGACAGACGGTTTAACCTTCGTGTGGGGAAGGAATCGGGCGAGCCGTTCGCTTCCGAACTCCGCGACTCCCAACTGTGAGATCATGCCCTGTTCTTGCAAACCCTCCAAGGTACGCCACGTCTGTATCATGCTGTCAAAGTCATCGGGTTCTTCGCTGCCATTTTCGGAAGAGACTTCCTCGTCGCTGTCGTCGTCGGCGTCGAAGAGGATGCCCGGGAAGGAGACAATCAGCAAGTCGATAGAGTCGACGTGCAGCTCCTTAAGAACGAGATCGATGGCTTCGCGGGTGTGTGCGCAGCGCCGGGAGGCAGGAATGCCGGGGAGGTAGAATAGTTTGACGGTGATGTCGTACTGGGAGCGCTCTTCGGAGAGACCGTGGGCGAAGTCGGTCGCGGGAATGTAGAGAGCGTTGTCGCCTTGCTTGGTCCAGGTAGTGTAAGGAGGGCGGTCGCTAGAGGGGTCTGAGGCGTGTTGGGCGGCTTGGAAGTTTGTGCGCAGTGAGTTGATCAGTTCGACGTTGGACTTTTCGGTGGGATGGCGGATGATGGTCTCGCCGCTTATCATGATATTTCTGTGGTTGTTAGAGGGGGATTGGGGAAGATACGATAGTAGACGTACGAGGAAGAGAGAATTAGCTTCATGATGACGGGATTAAGAAGGCTATTCTCGAGGGTAGAGGCGATATAGACGAGGGAAGAGGGGAATTCGGAGGTGGAATGCGCTGAAGTTGGCGGGGAGAAGGATAAAGATGGTTTTATTGCTAAGCAGCCCCGCGGGGACCGGCCCGCCTGTCTTGTGCTTATCCAAACAGACTTCATCCATTCATAACCATCAGTCTACTCGGTACACTCCGGTCTCATTACATGCTAAGTGGTCTACATTTAGTCGTAGTCCACTGTGGGATCCCAATCCGTGGGCGAGTATTCGCCTGTGTGCAGTGTCTTCATCTCCTCCTCTGTCAATGCGAAATCAAAGACCTCCGCATTTTCCTGGATCCGACTGGGCGTCACTGATTTGGGCAGAGGCACAAATCCCTACAATCGTCAGTATGGGCTCTTTACAACTGCTTTAAAAGAACATACCTTTTGCAGCCCCCACCGGATCATGATCTGTGCTGGCGATTTGGCATACTTCTTTCCCAGCTCCTTCAGCACACGTTCGCCCATGCGCGTCCCATGCGCCAAGGGGGAGTAGGCCTGCACCACGATATTGCGTTTCTGTAACCACTCTGCGATCTCCGATCGGTCCAGCCACGGGTGCAGCTCATACTGACCGACGTCGATCTGTCCGCCTCCGCCGGACTTGATGTACTCTTCCAGCTCATCGAGGTGGTGGATTCCATAGTTCGACACTCCAATGGATCGGGTCTTGCCGGCTTTCTGTGCCTCCACAAGGGCCTTCCACGAGCCGAGACGGGCTTCTTTTCCGCCGTAGGGAGCATGTAGCAGGATTCTACGCTCGTCAGCATGCTTCTTCTGGTTGAAGGGGCTTAGGGTAGATCTTACAGATCGAAGTATTCCTGCTGTGCTTCACGCAGACTTGAGTCGATGGCTCGCTTGGTGCGATCGTATCCCATCGATCCCGGGGGGATCTTGGTTGTGAAGAAGATCTCCGACCGAGGGATACCGGAGTTTGCGATGGCGCGCCCGCAGGCCTTCTCATTGCGGTACATGATGGCAGAGTCGACCTGATCCCTTGATGAGATATGACGATTAATGGGAGGGATTGGTGTAGAACCTACATGACGATAGCCAACTCTGAGTGCTTCGAGAACAGCTTTCTCTGTTTGGGAGGCCGGGCTGGGGAAGTTAGTTGGGATGTAAGTTGAAGCCTGGCTTAGTGCACGTACATCAGGTAGACCTGGTTCACTAGTCAGTTTGCCTGGTCGGGATGGGGAAGGTTCAGGATAAGCTCACCCCGTATCCAAGGATGGGGATCTCATGGCCAGAGTTTAGGCGATAGGTCGAACGCAGACTCTGTATAGCAGACATGGTGAGTTCTCTGTCACAGAAGGATGGATGCAGTGCGGAGGAGATGAGAAGATGGAGGAGTGGATGGCTGGTTAATTAAGAAAGACGAGCGATGAGATCATCGCGGTGGGGTTGGAGAGTCTGGCCTTACAATGAAAGCCCTTCGAATAATAACAAAGTATAAGTCGTATTTGCATTCTTGGCATCCATTACAGCACACTTGATATGATTCTTTTCTCTCTGATCTCCTGAATGTCACCTGTATACTAGTAAAGTGGATAGTACTTCCTGCTTAGCCCCATCCGGGCTCGGAGGAAGGCAGACACGAGGCTGTCTTCATTCCGAAGCTGACCAATTTTCAGCTATTCTTTTCCCCGCAATGGCGCCATCCTTGTTCCGACTTGTAGTCTCCATCTGACAACCTGCAGGCTTTCTTTTGGCACGCCTATCTATAGTGGAACATGGTTCTTGATTTGATCAAACCACCAATGAGCTCTCGCACTGGAAAACCCCGGCAGAGAGTGTATCGGACACGGACCAAGTCAGGGTGTACCACATGCAAGTAAGTGACTTATCTCCCTTGCGATAAAGAAATATACTAATCCACCCATAGAAGTAAGTCATGTCTGATACCCCAAGAATATATACAATAGTAATGCCCACACGCTTTCTTCTTTATCACCACAGTAAGGCACGTCAAATGTGACGAAGCCCGACCAAGCTGCCTGAGGTGCACTTCGACGGGCCGCAAATGCGACGGCTATGCTACTACCAACACCAACTCTACTCTCACAGCCACTGTCCTCCCACGTCCTTCACAGGCCCTCACTGGCTTCCGCTATGCAACAGGGGAACGTGATATCCGATCATTCCAGTTCTTCTACGAAAAGACCGTCTTCTCTCTGGCCGGCTACTGTGGCTCGGAATTATGGAGTCGGTCAGTCTTGCAAGTCAGTCAGAAGGAGAAGCCCATATGGCACGCCCTGGTCGCTTTGGGCGCACTGCACGAGAACTATGAAAATAGTCACCAGACTCCAGGACCCTGGTTCAACCGAAAGCGACATGACACCTTTGCCTTGCAACAATACCTTGCGGCGATTCGGGCTCTTCTACGTCCATCAGAGGATTCAGGTAGTCCATCGTCCACGTATGTAACTAGTAGTCATGGCGGGACGCTCTCGGTGGACGTTTGTCTCATATCGTGCGTGCTATTCGTATGTTACGAGGTATGTTGATCGGGCCCGGTTATAGGCACACGTTTGTTTGACCATCACTCAAGATCATGTCCGGACACTACGTCGCAGCCCTCAGCCACATTAGGAGCGGTATGAAGATCTTAGGCGAAGTTGCCTACGATGCGAGCACAGGAACATATCATCATCCCCTTTTAAGGCCGTCCACTGTACCAAATTTCGAGATCGATGAAATACGAAAACTCCTTATCCGCTTGCAGATCCAAGTATATGCCTTGGTACTACCCCCAATGGCCCCCATAACAGCCAATTGATATCACACGCTAATGCTGTGAAAGACTCGATCAATAGAAGACAGCCCAGCCTGCAGCACAGCACAGCTACGAGGCGTATCCAGCGACTTCACCGACATCCCAGCAACCTTCACCTCCCTCTCCCAAGCCCGCAATATCTACGAGCACTACAGCAGCATGTTCCGCCACGACTACCACACCCTCATCGACGCCCAACCACCCACACCACCAACAGCAAACCCATCCCTTCCACCCCTCATCCACCACTACGCAACCATCCTAACCAAATGGTCCACGGCCCTCGACCACTTCGAGCAAACACGCGGCTCCACGCTAACAACAAAAGAACAAATCGGGCTCAAAATCCTCCAAATCCACCGCCTCGAGCACACCATGATGCTAGAACAATACAACTCCGGCTCGTCCGACTCCACAGTCTGGGACAGATTCAACTCCATCTTTAAACAGATCATCTCATTATCAAAATCAGTCGTGCAGCTCTCCGGCCCATCGTCACCACCACCCACGCCATCACATACAATGATGCCTACGGCAAACCTACCCCCCACCTTCTCCCTCGACCTCGGCATCATCGCCCCCCTCTACTCAACCGCAGCCCTCTGCCGCGACCCCCTCACCCGGCGCGAAGCCGTCGACCTTCTCCGCTCCTGTTCCCGCCAAGAAGGCGTGTTCAGCAGCCACTTATGTGCCGTGGCAGCGGAGAAAGTCATTGCGCTGGAAGAGCACGTTGCGCTTGCAGCAGGCGATGTGGACTACGCGAGGGATTCTGCGGCTATTACGGGGATGGTGTTGCGCGATGGGAATGAGTTGCAGTATCAGTCGACGGTGATCACAAGGTGTTGGGAGGTGCCCGAGAAGGCGAGGCTCACGTATGCGTATCCGGAGTTTGATCTTGTGGGGAAGAGGGTTTGTTTGACGATTGGACAGGATGATAAGGTGCATGTGAATATTCCGTGGTGGCCGGGGGGTGTGGTGGTTTTTGGGTTGGATGAGGGGTGATTTATTGATTTCGTTGTAGAGTGGGAGGATGGGGAGGGTAGTGGGGGTTGGCTTTCTTAGTGTTAAAGAATATATTTTGACTTGAAGAGGGGGGTGGAAAGACTACATATAGTATGTCATGTCCAGGGAGGATATCGGTTGTGAGGACCGTAGGGCTGGGCAATTCCAGCTATGTGCATCCTACCTTCAGCTTAGCTGGCATTCTGGCAAGGCGTATGGAGAATTCATATTTAGATGTTCAATTCAAAGCCAACTGTTCGTGGCAAATTCTAGTAGACCAATGGAGATCCAAGATCAAGAAGCATAAATCATAGATACAAGAAAGTAGGGGCTCCCAAAGGCTCCCGTCTCAGGCCAGACGGCCAACTGCTAATCACTTTGCGCCATTTGTCGCCATCCAAATGAAAGGGTTCTTCAAACGCAGAAAAAGTCAGGATATAGGAAAGAAGCGTGCAGATCATTTCACCTCGTTGGCGTCAGAGAATGGGCTCTCGACTCGCGGTGGGAGGTGTCGACTGCTTCGGTTAGACTGGGTACCTTCGGGTCTCTCGAGCAAAGATGACGCTCGGGCAGACGCTCGGCGATCGGTCTCTGCGGGTTGGTCCTGGAAAGGACTCTGGCTGACGGCTGGCGAATCTTCGATCACGGTAGCGGGTCGTGATTGTGTCTCCTCCTTAGCTGTCTCTGTCTTGCTGGTGTTCTGTGCCGGTGTGGTCTTTGGTGCGGAGTCTTCTTCATCCGAGGAATTGGCGTCGAAGCCCGAAGTAGGCGTCTCTTCCTTTTCTTGGGTACTAGGCGACTTGGACGCAGCCGCGCTATTTGTCTCCGGTTGCTCTTCGATGGTCTGGACGGCGGGGGACGCAGAGGCGTTGTTGTTCTTTTTCTTCGAGGCACCTCTCACCATGACCGGCTTGGCGGTAACCGTGCGTGCGACAATGGAACTGTTAGCGGTAGTCGTAGTGACGCCTGCCTTAGCGAGCTGTGCCTGGGTGATGGCAGGAACAGCGGGCGCATCGGCAGCTCCGTTGATATTGACCACCGCGGCCTTTGTGCGCATGATCTGTTGAGCAGGCATCGGGCTGACGATGGCATTGTTTCGGTAGATAGTGGTGGCCACACTGCTGCGCAAACTGGGAGCGATGCTGCGGCGTTCGTTCGACATTTCCGACCATGTGGAGTCGCGAAGATCGCCGGGCATGAAGAAGTGTTGATCAGGGTGGGCACCGGGCAACGGAGGAACAGGCGGCACGAGGTGGCCTGGAGTTTCTGGGGGCGAGCGGTTGGTGACACCGGGGATATATGCGATTTGAATCACATTGGAGGCGCGAGTTAGGACGGTAGATGCGATCGAATGGGTCGATTTTCTCGACTGTCGGGCGTCGTTGAATGTGCTGGCCTTCTCTCCCACACTGGCTGCCTGTTCCTGGCGCTTCTTCCGGATGAAGAACCACCACACAAGGAACGTCACGATGGCAATAAATGCAACACCACCAATGACTCCTCCCGCGATCGCCCCGGCGTCGCTGCCTCCTCCACCCGGGTTGTTTGAGCTAGAGCTGTCGCTAGATGTTGGAGACTTGACACATTGGGTGCTGGCACACGCAGTACATGACTGACTGGTCATCGTGCATGTATAGCCATCGTCGCAGGAAGGGCAAGACGGTGATGTAGAGGGACATGACACACAGCTTCTGAAGGACAGAAGAGAGCGGGCGTACAAGACTTCAACACGATCATGTCAGCAACTAATGCCGTGCACCAGATCAAGAAGAATACATACCATTGGGGGAGGAGGTATCGGGAATATGGAAAGACATGATGAAAGGTAGGATGTGGTTTGGAAAATGGATCACGGCGAAGGGATAAAAACAAGGAGGTATAAGGTTGGGTCGTGATAAAACGCTGCTGCTTCAAATTGGCGAGAAAAGAGTGGCAGGCCGATCAACGGCGAAGAGAACGTGCAGAATGTAGTAAATCTGGTAAAAGAGTGTGGATGCTCAACAGACGTCAAGTCGTGAGGATGGTTACGAGGTCATCAAAAGGAGGATGGATGATTTCAGACAAGCGAACGGATGTCGGTGGTAGGGAAGTCGGTCGGCGGACGGTAGGCAACAACGGTCATAGTATGCGATCTAGGGTGGATCTCCGTTGAGGTGAGGCGGTAGATGATTCTTCCCAGTCGGGCGTTTGGACAGTCAGTGCGATGGACAATTTCAACCCCAGTGGCAGTTGATATTTGATAGGTCGCTGGGGTTGACGTCGGAGAAACACGCGTTGGTGGCTGCCAGGTACAGGACCACCGCAGGGACAATGAATTTCAGGGGAGTAACGAGATGACAGGAGGAGAAGAAGGCGGTATGTCCCGGGGGTTGGGGAGAGGAGGGACGAGGGGAGAACGAGTTGATGGCAGAAAAGGAAGAGAAAGAAGCAAAAGGATCGAAAGGGAAGAGAAGGAGGAAGAGGAGAAGCAAATGAGTGAAAGTCGAAAGAAAGAAATGACCGATAATAATAGGAACTTCGAACAAACCGAAAGGGAACGAGGGAAGTAAGCAGAGGAACCACTTGAAGTGGTGGTGGTGGTGGGTGGTGGGTGTGTGGAAGTGGAAGGGGTGTGTGGGCGGGAGACGCGGAGAGGGCGAAGGCCTGACTCGGTTGGGTTTAGTGCTGGGCTGTGATGCTTATGCCCACTCACTCCCCGGCTCTTACTGCCACGGTTCACGTAGGGGAGGGGAAGTCAATCCCCAATTCATTTACTTTGGTATCTTCTGTCTATCCAATGTTGGTTCATCCCAAAAGATGGGTGACCCTCATCCTCATCTCCCTCACCACTTAGCATCAACGAACATCCACATCAGAAGTCTAGCCCGTCAATCTACATGCTTGTCTTCCCGTATTCTTCCAGGCCATCGCACCGGCCGGAACACTCCTCTCTGGCGTGGAACGAACGCAATTTACCAGACCAGCGAGCGGCACACCAGCCATTGTCAATAGGAGACTTAGTAGTCCGGAATAGTGCCGGAATATTGACCGACTATAGCGAATACTGCGAGATGCTTGTCCTACTAGCAACCCCCCCCTCTACGGAAGGAAGGAAAATTGATCAAACTATTGAAGAATTATAATTGAAGAGGAGAAAATGGAAATCCTATCCAACCGACCGTGGAGAGAGAGAGAGGGGGGCGGTTCGCAGAATAATCCCATGAACGGGTCGGTCGCCTAGTACTGTATGTGCATGCCTCTGTGCACTGCTGCAACAAAGATGCCTACCACACAAGCCCGACCCCCCTGGCAGATACGGAACGGTGGAGGAGGGTTCCCATCATGCCCCATGATTCCTTACGTCGGGTGTCTCAAGTGCAACCAACCATTCTCTGGATGTGTGCCAGGCACGGCCGGCCGTGCCTGGACTGGATGGTCTCGAACCTCCAGCCCACGTTGGATTCCTTCGCCCGGAAATTAACACGGGATGTCTGGTCGAATCATGAGGCCGCTGGGCACCCACCCGCAGCCTCAGGCACGGCAGACAAGATGATCCATTTGATTAACTCATTAATCGAGATTAGATGCCCATTCTGCCTGCTTCTTCTCGCCTATTCCTGTAGCCGGCACTTGAGCTAGTCTGCCATTCCCGCCAAAAGCCGACCGTTGAAAGGACTTGGCCTTTTCCATAGCACCAGATGTCAGTCAGGTCTATGGTGGACTTGTCAGCCCCAAGAGTAACTTATTTATTTCATTTGGGGGTGAAGATTATCTTCCCATACAGGAGTAGGTAGACTAATCACCCAGACTGTAGGAAGTTAGGAACACATGTTCGACAGGCCTAATAAGAACGGCCAAACGCTAATGGGCGGGTTCGTATGGCTCAAGCCACGCGTCATCCGGTCTCGATCCTGACAGACCAGCCCCATGCCATCACTGACCGTTATTATCTTCAACTTTGGCAGAGATTTACATGATGTGGGCTAGAAGCTTAATGACAATAACATAAAATAACATGAAGGGTCTATCGTGAATTCTAGCCTCAGGGTCAACCGTACTTTGTATACACAGCAATACTCACTTCTTCACCTGCTGCTATAAGCCGGACTTGGGTCCCGATGGCCCCCAATGTCCATATTATCTGGTGGATATGGAATTAATCAATATTCATGCCGAGTCTTCAATAGATCTGTGCTTTCTCCATAGGCTGTCAATCCATAAGCATATTATTGATGTGACAGAATGACATTTCAATAGTGTCAAATCCTCTTTCTCCCTTTTCTCTTGGCGTGTGCCTAGCCTGCCTCTTCCACAGTCAACTTTTTGATAGCACCACACCTTGACTGGACTATCAGATATTTCAAAATGAAACTGAATTCTGCACATTCTTTACATTCTTACTCACAGACCCAGTTTGTTAGCTGGTCTAAGGGGGCCACGGCCATCTTTGGGGCCATCCCCTGAAAACACATTCGGGTGTCTCTGACTGGTCAGATGGCATGATTTGGCCCTAGGATTGACAAAGCGTCATCCTATCCCCTAGTTAACTAATCCAGCACTGATTAGCTGTACTAGGAGCTCTACTAAGACAAGGACTATAGTTTGTGTCTTCAAAATAAGAGCAACTGTACGAAAGATTTGTCAAAAGATCATGCTGATAAAGTTACACCTAGAATTCAAGTTTCAGGGGAGTTCAAGGTCAGGGCACGCCGGTGCTGGTTGTGGAAGAATGTGGCACCCAACTGATTAAGTATATCATATTTGAGTACAATGTCGTGCTCCAGGTCATTTTCCGGGGGGCGTTTAGTAAACATTGAGAAGTCGAATAGAAGCTCGGTGGTATTCACCACCCCTAGGTCATCATCGAGTTTCCATCCTTCGATTTGCGGGCCTGCGGGATCGTCCTTGATTGTGATGTGCTGTTGTTGTACGGCAGGAACATTTCTATACCTTGTCACCATACCATGTCTTCTGAGGCCTTGTCTCCAGACGTCGATATTCAATTCATTACCCTGGCCAATTTCAATGGTGATACAGGCTAGCACAGTTGACCCAGGAGTTTCAAGCCATCCTCGAGCAGAATATGCGAGGTGTGCGGCAGTCTCTGATGCGCCGGTTTCAAGTACAACAGATGGCGTATCGGTGTCTCTAGGGATCCAGCAAGTGTCCGGTTCCTTCGTCCAGCATCCTATCTGTGTAAGGGGAGAAGACTGATTTGCGACCTCGCGATCAACCCCCATCAGCATCAGTTGTCGCTCGATCAGACGTCTGAATTGCCCAGTTACATCCACGTGGGGCGTTTTCGGCAACCTACACGTCAACGTTCTCAACAGGGAGTTGTATGCGTATTTGACCGATTTGAACGGTCGGGCTTTGCTTGACGATAGAACAGAAAAGTCGTCCTTGGTAACTTCAGAAAACTCGAGAATATTGGTCCCTTCCGATAGGTGTGCTTTCAACGTGTTGGTAAACTTCCTTAACCCGTCATACTTGAGAGTAGGAGCTGGTGATGCTATAACACCAGTTGTGAGACCTGGCATGTTGGGTTGTTGTGAGCTGGAGGTTGGAAGATCGAGCATATTGGAAGTCGATAGATGGTTGTGTTGCAAGAAAATCGAATCTAGGAAAGTGCGAGGCATTGAAGCTCGGTTTTGCGGTATGACGGAAGGAGTGCCATTCACTTCAGAGGATACCCCCGCTTCACTTTAATAGTGACGTGAGCTTGATCACTTACAGTTTAGATGGTGGTTGTCAGTACTGCAACAGTTGCTAACTACTACATCATGGACCAAATTGTAGATACTTAGTCATGGGTCACATTTCCTGCCCGATCCTTAGGTCTCTCAGTCGATGGCAAGATGTGCTGCGATCAGCTTGGGTGCTGCCGTCAGCGTGTAGGCTCCCGATCAGGGGTCCGTAGGATCGTTCTAGAGATCTAATGAGGAAATCAAACATTTGTACGAAGATGGATCTGATTCATTTTTTTAGGAAGATTCTTTGATAGATACATCATGTGGAACAAGCAAAGGAGAGTTCTCTACTACATCCTTCCCTAAAGGGAAGGTGCCCGTGGCATTGGGAGATACGCCTCGATCTGAGGCGTCGAACACGCAATCTATATGGAAAGAAGACAAGCAAACGTGTTTTATTCTGTTCTGCTAGATGATGATGATGATGATGATGATGCTAACTACAAAGTGTTTTCATGGCTCACAAGAGAAGGTGTGTGATGGCCCTCCCATTTGGGAAGGTGCCCTCAGCAAGATGTTACCTTGTACGTAGAATACGATGAAGAGGATTGATTGTCGAACGAGGAGAGGACCCCGCAACAAACTAGATAATACTACACAAGGCGGAAGATGTAGGCCGAATAGATGATGTTTGACCAATCTAGTGGTTTAACCAGGCAGCTGCGCAACACAAGAGTCGCGAGATATCTCAGACCTAAGTGGCGTGTTGGGAAGGGATAGCAATTTCAAGGATTGGCAAACTGTCCGCGGCAGAAACTTTTTATACTACCTTCTAATTGTGTGAAGGACGCAAACCAGTCTCTGCAACAGCAACAAGTACAGAAAATCAGAGGCTACCTTGTGTCCGAGATTGTGTAGTAGGATAGACTTTGTTGACATTACTGCCAAGAAATTGATTAAACTGGATTGAGTCAAGTAGTAAACAAAAGCTACTATCCGGTTAATCTACAATCAAAATAATGGAATGAATTGAAGAACTATGTGGGACAACAAACTAAATATTTTAATAGTAGATGTGATATCTAGTATAATAATTTGTGGTGAATATTGATTTCACTATATGATTAATAAGTGTAGTAGGCTACTTATCGCTAAATTCTGCACCACCCAAAATATATACTAGTACTACAAAGATGAATTATAATAATGTAAATCCAACTACTACTATTGGTAGATAAACTCGACCTGTTTCAGAATTTCGCCCATGACATACGGGCTTCAAGCTAATTCATTATACACTGCCATGATAAAAACAGCAACTAGTACAAACAAGCATCTACCACAACCGGCATCCACCACAACGCATATCCAGCAGTGCCCGAAGCATGCAAAAGGGTACATGCATAGAACTTCGGCACGAGTCATGCACGATCAGAACAGCCCGAGACTGCGTCCGTCGCTCATTACGATGTGCATACTTCTCCTGTATCTGCTTTCCGTTTCTGTGGCTTATTGTGCGCGAGTTTTTACCACCCCTGAGCTTCGCCCCGACGGTGCTATAGTTTAGTGTAGAGGATTATCCGTATCCTACTGAATACACCGCTCTATGTCTTACAGTCGTTACTTTAGTTCTCAGTAGCCGCTGACGATCTGTCTCTCATTCCCGAGACAAGCGGCCAATAGTGAATGCTTCTGCGCTTAGCCTTTGGGACTAAGTGATAGTAGTGGTACCGAGGGTCTTGCTCTATATATATCCCGCCGCTAGTAACCGGATCCAGTGGCTGCAGTGGAATAACTACCATGTATATACACTGCCGCAGTAGGGTCCCCTTCGCGACGCACAGTCGAGTACATGCAGTTGCTTGGCTTTCACATGTGTATAGATCTGAGCCTATCGCGTGTGCGTGTGTGTGTGATCTTGCATCAAGCAACTCTCCTCGCTGCCCAGTATGTATACTGCGGGACAACTCAGCGTTCGGAGATTTAAGTTTGTGAGTACATGCTGAGCATAGATAGGATAACATTACGGTTTTTATGAAGGTATTTACTACTTGTTTACTCCTCATTTAAGCCACGCTACTACTACGTTGCAATCTGATCGTATTAATTCGATTAGGTTACGACAGCCCAGCGGATGGAGTGACCAGAGTTTGTAATGGCGGTTGTAACCCGTAAAGAAAGAATCACATTCTAAGGTTCATACAAAGCGGAACTACCCGACGACCTTCCAGCGTGGCGACTTTTCTGATGTAAGAGAACCAGGATTCCCGCCGTTCATGTGCTACTCAAAATATAGTCAAATAAGAGGGAAAATTTGCCAGCCCAGGGCTTCAGGGACGCCGATTCGCGAGCAGGGGAAATTCTGGGTGACTTTGTCGCGTCTTTGGAGGGTGCCACATTGTCTGACTCGCGATTCACGGGACAAGGGAGACTGTGTTGTCACCGGGTGCTAAAGATAGGATGTAGAGAGCTCGAAGCTAACCCTGATGAGGGTTTAGTCCCCTGAGCGCCATAGCTTTCTGTGGCAGTGATGATCATTGACCATGGCAGAGAGCTGACCAGTGAGATCCAATGATGGCTTGCGAAAGAAAAAGAGAGAAGAAAAAGAAAAGGGTGTGTGTGTGTGTGTGTGTGGACATGCTGGCCATTACCTAATATCAGTCCTACTCTCAACACTTGCCAGCCGCTTTGAAACCGCGGCTGACCAGTGAGCATGACCCCTCCAACCGCTTATTGGGCTTTGACTGTCTTTCAGTGATCCAGTGTGACCTTGGCAAAATTAAGGATTCCAGGCTAGCGTCGCTGGTGGCTCCTGATTGACCAACGGTTGATAAACACGGTCTTAAGGCCCCTAGTGAAGGGGAGACTTGAGTTCTCCACAAGCCTATATTTGGCTGGGGATTTTAGGAGTTTAGACCTTTTTGGGTGAGCCCCGCCCCCTGAAACATTCGCCGTATGTCCTGTATTTCGGCGATACCAAACCTCTCCAATACCACCCGCTATAGGTTCTCCGATCTCCGATAGGTCACTTTTCCTACTGGTTACTATGGCAGACGGGTAGTAGTAACTGTGTAGCTGGCACTATGGGGGCGGTTTGGGGCACTTTTTGGGGGCGGCGTTTCAAGTCCGGCAACAAGCAATCTACTATGTAAGATCAATGACAGCTCTCTAGGTAAGCGATATCTAAAATCTTCCCAGGAAGGGAGGAATTGAATCTGGAGATTTAGGGTCCGTCCAGTGCTGACTATTGGTGGCTGATGTTGTTTGTTGTATGTGGTCAGTTATGCTGGCGAGGGATGTGGAATGCCCATACTTTGGAGGCCAACAGAACCTTGGAAGTTATCTCGAATCCCTATGGTCAAGCCACCTTATGCTATGCTTCGACATCATTATTGCCAATTGTTGGATGCTATTACAGCACGCGACTGATAGCTACTGCATGGTACGACCGGGCCGTGATAGCAATGCAAGAAGTGCCATGAGTGGCAAGAATGATATCCATCGGATTCCTCAATAGAACACGGTGTAGACTTAGTACTTTGACCGCCATGCCACACACAGCCACCGACTAAGGAAGGTCTTACATGGTACCTGGCAGGGATACGGTGACAATACCGAACGGGAAAGGCAGTGTTTTCAGGGTAATTCGGTAAAGTAAAGAAACTCAAGTGGACCAGGGTCCATATCCACTGGCCCGTAATCAGGGTTCAGACCCTTGATAATTTTAAATACATAACACTGGAAGTGCGGAGCAAAGAGCCAAGGAGGGGAGCGAGCAGAACAATGCCCTCAACTTGTAACAGTCAGGGGTGTTATGTATTGACGGAAAAATTACTGCGAGTGGCTCTGCTCGCTCTGTACGGACAGTAAAAGAAAGAGTCTGGAAGGAAAGATGGAAGAATATGATGCAGGAGACGATCCGTGGGCAATAGCCTGCCCAACCTTGCGGTCAAAAGAAGAAATATGAGGGGATACCAAAGAGGAAATGGTCAAACAGCCCAGCAATACATTCCCCCCCCAACAAGGCGTGTCTGGATTTCTTTTTTCAAAGCTGAATGGACAGGACAGGAACCTGTGAATAATTAGGAATACTCTTTCATCTTCACTTTTCAGGTTGTAGACCAAAGGGCCAACAAGTAAGACATGAGAAAAAAGTGACAATAATTAGGATTTGATCGACTAGTAAGCCAGCATCCATCATCGGTATCCGCCGTGATCGCAGGGAGATCTCACTTGTATCCAGCCTTTTGGTTAGGAATCCAATTACCCACACCCCCCCAAGGCTGCCCCCGTCTCGAACGCTGCCAACCCAAAAAAAAAAACCGCCAGGGCGACCCTTGACCTTACCATTTGAAAGGAAAGCTGTCTCTCTCAGCTTGTCGCGTCTTTCTGGGCCTTTTTTCCCTTTTCTTCCCTTCTCTTCCTATTTTTCTTTTCTTTTTTACCCTTTTCTATCCTGAGACCTTTCTCTCGCTCATCCATCCCCATTCCGCCCAGTCTCACTTCTCTTCCTCTTTCTTTCCCTTCCCATCTCCTCCTGCCCCTCCCAGCTTTGTTTTGGGAAACCTTGCACCAAACCCAACCCTTCTTGTCCGCCACGGTCAGACGGGCTTCCCGAGCGTCTTCACTCTTCATCACCTGCGATCGCAAGGTACCTCTGCTCAGCCCTGGCGGCTTTTCCACGTTCCTGCTGTTGCTCGCGCCCCTCGACCAGTTTTTCTTTCAGCTGTTCGTTTCCCCTTCGCTCGTTTCTTCCCTCTCGCGCATCCCCGGCCATTTGAGCGCTTGTTTGTCTCCTCCCTCCGTTTGGGGTGGTTGCCCGCTTTATTTACTTGCTCCGTTGTCTGACTTCCCCAGCCGGTGCACTCCTTGCTCCTTGTTTCCCTGATACCCTCACGCCTCATTGCTTCTTGCGCCATCCTTGCATTCTGTTCCCCCGGGGCTTTGCTTGAGCGTCGAATTCAGTTCACACATATTACGACCTTTAATCTCGTTCATCAACCATGGCCTACCAAGGCACTGGTAATCACTCGCCTCCCGGCTACGATGACGGTGGGCATCGGCTTCAGGATCTACCAGCCGGCAACAACGTAAGTCTTCATTCTTTGTGGCCGTGTGATGTTGCGCCTGTACGAAAACAATCAGTTAACATGAGAATCTGGATGATCTCTAGTATGAAGAAGAAGCGTCTAGAGGACTGCTATCGAGCCAAACGGGCCCATTCACAGGTCCCTTTGATGACCCTCAGCAGCGCAATCTGTCCCCGGCTCGGCCCACCTCTGGATACAGCTTGACCGAGACATATGCTGCCGATGCGGGTTATCATGATCCTTACAGTGCAGGTGGCTCGGTTTACTCTGCACAGTCTGGAGAGAACCCCGCGACTGCCTTTGGCGTCCCCGGCCGCGTTGCTTCGCCCTATGCTCGTAGCGAGACCTCGTCAACAGAGGCTTGGCGCCAGAGACAGGCTCCTGGAGGTGCTGGTAGTGGTGGCGGCGGTGGCCTGCGCCGTTACGCCACCAGAAAGGTCAAGCTTGTGCAGGGCTCAGTCCTGAGTGTTGACTACCCAGTGCCTAGTGCTATTCAAAATGCAATCCAGGCAAAGTATAGGAACGACCTGGAGGGCGGAAGCGAAGAATTCACACACATGCGTTGTAAGTTACCGCACGGCCCAATCATGTAGCTACTCGGAACTAACGGAGAATTGCCTTGGTATAGACACCGCAGCCACATGTGATCCTAACGAGTTCACCCTTCATAATGGCTATAACCTTCGTCCTGCCATGTACAACAGACACACCGAGTTGTTGATTGCTATTACGTATTACAACGAAGATAAGACGCTTACAGCCCGTACGCTGCATGGTGTGATGCAAAACATTCGTGACATTGTGAACTTGAAGAAGTCTGAGTTCTGGAACAAGGGTGGGCCAGCCTGGCAGAAGATTGTGGTCTGCCTGGTGTTTGATGGTATTGATCCCTGTGACAAGGATGTGCTGGATGTCTTGGCCACCGTTGGTATTTACCAGGATGGTGTCATGAAGCGTGATGTTGATGGAAAGGAAACCGTTGCTCATATCGTACGCGGAATCCTAGAATATACACATGTGGAATGTGCTAACAGCTGATAGTTCGAATACACGACGCAATTATCCGTTACCCCCAACCAGCAGCTCATTCGCCCGACAGATGACGGTCCCAGCACACTACCTCCTGTTCAGATGATGTTCTGTTTGAAGCAGAAGAACAGCAAGAAGATCAACTCTCATAGATGGCTTTTCAACGCTTTCGGCCGTATCCTGAACCCCGAGGTCTGCATTCTTCTCGATGCTGGTACCAAGCCTGGTCACAAGTCACTCTTGGCCCTGTGGGAGGCCTTCTACAACGACAAGGACCTCGGAGGTGCTTGTGGTGAAATTCACGCCATGTTGGGTAAGGGTTGGAGAAACCTAATCAACCCTCTCGTTGCCGCCCAGAACTTCGAATATAAAATCAGTAACATCCTCGACAAGCCGTTGGAGAGTTCCTTCGGCTATGTCAGTGTGTTGCCTGGTGCTTTCTCAGCATACCGATTCCGTGCCATCATGGGCCGCCCACTGGAGCAGTATTTCCATGGTGATCATACGCTCTCCAAACAGCTGGGCAAGAAGGGTATCGAGGGAATGAACATTTTCAAGAAGAACATGTTCTTGGCCGAGGACCGTATCTTGTGTTTCGAGCTGGTTGCTAAGGCTGGCTCAAAATGGCATTTGTCATACGTTAAAGCCTCAAAGGGTGAAACTGACGTGCCTGAAGGTGCTGCTGAGTTCATCTCGCAGCGTCGTCGTTGGTTGAACGGATCCTTCGCAGCCGGTATCTATTCGCTCATGCATTTCGGACGGATGTATAAGAGTGGCCACAACATCATTCGAATGTTCTTCCTTCATATTCAGATGTTGTACAACACTTTCTCGACTATACTTACATGGTTCTCTCTGGGTATGTTTCGCGGTCCTTTTCGACTATAGCATAAACTTGAGAGCTTTTACTGACTTTCGGCAACCAGCATCCTATTGGCTTACAACATCGGTCATTATGGACCTGGTCGGTACTCCTAGCGCTAGCAACGGTCACACAGGTTTCCCCTTTGGCAAAACGGCAACTCCCATCGTCAACACGATTGTCAAATATGCCTACCTTGGTTTCCTGCTCCTCCAGTTCATTCTCGCTTTGGGTAACCGCCCGAAAGGTTCCCGTTTCTCGTACCTGGCATCCTTCGTTGTCTTCGGTATCATTCAGCTCTACGTTGTCGTCGATGCACTATACCTGGTAGTCCGCGCTTTCAGTGGCAGTGCTCCGATGGACTTTGATACCACGCACGGTGTTGGTGCGTTCCTTGGTTCGTTCTTCGGGTCGACAGGTGCCGGTATCATTATCATTGCGCTTGCTGCCACTTTCGGTCTCTACTTCGTGGCTTCGTTCATGTACATGGACCCTTGGCACATGTTCACCTCGTTCCCTCAGTACATGGCCGTGCAGTCTTCTTACATCAACATTCTGAACGTCTATGCCTTCAGCAACTGGCACGATGTGTCTTGGGGTACCAAGGGTTCTGATAAGGCGGATGCTCTTCCCTCCGCGAAGACTACCAAGGAAGGGGGCAAGGAGACCGTCATTGAGGAAATTGACAAGCCCCAGGCCGATATTGACAGCCAATTTGAAGCTACGGTGAAGCGTGCTTTGACACCATATGTGGCTCCCGTGGAGAAGGATGAGAAGAGTTTGGATGACTCGTACAAGAGCTTCCGTACGAGATTGGTGACGTTCTGGATCTTCAGTAACGCTCTAATGGCTGTTTGCATCACCAGCGATGGTGTGGATAAGTTTGGCTTCACAGTACGTATATCCCCTACACCAAACGAAGTCTTGATTCCCAAAAAGACAAAACTAACGGCTTGGTCCAGAACTCTGCCACCGATCGTACGTCACGCTTCTTCCAGGCCCTACTGTGGTCAAACGCCGTTGTTGCGCTTTTCCGCTTCATCGGAGCCTGCTGGTTCCTGGGTAAGACCGGTGTGATGTGTTGCTTTGCCCGCCGCTAGAGAAGGTGCGCAGCATAATGAACGAAAAGTTGTCAACGAGAGGTGCTTTGCTCATGGCCGGAAGAGGCCTCGTGGAGTTATTCTTGGCACATTTTTGTCGCAATTTTGTATTCTACATACGATGTTTATTCTTTGTTTCCCAGGTTCGGCCGTGTTTTGTTTCAGGTTGGATTTGCACATTTCAGAGGGACTGCAGGCACGACAATGTTTTGTAGACTCTTAGCGCATTAGAAATGGGATGTATTCAAGGGCGTGGAAGGCGATCGGTTGACTGTTTTACACGGAAATTCCCGCAGATAATGTTCAAAATGAAACCCTCATAATAACATCAAAGTGGCATGGCCATACAATGTACGATAGAAAGAGAACGTAAAAGCCGTGGATATGGGCATGTCGAGTGGCAACTGGTATGGGCAGGCGGTGGTGCAATGGGTCGGCCATGGCGTCAGGCCGCCGCCCGCTCTCTGCGGCAGTCCGGCTATCACCTGTCTCTGATAATCTCTCGGTGCCTTTCTGCACGCATTTATACAAGTACTTTTCTTCTGTCGTGATCTTCCACCTCTCTACGCTGAGATAAAGGACTGCCTCCTTCTGTCTTGTCACCTTCGGTCTCCTCTACGCTGAAGTGGAGAATAGTCGTACCGGCCAACGAAAGGACCCCGCAGCCTTTCCTCCCCTCTTCGCCCACTCAACACTACGACGGCTCTGAGTATAGCGATTCCATACGACAATCTCTAGGCCCAACTCTCTGCAAACTACTCTATATTCTGTCAATCCTTACACAGGTGATCGCCTGCCCGCAAAAGATCAGCCACGATGTTGAAGATATGGTCGATGGTACGTCGCGACTGACTCCATCTACCTACCAACCGATACATTTCCCTCCTCACTAACACCCTCGAAACAGAAACAACAACAGCAGCAAGCTGAAAATGCCGAAGGAGCTGCTGGTAAAAAGAAGAAGAAGGTCACCGCCGCCCAGCTGCGCGTGCAACGAGGTCTGTCCCTCCCTCTCTCCCTACCTACCTACCCTTTCTCAAACCACACCCCTCCCCAGGACGTTAATAACTAACCATGTATCAACATCGAGATAGACCTGCAAGAGCTCACCCTCGGAAGTACAATGAAAATGTCCTTCCCGAACCCCGACGACATCTTGAACTTCACTCTTACTATCGAGCCGGATGAGGGCATGTACAAGGGCGGCGCATTCCACTTCAACTTCACGGTTAACCAGAATTTCCCGCATGATCCGCCGAAGGTCAAGTGCACGCAGAAGATCTACCATCCGAATATTGATCTCGAGGGAAATGTGTGCTTGAATATTTTGAGGGAGGATTGGAAGCCTGTCTTGAACCTGAATGCTGTTATTGTGGGGATGCAGGTATGTCTTTTTCTTTTCTTCCCTTTCTATATTGTTTTTGGTTGCTTTGGGGAGAGGGCGAGGGTTTGGATGTTTTTGGAGGGTGTTTTGCTGATCTTTCTACCTTGCTTAGTTCCTCTTCCTGGAACCGAATGCTTCCGATCCGCTGAACAAGGAGGCCGCCGACGATCTGAGACAGAATCGGGAAGCGTTCAAGCGCAACGTTAGGACGTCTATGGGTGGTGGTAGCGTGAGGGGGATACAGTATGAGCGGGTTATGCGGTGAATGGTGGCCTGGCCTGCCCTGTGTTGGTAGGTAGTGAAACTAGGTGCTCTTGCCTGATGGGCATGGGTTATAATGGTGGAGGATGCAGTGTGTGTCGTGTGTTGATTAGGGGAGTTTTACGTGCATGGCCTACATTTCCACTTGGATTAATTAGCGACTGGATAGATTCCCTGCTTATGAAAGAAATGAACACATTTTTATGGAAACCAGGAAACACCACTGTACTTGATGTAATCAATCTCACCTTTGGAGTATGAGCTACAGAGCACACTAGTCTTCCTACGGAAAACACAAGACCAACCGACATAATTCTCAAACAACCGCATGTATGAGTACAAGCGTATATACAACAGACAAAAATACCGAGGAACGTTATTCTTTCTTCCCTTCTATTCTTTCAATTCCACACACACGCACACAAACACTCAACCCGCATCATCAACTGGAACCCAACCCACGCAATATACCAGACAACAAAACAATATCAATCACATCCTATCAGCTACACATCCCCGAATTCCACCCCAAAATCACTGTAGCCGACGCATCCCGGTTCCATCCGGCATAATTAACGGGGGCACATTGGGCACCAATCAACGCGCGAAGTCGATTGCATTGTGATCATATACCGGTGCGAATTTACTGCTGGGCAGCAGCGCGCTCGGCCTCAAGGCGGGTGTAGTAGTTGTCACGGGCACGGACGCGGGGGAGGTGGAAGCCTGTATAGTGGTGTTTTGTTAGTGATTGCTACCTCTGGGATGTGGATGATTGATTGGTTTGTTGGGAGGAAGGATTGAGGGTCTGTTGTATACGTACCGTACCACCAGAGGTAGCCGAAAGTGGTACCGAAACCTGCGAGGCAGTCAGTCAATCATTCGTTCGGGGTCGATTTGGTATATGGCGCGCGGAGGGAGGTAATGTGGTGCAATCGGATATATGGGTAGGAGAATCATATGAAGACATATCGGGTCAATGGAAGCGCGGGGTCGTAGGCGGACTCACCGAAAGCGGTGCTCAGGTCAAGGACCAGGGTGCGGCGGAGCATCTATATCGCAAAATGTTAGTTTATAGGGTTCCAACCTGGGGAGGCCATGGGGTTGTGGATGAGAGCCCCGGTGGGTAGGGTGGGAGAAGGGTGGACGTACGCCGGTGATGGGAGCAACGGAGGCCATTGTGATGTATTAGTGTCTTCAGAAGGATCTGAGGAACTGGTAGAGGAGATTCGCGCAAGAATTGACCTGCTGGGGTTGTGGTGGGGGTTGCGGAGAGAGAGAGGAGAGGAGAGGGAAAGCGAGCGGTGATGTCGAGAGTGAAAGTCGAGGTGAAGCTTTCCGGGCCGGCGAGTAGTAAGCGACGGCTGTGAGTGGCCTGACTTTGAAGGTGGGTTGCTGTCTGTGAACGGTTCGTTGACGGTCAATAGATGACACGACTTATGATTGGCTTTAACTATGAGAATACATATTATAATCTAAATGCAATTCATATTGCTATGCTAATTCTGTATTGTCTGATTAATTGAGCACTTGAAGCTGAGTGACTTGCTGTAGGGCTGTTCTGCCTGAGGCATAAGCACGTGACCTCACGCGGTTCTTGTGTTTGGCGCCGTTTCTGGATCTCTCCCCATTCATCCATCAAGACCACCGGCGCCATGGTCTCCTCGGAACCCACTGTCAAACGATCCTCTTCCTCCTTACCAGAAGGTGCAGACGCTCCTGATGTAAAACCAACGAAACGCCCATATCACCATCATCATCGCCTACAAAGTCCGGTCGCCCCAGCGTTGCCGGAACCCGCTATTGTCGACGAGGCCTGCATCGACCATGTCCTCAACCGGTCTATCGGGCAGTATCTACAAGAATGCGGATTTGATATCGCCGACCCTGCAGCGCTGGACGCCTTTCGCAGGATAACGGAGGAATGTATGTTGGAAAATTAGGTCTCAGAAGGAAACGTTCATGATATTGATGGATTTGGTTCTAGATCTGCTGAGATTCGCCTCATATGTGCGCCAAGCGATGCTATCCAGCCGGCGCATACAACCTATCCCACAAGATTTCGAATATGCCTTGAAAAGACAGTCCGTGCCTGTCGGCGACCTCCTTCCGCACGTGAAACGCCATCCAAACATCGACCCTATCCCCACCCTCCTACCAAGCCCTCCGCCGGAAGAGGACTCATTCAAGACTTTGCCGTCTTTAGGCCCGCAGCTCAGCGGCGAAGATGATCGCGTTCACAACGCTCATATTCCGAAACATTTCCCCGATTTCCCTAGTAAACACACGTATCGTCACACGCCGGTTTTCACAGAACGAGAGCAAGATCCGCGCGTCATTCGAGAGCGAGCCACGGAGGATGGTCGACATGGCGAGGAGGCGTTGCGCAAGTTGGCTCGTGCAGCGTTCAAAGACAACAATTCTGGCTCATCGGTCCGGGATAAGAAGCAATGGGGACGACGAGCAGAGAGCATGGACGGAATGTTTGAGAAGACGATCAGGGCTCTCGCAAAGAAGATGCAGAAGCCTGCGACGGCCCCAGGTTCTGCTGGTCCTATGGAGATCGACTCGGGAGCTGGTGCAGATACAGAGGCCAAACCATCCCGCTCGAAGCTGGCGTTGAACATAGAGCTGCCTCCCATCATCAACTGCGAGAGAGACTTGTGGCGACGGGCGCCTACATCTGGGAGTCGACGAACAGAAGAAAACAAGCTATCAAGTGCGAAAGATACGCCCGACATGTCGAGGGTGGATAGCTGGGTGAATGCATCATGAGGTGTAGGATAGGCAGAGGCGTCAGGCGTTCAGCTTTTTCATCGTAGTATAACCGAGAAGATACCCATGGAGCAGGATGTCAAATAATGCAACTCAATTGGTTAATCACATAGCTTTAACTGCCATTGTGATCTCAGTAGTCTGAACGCCAATCTAACTCCTCGCCATGCATGTAATCGAAAGGAGAGTCCCGGAGAGTCCCATCAGGCCGTTGAGCTGCTCTCCGCAGCGCGTTTACGCTCTTCCTCTTTCGCTATCCTGATCGGTTCCCAAGCAGTCGTTTCCACCGTTAATCCGCCTGCACACCTAGCACGAAGTAAACGTCAGCATTGAATCCTTAAATTCATAGCGAGAGGGTAACTTACCGGCGAAACAGCCTCACAATCGGCTTACAATTCACCACGCCCGGCTTAGGAATCCCTTCTTGCGGCGGATTGCAGGAGTATTGGACCATCTCCAGCAGCTTGCATTTCTCCAGCTCGACAGGGCCGCCTTTGCGACGCTTTTCTTGGAAGTTCTTCGTGACGATGTTGACGTGCTCTGGAAGGGCCTCGGCGGAGAAAACGGGAACAAGAGGAGCCATGGCGAAGAATTCCTCTTGTTGTGACTCTGAGTACTGTCCTCTAAGTATGACAGATTGCTGATTTCATGTGCTGCTGCGACAATGACGAGCAAGACAGGTGGTACTGGTGAAAGGAAGAAAAGTGGATGGAGCGGAAGCGTTCGCGTTCGCCGGCGCCGCGATCCATCTACCAGTTATCGTCGCAACGGGCCAGCCCGCGGTAGTTTTGACATTCTATCAACTCCTACAGGACTACTACTTAAACACTTTTATACCGGAAAATGTCGGACTTTGTCACATTCATTTGGAGATTTACAATTGTGTCAAATGGCTGCTAACTTCGGAGGAGGCCTTCTTGGGGAGGTCCATGAGGAGAGACTCGACGAGGTATGTATGGGTCGGTGTTTCAGTTCACTGCATGATTCCGCATCATATCTTTAATTTTCTTTGTGCATACTGCTCTCAGAATTCGCTGGAAGGCCTGCTAATTTGGAGAAGCTTCTGCATGACCTAAGAAACATATCACATGGGATTGTCAATAGTAACGCCTTGAGGCCCAGACTGGGTGTTCAGGTGCTTGATGATCTTCTGGGTGTCTTTACAACACCCGTCCCTGCTGCACAAGACATGCATCTGGAAGGGCATATGCCGCAGGACCATTCCGGGGATGCTCAGGGAGCTTACATGGATGATCCTGAGGGCGAACACCCAGCTCACGGCGAACTTATCAACGATGAGCATGCAGGCATGCATGGTCTGCCGATGGTGGTACCAAACCACGCAGAGCCAGTCCTGGAGATCTCGAGCAGGCTTTCTGCAGCCGGAAAGTCGCATCTCCTGTACTATCTCGCTGCAGTTGCTATTTTACCATCTTTGTTCCATGGTATCCCGCTCGGTGGGCATGAATCGGCAGTGGTATTCATTGACACGGACGGCCGTTTTGATGCTGAGCGGCTTAGAACAGTGCTGAGAGGGATCGTGCACGCCAATATTAACGCACTGGCCCAGGGATCGCCTGGATGGACGTCTGAGGTTGGAAATGAGGAAATTGAAAGTATGCTTGTCGTCAGTTTGCAACATGTCCACGTCTTCCGCCCACAATCGTCATCTGCTCTCCTTGCTACACTTCACCATCTGGATGCATACATACTTGATCTATCTCGCCATTTATCTTCCACTCGACCGGTGCATACTATCTATCTTGATAGTGCCACTGCTTTCTTATGGCAGGATAAATTGCAGGACGAAATTGCCCGAGTGGAAGATATCGGGCACGTCCATGCTGACCCGGAGCATGAGCGTACTCAGAAACAACGGTTCCAGATCTCAGATCTCTATGCTGCCTTTATAGCAAAATTGAAACGACTACAGCGACTTTTAGGTTGCATGGTGGTTTACACCACTACGGTTCAGGGAAGATTCCCCGGTGCTCGTGGTGGTAACCCAGCGTATACACCATCAGGACCCTACGATCTGTATACCCCAGGTCCTTCCGTGCCAAAGGCGCCTTCTTTTGGGCCTGCTCTTCCAGCCCCTTGGGGTAGATTTCCTACTCTGCGAGTTGTTGTTCAACGGGATGCAGTTCGCCCCTTTCCGCCTACCATGACTGCGCAGAATGCGCAGCGCGGAGCGCCTCGTCGACAAGAAATTGTCAGTCGCGGAAGGTTTTCCGGATGGGTGAATGAATGGAGACGCGAGGAATGGCCTCGTCGGGTGCTGGAGGGCTTTAAACGAAGTAATGGCGGCAAATTCGCCTTTCGCATAGGAGGAGACGGGGTCGACATTGGCTGATGAATTTCTCATCTAGCTATGTACACTGTACAGGCGTGATTGAGACCGTGTCCCGCAGCAGATTCTAAATGCTTTCTTAGCTGAACAACTTTCCAATGGCCTCAACCGTGGTGTTTCCACCGCTAAACACAATGCCCACATCCCAGCCCTCAGGAGCCTCCTTTTCGACCAGTCGTCGGAACCCCTCGTTGTACAGACAAACGGCCAAACCCACCACAGCGCTTGGCTCTACTACTACCTTCATGCGTTCCAGAACCAGACGCATGGCCGCCTTGATCTGCTCCTCCGTCACAGCATATACACCAGCGACCTTGTTCCGGTTCGAGATCACCTCCCAGTTCAACAAGCCAACCGGTGTCCGCAACCCGTCCGCGATGGTCAGTGTGGACACTGCCGGAACCCGCTCCCCGGCATCCAGTCCGCGCCGGCAATCGTCTGCACCCTCGAAACTGGGTTCCGCACCAAACACCTTAGTTGTCTTGTCCGAGAAGAAGGTTGCAACACCGGAATTGAGACCGCCCCCACCGATGGGTGTGAAGACAGCATCGAGAGCCGTGGAACCCTGGCGGATGCTCAGGTTGGGCTTCTCAGCAACCAGCTCCCGGTACTGCTCCTCAAGTTCGAGGGCGGTGGTACCCTGGCCGCAGATGATATTGAAGTCATCATAGGGTGGGATCAGAATTGCACCGGTCTTGGCCTGCACATCCGCGACGACGGCCTCGCGCTCGACGCTCGTGGACCCACTGAAAATTACCTCCGCGCCGTGGGAGCGCGTCCCAGCGATCTTAGAAGGGGTGCTAATACTGGGCATGATAATGTAGGCGGGAACACCGAGAGTGGAGGCGGCCAGAGCGAGAGCCTGTGCGTGATTTCCTACATGAATAGTTGAATATTGCGTGGTTCCCTTCAAGTTGCATCTTGTTGCTTGGCGAGAGTGATGACCTACCAGAACTGTGTGTAATAACACCCCTTTTCTGCACATCCTCCTGACCCCGTTCGGCGATGAGTCGTAGCAGAGCGTGGAAGGCGCCCCGGGCCTTGAAAGCACCTATCCGTTGGTAGTTTTCACATTTGAAGAAGAAACGGAACTTGGGATTGGCAGGAGTTTGGCCCTCGGAGGAGGTGCCGCTCAATGCCTCTGGAGATTGTGGCGCCGAGGCAATGGTGTTGAGGGTTTGACAAGTGAGGAGAGGCGTGCGGTGCACATAGGGTTGGATGAGGGAGTAGGCCTCATGGATGGCTGAAGGGGTCAAAGATTGCACGAGCACCGAAGGGTCTGTCATTTTGAGAGATTCAGTCGTGTATAGACTGATTCGTACCAGTAGTTTGAGGGTTTTCTACAGTGGTACTCTCCAAGAGTTGCGGAGAAAGGACAGAGGGGAAATGGCCGGTTGATCCGAGTCGGCGAAGGGATATATCTCCGCCATCGGACCCCCGCATTGCGCCAACGCAGTTGAGAGTGGGAGAATGCAAGGAGATGAGGTTTCAGAACTCTAGCTGAGGTCAAGGCTTTAATTGAACCGAATCGCATTTGCAGAATGCTGTCTCTAGTTGCGTGACGCATGCTGGACAGTCATTTTACTCCGATAGCAACAATCCAGATTAGGACTAGCGCGCTGTCATGCCGCACTTCCCCGCCACGTGACTCGCGGCCGAATCGGGCAAGGGCAGGAGGGGCAAAAGAAAGACTGAATAGATTCATCTCGTCGCTCCCTGACTCACTTTCCCTCGCTGCGCTTCCTCTCTAAACCCCCTCCACAGTCTCAGAACAGATTGCAAGCATGGCCGAGGAGCAGCCGCACACTGCGCAAGAACAGGATATTAATCCTTGGTCCGTGGAGGGTGCCCGCGACGAGAACGGAGAGGTGGTCGCCATCAACTATGAGGCCATCTGTCGGTATGTGTTACCCCGCCATTGAGGCGCTCATTGTGTCCGCGCAACAACCCACTAACCACCTCTAATTTCAGGAAATGGAATACCTCCATTATTGACGACAAGCTCCTCGAGCGCTTCGAGAAGGTGACCGGACACAAGCCGCATCGCTGGCTCCGACGCGGCCTGTTCTTCAGTCACCGCGACTTCGACCGCATCCTGACCCTCTACGAGCGTGGCGAGCCTTTCTTCCTCTACACCGGTCGTGGTCCCAGTACCGGCAGTCTGCACCTGGGTCACACCATTCCCCTGCAGTTCACCAAGTGGCTGCAGGATGTTTTTGACGTCCCCTTGGTCTTCATGCTTACGGACGACGAGAAGGCTCTGTTCAAGGATAGCATAACGTTTGAGGATGCTATGCACTTCGCCATGGAGAACGCCAAGGATATCATCGCCCTGGGATTCGATCTTAAGAAGACCTTCATCTACAGCGACTTGAAGTACGTTAGCAACCACTTCCTCATGAACGCTTGGGAGTTCGGAAAGCTGGTCACTTTCAACCAAGTCCGTGGTGCGTTCGGCTTCAACGAGAGGTATGTTGATCCTTCTATTCCATATAAACTTCGTTGGGAGACTAATAAATTACAGCACCAACATCGGTCGCATCTTCTTCCCCTCCCTTCAGTGTGTCGCCGCTTTCGCTACCTCCTACCCTGAGATCTGGAAGGACGAACCCTCCACCGAGCGCACCCAGGAGATTGCCAACATTCAGTGCTTGATCCCTATGGGTATCGACCAGGATCCCTACTTCCGCCTGCTCCGTGACAACGCCCACCGCATGCGTTTCCCCTCCCCCAAGCCCGCCTTGATCCACTCTAAGTTCCTCACTGCCCTGCAAGGAGCAGGCGGCAAGATGTCCTCCTCCGATCCCAACTCGGCCATCTTCATGACCGACACCCCCAAGCAGATCAAGGTAAGAATGCTAGCCTCCACTGATTGGCCTCCCCACATACTAATCAACCACGCACAATCCAGACCAAGATCAACAAGTACGCCTTCAGCGGTGGCCAAGTGAGCATCGAGGACCACCGCCGCCTGGGTGGAAACCCCGACGTTGACGTTTCCTACGTCTACCTGACCTACTTCGAGGAGGACGACGCCAAGCTGGAAGAGATCTACAAGAACTACAAGAGCGGTGAGCTCCTGACCGGCGAGCTCAAGAAGATGACCATCGAGGTGCTGCAGGAGTACGTTGCTGCGTTCCAGGAGAAGAGAAAGGAAGTCACCGACGAGCTGCTGGCCGCGTACATGAAGCCCCGCAAGCTGGAGTGGAAGGGCAATCCCAACCCTGTCCCGGCCCCTGCACCTGCCATCCGCACTAAGAAGGAAAGCGCGTGACTAGTGAACCTCGAGTGTGGAGTGAGTGGCTGGCTGCAGGATTGGATTTATGATGCTGGGGTTAGATCCATATACCGTTGTCTAATATCCAAGCGAAGACATGAAAGCGTTGAAATACATAGATTTGGTGTTCGGCTGCATTGTGTATAGATTGTATTCATTACACCCTTCCTTTTCATCCTATTGGCTGTATTGCTACGCAGCAGAATTGTAGATTGTGAGGAAAGCAGAAAGTCATCGTCCACGTAGATCGGATCGCGGGGAAATCTGGCCCCGGATGATCTGCCGCTCGTTAGTTACAATTTTCCTAGTCGATGACTCATGACCACCTCTCTTTACGTCCCAACCACTACAACTACCGCTCCACACAAGGATGCTCAATTGAAGAAAGAATAAGAAAATTTTATTCCGGCCCGATATACAACCCAGTTAAAATAAGAAACTCGAATGAAAACAATTCCCTAGATCATGGTACATCGTAAATTTTCCCACCGGGGATATGCTAATAACACATTATGAATAGATTTATTTCTGGTTCTCGGGGCGGAGGGAGCTGTAAAAATTGAAACGTTAGTAAAATGTTCTAATGGTATATAAGTTGTTATGGGGGATAGGTAGTAACGTACCGAACGGCCTTGCCGGCGCGCCAGATTTCGAGATCACGGATGTCCTGCATCTCCTTCTCGTACTTCTCGCGGTAGTCCTTCTGGGAGTTGTACTCGAGCGAGCGCTTGGTCTCGGAACCATCACGGACGCTGTCGTAGAGCTCGTTGAAGAGGGGCTTCAGGTTGTCCTTGAAGCGGTTGGACCAGTCGAGGGCACCACGACGGGCGGTGGTGGAGCAAGCGGCGTACATCCAGTCCATGCCGTTGGCACCGATGAGAGGGTAGAGGGACTGGGTGGCCTCCTCAACGGTCTCGTTGAAGGCCTCGGAGGGGGAGTGGCCACGCTCACGGAGGACCTCGTACTGAGCGAGGAACATACCGTGGATACCACCCATCAGGCAACCACGCTCACCGTAGAGGTCAGAGTAGACCTCCTTCTCGAAGGTAGTCTCGTAGAGGTAGCCGGAACCGACGGCGACACCCATGGCAATGGCGCGCTCCTTGGCGTTGCCGGTGACGTCCTGGAAGACGGCGACGGAGGAGTTGATACCACGGCCCTCACGGAAGAGGGTGCGGACGGTACGGCCAGAACCCTTGGGGGCGACGAGGATGACGTCGACGTCGGTGGGAACATCGACCTTGGTGAGGTCCTTGAAGACGGGGGAGAAACCGTGGGAGAAGTAGAGAGTCTTGCCCTTGGTGATGAGGGGCTTCAGGGTGGGCCAGGTCTCGGACTGAGCGGCGTCGGAGAGCAGGTTCATGATGATGGTACCCTTCTTGACGGCCTCGGTGACATCGAACAGGTTCTTGCCGGGAACCCAGCCGTCCTGGATGGCCTCCTTCCAGGAAGCACCATCCTTGCGGACACCGACAATGACGTTCAGACCCTGGTCACGGAGGTTGAGACCCTGACCGTGACCCTGGGAGCCGTAGCCGATCAGGGCAAGGGTGTCGTTCTTGAAGTACTCCTGGAGCTTCTCACGGGGCCAGTCCTCACGCTCGTAGACGGTCTCCTTGTCATCAGCGAAGGTGATGGTCTTAACACCGCGGGAGGGGACGACGGGGGTGGCGGTCACACGGGGGAGAGCGGCGGAGGCAGCCTTGGCCAGGGAAGGACGGGGGAGGGCGGCAGTCACGACGGACCGGGGGGCCGCGACGCGGGCCAGACGGAGGGCACGGGGAAGTCCACGGGAGGCCATTGTGTGAAGAGGATGTGAGAAGAGAGGGGAGAGGGTGAAATTGAAGAAAAGGAAGTGGAAGAAATTGGATGGGAAAGAGGAAAAGGGAAGAGGAGGAGGGAAGCAGCGGTTGCAACTTTATAAACTCGTTGCTGGGGACGAGATCGGCCTGCTCTGAGACACGTGATCCGGAGTTGGACTGCAACTCCCCGGCCGATGTCGGATTGCCGGGCATTTGATTGGTCAATGGCAGCGCGTTCCGTGGACGTGGAGATCACCTGAGGCGCGGGCCTTGCCGCTTCCGGCTTAGTCCGTCGCCGCTCGCTACGGGGAAGTCACCTGATCCGCAGCTGGGCTTTCTTTCCTGTTGCAGTTTTGGATGCCCCAGATGGAGTCTGGGGAAAGACAACTCGGTGACTCACGCACTTTGACTCAGTGCTCCGATGGAGCTATACAGACTTCTAACCGGATTGGCTGTCCGAGAACTGTATCTTTGGGCGCTAAGGGGTTCTCCAAGGCCTAGAAGACCCCGTTTCAAGTGGTAGCTAGCTAGCTAGCTAGATTCTTGGCATGTTGAGTCACTTTTCTTATGATATTGAGTATACTGGGAGAATATCAATGACTAAAATAAAGAACTCCGAGATAGAGGTGTAGTTTTGGAAGCTTGTAGCATTATAATCGTGCAGTCTTACCAATATCATATTGGTACACACCATCGTGATATATAGCAGGACTGCTCATAACAATAACGCCGAGAAATGAAATATATTTCCTTACGCTTGAGAGGCTATCTCCAGTTCCAACAATTCGGAACACACTGAATTTTTGGGAAGACTTGCGACATGTCTGACAATATTAGTCGCAAGCTACAAGAGCAAGCCATTGATAGTGCACTGCATACCTTTCATGTTTCTGCTTTTAGCCTGGACGGATACCATGAAAGCGTACAGAGATCTGAAGGGAATGTAACCTAGCTCATGCGGTGTTCGTTGACGTTGGACAGTTCTATTTAGAATTCCATCATCAGTCTCGCATCTGCCTTGGTGTAACCATGATTACTATTGTAGGAGTCACATTGCTGTCAGCACCGAAAAATCCTTTTTGGCGGCGTAGGGAGAGTGGTCTAGGTGCTTGAGCTATCGGTAACATGAACCGTCCGCAACATCATTCTCTCTCATCCCCTTCCCTGGTGCTAGGGCTACTTAACCAACAAGCAAATGCCTGACAAAGCTTGAATCACGACATATTGGAGCGTAAATGATATATTGATATTTTCATGACCGCGATCGATTATAGGGTATATTGATAATATCCCGTTTCTCCAGCCGGTTCAAGCATGCGCATATCGGACGAACGCACACCCACGTAATCACCCAATTTGCACCTCTATATCAGTCGTCACTCTTATATTTTCGAGCTCGAGCGCACTTTCAGACCGATGACAGGCCCTTCCACTGATTGCACACCCGCCTCGTAGTCCTTTCCGACCATCAAAACACTCATGATCAATACCACCAGACAAAGTTGTGCCAGTCGAAGAATGCCCGAAACTGGACCTTGTCCGTTGCTTCTGACCCGCCGATGTACATCGTGGAAACATTCCGCGGATGATTGGGAGACAGGAAACGACTAGCCCGACGGATGGCTCGATATGGGTCCATAGAGTGGCATCGTAGATGGTATCTAGTTTCAGAGTCAACTTGCTTCCAGTTGAAGCAGAGGCATTGTCACTGCCACAGAGAATCTCACATGTCACGTCTTTCAAGTCGATATAGAATAATACTATTATTCGATAAATACTAGCGAAGCACACGCTAGTAAGAAGCCTAAATATCAGACGTTGTTCATCATCGATTAAGGATCTGTGAGCAAGAAGACAATTACAACTCACAATCCGCCCAGAGCAAAAACAGCGTTCAACGCCAGCTTATCCTGCCATGAGCGATGTAGTCTCCAGATCATGGGTACCGGGACTGCGAGGATGACAAAGTCCATGAGGACGTTAAACGCCTGATTCACAATGATGTAGGTGGTCGCGCTGAAGCAGCGTCCCTTGACATTTATGTCCCAGTATGCGCGGAGCGGGCGGCATTGCAATGCACAGGCCAGGAAGATACCCGAAGACCATGCGGCAATGAGAATATTCAGACCGAAAGTAAAGCGGAGGAAGTGTTTAGTGGTGAAGAGGCGGCGGTAGAAACAGATGAAGGAGATCTTGATTACAGGCGTCAAGACGAAATAGGTGAACTGGCTGGACAGGAATATCTATCGAATTCAGTGAGGGTTTAAGACCAAGGCCGTCGAGAATAATGTATCCTCTGTGGAAATACGCACTTGATAGAACAACTCAATAGTTCTAGTATTAAGATCAGAGACATGGTAGCCATTACCACCGATAGAACACCCTGAGACAATCCAGAAAGTCAGGCAGAGGCTATTCAGAGCATCCAGAAGCTTACACAAGATCAGCTCGATCAACATCCCCAGCATCAGCACAACAGCCACGAAGCAGAGACAGTCGTCTACTCCAAAACCAGTCCGCCGCTTGATCCTGGCAACAAACCGCAGGGTCATACTCAAGCACGTGAGGCCGACCAGGACGGAGACGATCACAATCATCTCCTTCCCCTTGGGGCTGGGGCCCATCCTGATTCACAGATGATGCGCAATGAGCCTCCAGGAGGAGTAAAAGGCAACATGGGTGACGAGCTGCGGGGAATCAAGTCAGCTTTGGGTTTTGTTAGACTTTTATTGCGTTCTGGGATCAGATACTCTTTCTTCCGATGGGTTGTGCAATGTAACCCCCAGTGACTGCCTATAAGCGGGAGGGACGGGGTGGTAATCCCCGTCAGTGGCTTTATTCCATCATATTTCTGTGCCACCAGCCCAGGTTCCTTCCTCCATTCGCTCACCACTGGGCAAAACTAGCGAATCGTTTTCTAACCTTACATCCTGTGTAGCTGATCATGGATTCATCCACGGCTGTCGCAGCCTCTTCCGCCATGGTTCCCCTGATTATCAACGGCCGAGAGGAAAGCGGCTCGCACATGTTCGAAGTCAAGAGCCCTGTCACCGGCAAGGCTTGCTGGACAGCGGCATCTGCTACGCTTGCCGATGCAACGAGGGCTATTGAGACAGCGGAGGCAGCATTCTCAGCCTGGGCTTGTACCAAGCCTGCTGCCAGACGCAATATCCTATTTAAAACGGCAGACATCCTTGAGAGCCGTCGGAGAGAATACGCAAACTATATGCATACCGAGACGGGTGCCGATGCTGAGGCCACCCAGCATTTTGTCTTTGCTCTTGCGACTCGTATGCTGAGGGATATTGCAGGTCGCATAACCTCGATCTGTGGGAGTGTGCCAGTGGTTGAAGGAGAAGGCCAGAGTGCGATTGCCTTCAAGGAGCCCATGGGTGTCATACTAGGAATTGTGCCCTGGTATGCAAAGCTGATCGTTTATGCTCATCACCATTGTTGCTGATAACAATGCCTGTAGGATTGCCCCTTATATATCCGGAATTCGTGCGGCAGCCTGCGCTCTGGCATCCGGAAATACAGCTGTTCTCTTGTCCTCACCACTGTCTCCACGCTGCTATTGGGCCATTGGTCGAGCCTTTCTGGATGCCGGTCTGCCGAATGGATGCTTGAATGTTATATCTACCTGCGAAGAGGATATGCCTCAGATTATAAATGCCATGATTGAGCTTCCGGCGGTCCGAAAGGTCAATTTCACTGGGAGTATGGATGTGGGGAGACAGATTGCTGCCACTTGCGGCAAGAACCTCAAGCCATTGTTGGTAGACCTTACAGGGAAGAATTATGCCATTGTTTGTGCGGATGCTGATGTCGCTGTTGCTGTTAACGGAGTGTTGGCTGGAGCTATGTTGAACGTACGATGTGTCAAATAATGTCTTCTCTGAGAATACATTACTGATTGGAAATAGTCCTATCGAGTCGGCATGTCAACTGATCGTATACTTGTCAATGCTAGTATTGCTGAAGACTTTATGGAAGCTCTAAAGTGTGCTCTCAGCATGGCAGATTCGAAAGTTCTACCGCCCATAATCGTCAATGCAGCTATGAAGACTCGCGTGGAGAGCATGATCTCAAGCGCCCTGAAGTGTGGAGCGAAGTTACTCCATGGAAAGCTTGACTCAGAATCAAGTCATGACGGCGTCCTTAGTCTTGGACCGTTCGTGCTCGGCAATGCTAGGCCAGATATGGATATCTGGAATGAGGAGGAATATACCTTAATGACGGCATGTATGATTGTCAAGAGTGATGAAGAAGCCGTTAAGATCGCCAATAGCGCGGGATACGGGAGCTCTGCTTCCGTATTGACGAAAGACCTTCGTAAGGGTCTTGCAATATCCAAGCAGCTGGAGTTTGGGTAAGTTCAATGCCCGAGTAGAAGAAAACAGAGGGAGTAGAGATACTGACTGATACAGCGCTGTTCATATAAATGGTATGAATATGCATGATGAACCGGTTCTTCCATATGGTGGAATTAAGAACTCCGGTTGGGGACGGTTCAATGCAGAGGAAGGCTTGAATGAGTACCTTGTGACCAAGTCTGTGACTTGGATGGATTGATGTAACTTATGGAAGATGTGGGAAGTACATTGTCAGATACTTATCTTGCTCAGTTCATTGTAAGTGTTTGGAAACTACATGTTTGGCAATGAAAGATGTAGCACCAATCAGCTCACAAAGACGGACTGCTTAGATCTGAATGAACCTCAATAATGTGGCTTTACTACAGTATGTCGTTTACAAGTGATATATGGTGGTCCATACAGTGGTACCTAGGAACTTATATCTATGATTATAGACCGAGGACTACGGGATTTTGATCGGAAAGGCAACCTTCCAATTAGCACTTCTCACAACATTTTCGTGTCGTATATGCTACATGCGCAACTCACTGACCCTAAACACTAGGGATTATCATGCAGAAAATACCCTTCACTGTGTTCATCATTGCCCGTCTCCATCTTTCCCTACAACCTCTTCTACCTTCTCCTCTGCACCTCTTTCTATATTCCCATCTTCTTTACTATTCCGTCAGGGGACCTGTTCCCTCACTTCATTTCTCAATACCAACTGCCGCTACGACCACATTATTTACCTTTCACCTACAAGTGAACCCCGGCCGGGTCTCAGGTCCTCGCTGATTATCTGGCACCCTGGACTCCTAAGTAACTACCAAACGGGCTTTGGTACTTCCGAGCCAGACATTGGGGCCTAGCCAATATCTCTGATCATTTGCAGTAGCGTTTATTAACTTACTCTTAGGAGAGCCTTTCTAGGCTTAACTCTATTCACACCACAATGGAAGAGAAACTGTACCGAGAGGCCTATGAGGAGATCACCTGGTTCTTGCACAGCTCACCGAAAGTGAAGTCTATTGCGATAGACCGATACGTTGATCTACACAGCTTGTACCAAAGTAAGAGATAGGACATATACCTGCATGCGACATGTGACTATCTAGTACTAATTTCATAACAGAACAGCCCGACAAACACCAGGAAGCAGCTAAATATGCTCTAATAGTTTATCGGCTGAGTGACTTCTCCGATGACATAAAGTGGAAGATTAGTTTCAGCACGATCGAAGAGCAGCATGTATTCCTCCGGCTTCTGCACCTTGATGATACCAACGAAGAGGTAAGGAAAATACCTGTGCATATTAATACTGTCATATGAGTGACATAATCACGCTCAAAAGTACACAGGAATAGCTAATTTTTGTCTAGTACAAACGGCTTGCGTCGAAGAAAGAGAAGGCCAGGAATAAACGGTCCTTGTTGCGATCAGGAACGACACCTCTTTCGGAGAAGATTACTTCTCCGGCCGTTCAGAATAAAGAGAAATTGACTGGTAGTGGAGAATCGAATACAAAGCCTCAGCAATTCAAAGATCCCCAACAAAAGTCAGCGGACGCCAAAATCGAGAATAAGAATTCCAGTCCATGAACAAAGGGTACGCTGGCATGCCATGATGTCGAGATAGCTTCGATATTTTGGCTTTTATTTTGCGGCGGAACGGCAATGGGGGTAAGGAGATAGTGCTGTGACAGACGAAGACTAAGTGGTACAATATGAAACTTGCAAGCTTGTGCCCAAAACTGTGACTTGCAACTGCATAATAGAGAAATTGGTCATGTCTGGGGTGGAATACAAGGTATTGAAAAGTTTGGGAGACAGAAAGGAAGACTTGACCAAGTCAGATATTTGAAACTAGGGCCTGCTTGTACGCCACCGTACTGTCCAAATTGCAGAAAGTCCAGGCCAGAATACCGCCGATGAACTTCAAAAACCTCTTCCAGAGTTAATATATGTGAAGGAAGCACACGATGCATACTGGCACCTTAACATGGCATGCTACCGGGCTCTCTATCCTGTTTGTTAATGCGTGCCTTACGACTATGATCTCTTATGATAATTTCACTACTTTGAACCGAGGCGACTCAGGAGATAGCAGCATCAATTTCTCTGGTGAGGATAGCAAGGTTGCTGGAGGAGGTAGCTAATCTTATGAGTATGAGTATGTTAGTAGGTACGGTGTATATGACAGAGCAGAGTTATTTGGTTATGAAAATGTAGGTTGATTCTTTGGGTTTGCTCTACTCTACTATACTACTATACACTCCGTAACTTCATCATCGTCATCATCATCGCCGTCGTCATTTCAATTAGATTCAGCCATCGACTTAATCATCACCACTCTCAATAACCACCTTCACCACCGGCCTCCCCTCCTCATCCACTCCCTTACCCGACAGCCCAAACGCCCGATCGCCATCCGCAAGCGGCACCCGATGCGTCACTACCATCTTCTCCACGCGATCCATCTTTCCACTCGCCATCAGCTCAATCGCCGCCGGATACGCATAGCCATCATAGCGGAACACTCCCAGGATATCGACCTCTCTCAACGCAGCTGCTCCCACCGGCAGCGTCTGCACGGGGTGTCCCATCCCGATCTGCACCAACACTCCACCCGCCCCAGCGGCATAGATGCCCGCCTGCACGCACGCCGGCACACCCGTGCAATCATAAACGCGCGCAAAGCCCGTACTCGCCACATTTGCCGACTCCTTCAGGATCCCCGCCACGCGCTGCGCATTCTGCAGCGCCCACGCCGTCTGCTCCGCAGCCGGCGCATCGCGGGATGGCGCGGGGTTCGCGGGATCCGCCTTGGGGATGAGAGTTGTCTTGAGACCCAGCCCCAGCTCGTCGGCAATAGCTAGGCGGGAGGAGTCAATATCTGCCACCACGATGGAGGAGAAGTTCTGGGAGGTGGCGAGCGCAGAGGCCAGGAGGAGGCCGATGGCGCCAGCGCCGAAGATCAAGGCGGCGGTGGGTTCGCCGAGGGACTGAGCGAGCGAGACATCCTCGGCGGTGGGGGGCCGAGAGCGGCGGATGGCATGCAGGCAGACGGCGAGGGGCTCGACAAGGGCGCCGCCGGCGTATGAAACGTGTGAAGGGAGCTTGTGGCAGAGGGAGGCGGGGTGGTTGGTACGTTCCATGAGGGTGCCGTCGAGGTGGGGGAAGAGTTTCGCGCTGCTGCGGAACTTCATTTGTGGGCAGATGTTATAGCGTCCTTGCTGGCAAAGGGCGCATTGACGGCAGGGAAGCCCAACTTCGAGCGCGACGCGGTCGCCCACGGCGTGAGTGGTTACCTCGGGGCCGATGGCTGTGATGATGCCGGAGGATTCGTGGCCGAGGCACATGGGCTCGCGCACCACGAAGTCGCCATTGCGGCCATGGGTGTAGTAATGCAGGTCGGAGCCGCAGAGGCCGGTAGCGCGGATGGCAACTTGGACTTCGGAGCCGGTTGGAGGTGAGAGAGGGCGAGATTCCTGGTTTTTGTTAGAGACATGTCTTGTTGATAGAGAAGTGGGGTGCGGGGAAGCTCTTACTAGGCGGAGATCTTTGGCGCCGTGCAGGACGAGGGCCTGGGTGGTTTCTGTAGAGTTGACGGTCATGATGAATGTATGGGAGGTGTGAGGATAGGAAGAAGAAGTGTAAAAGGAGAAAAAAGAGGAATGGATCTTAATACATGACGTGGGGGAAGAAAATGTAGTCTTTTGAAGATGATTCAATCGCCGGAGAGACTCCGCGTCGGCTATTGACTCTCACCCGATCAATAGCCGACGGCATCCAAACTGGATGGCCGACCCCGCATACCCTCTTTCTATGCTGGTTATTGCTCTGTTATTGCGCTGTTATTGCTGGATACTACTTATCTGTCCATATTAATCAAAAAGTCTCCCCCACGCCAAATGGTGGATCTATCTCCACCGGCCATTCATAAATGCCCTGATTAATCGGATATTCCCCGTCGTATCCCTCACATCTTCTCTGCTCTTGTTTTCTTCTTTTCTTTCTTCCCCTCTTCTCCCCGCAGGATACTCATTTCCTTGACATCATCGCCATCATGCCCGCCGCATTGCTGATCGGTGCCATCACCCATTCCATGCCCGAATGGAATGATCTCTCCTCCATCCTGACCTTGAAGGAATTCCCCTCCGGAACTCGCGAAGACTTTATTCGCAATTGCCGCGACGGCCAGTACGATGATGTAGTCGCCATCTATCGCTCTAACACTTCTACCAAGGTGAGCGGCACTCATACCTCTCCAAGAACTAAGCTGAGTCCCTGCCTCAGTTCACCGGCCCATTCGACGCAGAATTACTCTCCGTCCTGCCCTCCTCACTCAAGTACATCGCCCACAATGGCGCAGGTTACGATAACATCGACGTCGCGGCCTGCACGAAGAAAGGTACACCAAGCTCTCCCCCCAGCCCTGAGTCCACTGACCATCTCAGGCATCGCCGTCTCCAGCACTCCCGTCGCAGTTAACAACGCCACCGCCGACGTGGCCATCTTCCTAATGATTGGCGCTCTGCGACAGGCATACATTCCCGTCACATCTCTCCGCGAAGGTGAGCCGATCCACCTCAATCCAGTCACAACTCAATATAACCATGAAACAGGAAAATTCCTCGGCCAAACAGGCCTCGGACACGATCCCCAGAACAAGGTGCTTGGAATCCTCGGCATGGGAGGAATCGGCCGTGTAAGTCTAGCACCCTGAACCAGAGGAGCATCAGATTAATAAATTGCAGGAGGTCGCTCGTCGTGCGCGCGCCTTCGGAATGACCATCCAGTACCACAACCGGTCGCGTCTCTCCCCGGAACTCGAGGACGGAGCGACCTACGTCTCATTTGATGAGCTGCTCGCCAATTCTGATGTTTTGAGTCTGAATCTGGCGCTGAATGCGTCTACTCGTCATATTATTGGCAAGACGGAGTTCCAGAAGATGAAGGATGGTGTGATTATTGTTAATACGGCGCGGGGTGCCTTGATTGATGAGAAGGCCTTGGTTGAGGCGCTGGAGTCGGGCAAGGTTGGTTGAACTCTTCACTGTAGCTATGAACAATTGGCTAACGTGATGATATAGGTATGGTCTGCTGGGCTGGATGTCTATGAGAATGAACCCGCCATTGAGCCGGGATTGGTAAACAACCCTCGGGTCATGCTGCTGCCGCACATCGGGACAATGACTTATGAGACGCAACGGGAGATGGAGCTACTGGTGTTGAACAACTTGCGCTCTGGCGTGGAGACGGGGAAGATGATTACTTTGGTGCCGGAGCAGAAAGATGTGTTTGGAAAATAGATGTATTTTGATAGATACCAACATTATCTAAGATTATTATACAGTTCAGTATTTCATATCGTAAGGGTTAGATCATCTGCATGCAACTCCTTCAGATCGCGCTCATAGAATGTGAAAGTGACCATTTAGCGAGGCGATGGTCCAGCTGTTCAATTTACTCTCACACTTGAGCAGTTGATGACGCTATACTGATATCCTCATTCCTCCGTCATGACCACACATGATGACCACACCTAGCAGCTAACCACACATCGCATAAATTTGAAACTATCTAGTATCAGACCATCCGTACAAGCTATCCCTCTGATCTATACTCCCTTTTTATACATCCCCCTACAACCACCTAACAACCCTAACTATACACCACCCATAATGAGCCCTAAAAAGCCCACCAGAGCAACAGCGACAACCAAGCCCCAACCCCAACCTGTAACCTCCGGACGCATCACCAGACCCCGAAAGCCTCATCCTCCGAAGGCCACTACTTCCACCCGTACATCCAATCCCGCAGCGCATACTCCCAACCAACCTCCTCTACCCGACCAAGAGACAGAAGGCCACCCCCCAGCCTGGGCCGAGGTACGTATACCTTACCATCCCCTTCCTTAGAACCCACTTCTAATCCATATAAAATGAACAGAACAGACCTGAACTCTGCGACACCCTACCCTGGTTTCGCTCCGTGCAAGGCGGAGTCTACCACAACGGGAACATATGCTGGGGATTCCTAATCGACGCAGACTGTGGCATAAGATCATATCTGGATGATGAGGTGATTATTACTCGTGTGTATGTTCCATGCCTTATCATATCTCTTGATCTATGCCGAATGCTGACAATATTGTGTCTAGTGGAGGCGGCTGCACCAAAGACGCAGACGGAAACCTGGTGCTCATCAAGGACCAAGATGGCGATAGTGCGGCGATAACTAGTATATTAAATAGTAAGGAGTTGAAGGTTCCGGTGGGGATTATTATTGGTGAGTACATCTGCCCCGTTTGCATTAAATGGTAGCTAATTGATGACCTTCCCAGGAAATCGCAATACACTGCTAAACAGACCCCTTCCGCACCGGTACAACGTCATGGCGTATTTCCGGATCACGCATGTGTGGTATGAACGGATCGGTAGGAAAACGGGTGCAAAGGTCCGGTTCGAGAAGCTGGATTTGGGTAGAAAGAGTTGGTGGGCCGCGAAGCATTCTCCTTCTCCGGAGAAGAATCCGGGTTATGGGCATGCGAAACAGCCGGAGCAACTCCGCTGCAAGGCGTGCGATCAACACAGCATACGCATATACGACGAGGGATGGATGTGTCTGCAGCCATCTTGTGAACTCTTCTGGATGATTAACGGTGGCTCCTCACCCCCACCATCAGCGGTTCTCACCTTCCACGAGAAATTCCTCAAATCCCGTCTGCCCCCGGACCCGACCATCCAGCCGCATTACAGCCTCGTCCCGGACTTACTTTCAACCCTGAAAGATACAGATAGCGATGCCTTGTCGAAAAGGATTACCTGGAAAGGGATAATATGTCCCCTATGCAGACGCTGCATTTCCCGGCGGTATTGGTGGGGATGGCGATGCGCTGATGATAACGATAGCAGCAACTGTCCCTTTGAGCACATCCTACCCATACGACCGATCGCTCTGCGATGGGTGATTGACGACATGGAAACAAGCCCCATTAAGCGAGCGCTCAGCTGGGATGCGAAGTTCATGGTTCCGGAGATAGACGATGTATCTCTTTATCCGTACAGAAAGCTCACTTATACAATCCCGGGGGTTGGGAGTATCATGCATTTAGTTGCGAACCGCGAAATAAATACCCGGTGTAATGGGCCGGATGAGTTGTTTGGGCAGTTACAATGTGAGGAGTTGGGGTTGAGGAGGTATCCGTTGGCGCAGAGTATGGGTGAGTTATCTTTTCGATGGGGAGTAAAGGTGGGGGGGGAGATGATGATGATGCTAATGATATATTATTTGTAGTTGCGGGGACTCTTACTGCTCATTTTGCTGTCAATTATGTGCGTCATCTCTCTTCTATCATGCACACACCAGAACCCTAACGGAGAAGAAAAACAGGGCATGCCATACAAATACGTCGTCTCCGTCGCATCCAAGGCCTTCAACGAAGCCTGTCCCCCCATCCTCCGAGCTATGGGTCGCTTAACATGGGCCAGCAAGCAAGCTGTTCTCGCCGCTGGGGATACATTCCTCCCTCCTAACGAAATGCTTCTGCTGGGGTATCTGGAGGACATGAGGATTGGGGTACGTACATCCTTCCATCTACCAATTCTTCTCCCCTACGGAGATACTCACATTATGAGCAGTACCACGACGACGGCGAATCCGCCCTCGGCCCCACGATCTCCACCCTCTCCCTGGGTGCCAAATCCACCATGCTCGTCCGCATGAAATACAAATACTACCATGGCTACAGCAGAGCGAAGAATCTCCTCGCCGAGGATCCGGTCATGCCTGGATGCAAGAATTATACAAGGCGGAGGGAGCTCAAGGCGAGGTTGCAGGATGGGAGTATTGATCGGAAGATGTATGATGAGCTGAGGCGCGAAGGGATCGTGAGGAAAGGTGCTGGCGGGGAAGCTACGCCGTGTATTAAGATGGAGGTGAATCATGGTGATTTGGTGGTTATGCATGGGGAGGGATTGCAGAGGTTTTATGAGGTATGATCCATCCATTCTATTCTCTTTTGTTATATGAGGGTTAGGGTTGTTGGGATGCTGATTGTGTAGCATTCGGTTATTCCGGATAAGAGGTTGAGGTTTGCGTTGACGGCGAGGCATATTAAGCCTGAGTTTGTGGATGTGAAGGAGATAGAGAAGGGGAGGTTGGAGTTGGGGAGGGAGTGGGTTTATGATGGGAAGTAGGAGGGGACTCTCGTTGCTTGGCTATGAACTGGTTGGATTGAATGGGATGGCGGACTTGTTTTCTTTGCTTTTCTTTGGATTGCTATATACGGCATTGCTGGGCCATCTGGTTATGATTATTTAGGGCATCTACTTGCTAATATGCAATTAATAATCCAAGTCTAGACAGTTCTATTAAGCTGTCTAACATATTCTACTAATATAACGCTCGAAAGTAGATAAAAGCAAACACCAACAGATGGATATATGTACACTTCGCTGAATTTTCACCCATCACCCATTAATCACGTTCAAGCACTTTTCTTGTTGGCCTTCTGAGCCAGCAAGTTCAACGCACTACCAGCCAGGACGAAAGCACACTGGTCCGGACTGAGAGTGTGCTTGACGGGGATCACCACCGACTCGCCACTGCGCTTGGTCACCCGCAGCTGGATGGAGCCCTGTCCGCCAGCCTGCAGCACTTCATATAGTCCCTCCGTGGCCACCTGGTCACAAGCGTCGATCTTGTCATAGTCGGCCGGGTTCTCGAAGGTCAAGGGCACGACACCCTGCTTCTTCAGGTTCGTCTCGTGGATACGGGCAAAGCTCTTGGCCACGATGATGCGTCCACCCAGGTAGCGGGGCTGCAGAGCAGCGTGCTCACGAGCGCTACCCTCGCCGTAGTTCTCCTCAGCCACGACAAGCCACTCAACTCCGTCGGCCTTCCACTGGGCAGCCAGGTCCGGAATGGAGTACTGTTTGCCAGCCTCGTCGTAGGCGACGTTGGTCTCGCCAGTGGCGGCGTTGACGGCACCGATCAGGGTGTTGGCGGAAATGTTGGGCAGATGACCCTTGTACTTCAACCACGGACCAGCCGCCGAGATGGTGTCAGTCGTGCACTGGCCACGGACCTTGTACAGGACCTTGAGGCCGGACAGGTCGCCCTTGGGGAAGGGGGCGAAGGGCTCGAGCAGGGCCAGACGATCCGAGGTGGGGGAGACAATCACTTCACAGGAAGGATCGGGCACAGCAGCAGTGGGCTGGAAGTCAGGGTTGCCATCGGCAAAGCCGTCACTGGGGAGAGCGTAGCCGGTAGGAGGCTGGAAGCGGAACTCCTCACCGCTGGGGGTGGTGATGCTGTCGGTCATGGGGTTGAAGGTGGTGCTTCCAGAGTAAACCATGGCGGTGACGAGCTCAGGGGAGGCCAGGAAGTTCATGGTTCTCCGGTTGCCGTCGTTACGACCGGGGAAGTTACGGTTGTAGGAAGTAAGGATGGCGTTATCCTCGCCCTTGGGGACACCGTCCGTGCGCTTCCACTGACCAATGCAGGGACCGCAGGCGTTCGCCAGGACGGTACCGCCGGCCTGGGAGAAGGTCGACAGAGTCTGATCGCGGTCCAGGGTGGCGCGAATCTGCTCACTACCGGGAGTGATGAAGAAGTCGGACTTGGGCTTAAGGCCGGCAGCAGAGGCCTGCTTGACCAGGTTCTCCGCACGGGTCATGTCCTCGTAGGAACTGTTCGTGCAGCTACCAATCAAACCCGCTCCAAGGGATTCGGGCCATTGCTTCTCGCGAACGGTGTCGGCGAAAGCAGACAGGGGAACGGAGAAATCGGGAGTGAAGGGACCGTTGATGTGAGGCTCCAGCGTCGACAGGTCGATGGTGATCAGCTCGTCATACTCCGCACCGCCATCGGCACGGAGGAGGTTCCTGGGACCAGAAGAGGCGATCTCAGAGGCAGCACGGGCAACATCAGCCCGGTGAGTCGCCTGCAGGTAGGGGACGTGGTTGGGGGAGAAGGGGAACACGGAGGTCGTCGCGCCCACCTCAGCACCCATGTTACAGATGGTGGCCATACCAGTGCAGCTCAGGGTCTCCAGACCAGGTCCGTGGTACTCAATAATGAAGCCAGTTCCACCACGAACGGTGAGCTTGCCAGCCAGGTGGAGGATGATATCCTTGGGGGCCGCCCAGCCGTTGAGCTTGCCCTCCAGACGCACACCCAGGACGCGGGGCGCCTTGAGCTCCCAGGGAGCGTCAACCAGCGCATCGACGGCATCAGCACCACCGACACCAATGGCAATGGCACCCAGACCACCAGCATTGGGGGTATGGCTGTCAGTTCCCAGCATCATCAGACCCGGAGCAGCGTAGTTCTCCAGAACACTCTGGTGAATGATACCGGCACCAGGGGGCCAGAACTCAATACCGTAGCGCTTGGCCGCACTCTCCAGAAAGTCAAACACCTCGCTGTTACCCTTGATGGACGCCGGCAGATCAGTGTCAGCACCACGCTCACCAACGATCATGTGGTCACAGTGGATACTAGCGGGCACGGCCGTCGAGGGCAGTCCGCAAGACATGAACTGCAACAGAGCCATCTGGGCCGAGGCATCCTGCATCGCCACGCGATCGGGCTTCAACTTCAAGTTGGCCTTGCCGCGAATATCACGGCCATTGTTGGTGCCGGTCAGAAGGGACTCCTCGGGGTTGTCCAAATGGGCGTAGAGGATCTTCTCCGCCAGGGTCAGGTTGCGGTCCTGGCCGAGCACGCGACGGACGTTTTCGAGGTTCTGAACGATCTTCGGGTAGGGAGGCAAGCGGGAAGAAGCTGCCGGAGAAGCCTCCGTGGCCAGGCCACGGCGACTGAACAGTCGTTGCGGAGAGAGGCACTTCGGGGCCAACTATAGCACGGGGAAGTGGAGGTTAGTCTAAGGCGCTGGGAGTCAATCGGCTGATAACGGCACGACTTACCCTCTGAGAGGCGGTGGCCCGCTGCCATACAAGCTGCCTCACCATTGTCACGCCGGTTTGCTTGGATGATAGCAGAGGGAAGTGACAGAGACTCAACGACGAGCAATTTCTGTGCCATATGCTAGTGGCACTTTTCTTTTACCTTCCCCTTGATTGGCTCGCGCCACCGCCGATGCCGGATCTGGTGTCGATCTCGATATGACTCATCCGTGATAAGCCACTAATATCATGTGGTCACGGAATATTGGAACAACAGATGATCCGATTAGCCACACTTCCATTTTCGGTATTTTATGCATTGTTTATGTAGTAAATGGTTTCAAGATCTCTCATTCAACATGTTGCATGCATGATTCAAATTTCCTCATTATCATTACACATCCAGGCATATCGTAGACCTGCCAGGGATTTTGTCATATCATCAATATTGTACATACCCACCAGACCTGACCCTGACCCAAAAATCCCACAACCAAAATAGACCAAATGATTAAACAACGCCAATCTCCACCCCCGCAACATCTCCACCTCCCGTCCCGACTCCCCATTTGATTCAGTTGGTGATAACTGGAGCCGTGTTATCCCATTCATCACCCTCGGCCACATCGACCAAATATCGTGCCACGCTGATCCGGCTTGTACTGGCCATCATAGGAACTCCCTTGCCATCATCCGGCCACACCTTGATGGCGGTTTCATCGGTTTCGACCAGCCGGGACGGCCGCACAAACACATAATCGACCCCGCTGGCCAGGACTTCCCTCTCTGTCTCGTTGTGATCATCGTACTGATGTGACATATTAGATGTCTTCATGAGTAGACGTAGCAGGATGTGCAGATTAGTCCAAGATGCTCCCACCCCGAACGCCTGGAGAATCACGATCTTGCGAACCCCAAACTCTTTCATCGCAGCCACTACATTGGCGTTGCAGTCGGCCATTAGACGAGGCGGAGAGATGGGAGCAGCAAATGGACTATCGCTCGCTCGAGGCGCATTCAGCGTCACAATCACCACGTCTGGTTTGTCTGCTTTAAACGCAGCTCGTACGTCATCTAGATTCATCGGAGTGCCTGGGACATGTCAGCCGTGGAACATGCTACAACAAGCAGCAGCAGCAGCAAGAATTCATTGTGTACTAACCTTGGATGACATTTAGGCTAGGTCGTGGATCTCCCAGCGCATCTGGTGTTCGCGCTAAGGTAGTGACCTGGTGGTGGCCTTGGGTATGTTAGCCATATTCATCAACGTGTCTGAGGTCGTATAACATAGTAGAAGCCTACCTCGCCTCAACAGCTCATCAATGACAAGTCTGCCACAACGCCCAGTCCCGCCAATCACTAGTGCGCGCATGGTGCTGGTCGAAGATACCAGTGGCCGTAGAATGAAATCTTGAGCCAGTCAAGATTTCTAGGCACTATTTGTTTGGCCTCATTCTGGAATCCCCGCAGAGGCATGGGAAAGCCTAAGTACTCTTCCGTGTTTCAGATATCATTATACCTTGATTACGGAAGAGCAGTCGGCTTGCAGGCTGGCGGAGTCGCCCTCGGATCCGGTATACTTCGGGTCCGGAGAGAGAGTTCTTGCAGCTGGGCCCAATGGCATCCTTGTTAGACTCGTGTCATTGTCCAGTAGATAGTCACTGTGCATGATTTTATGCAGGCTCCTTACAGTATTGTCCTGTTATTTTTAGTGAGTTCCGGCTCAGTATCCGTGTTGGCTGCATAGGGCAACTGGTGAAGCTTTTGGTTCGGAGCCATGACATAATACTCCGGGGTTTGGAGCAGACAGTCTCCGTTGAATGAGTTGCTCAAAGCCGACTGAGGTGGCGTTTTCTTTGTTATGGAAGTTGTGCGACAGAACTATTCCATCTCGCTGCGAGTATGCTACATGGGGAAGCAGGAGAGAGCCGGACGTCCCTGGAGTGAAGCCAAGATGTGGCATGGGAGGGAAAGTTTCCACAAATGCTTAGCCACACAAAGTATGTCGGCCAAATCCGATATATAGCAACCCTTTCAGTGAGCGATACTCATTGATATGCTCGAGGGTTTGTTAAAGTCAAGTACTTTAGTGTAGAGGTGTAAATACTATTTTCATTTATAATGTTGAATGCATAATGACATCATTATAACTATAGATTTTAAACTGGACATCGTTTGAGTAGGATATGTCAGCTACTAGTACAAGCAGTAAATTATATAGTATCTTTTAGCCATATCAGATTCAGTAATTCACCGTCCTTATTCTGCAATCAAATTCACTGTAAATAAAGTGCAGATCTGCTTGGTCTCCATGCAGGTACGGCCATTTTTGTCCCCGCAACGGAGCGGAGGCCGAGGCTCAGGTCACCTGACGTCAGGTTCCGCACTGAATTTTGCAGCCGACAGAGGGGCTGATGGGATCGCCAGTGATGATGTTGATAGGTGGTCCAGGCGTGTGGCCGGCTTTCAACGTTCAAGTATAAATTGTTCAATCCAGTTTTACCTTTTCCCAACTTGACGGTCGACAAAGTCCATCCACTGCGTCATGCCGGAACCACTACCTCCTTTGGCACCGGTTCCACCCCCGGAGGTGCAGAGCACCGTACCACCCAACGAATGGGAGCTCTATATAGATGCGTGGATCTTGTTGCTGCAAGTACGCATAGAAGCCCCTGATTCCCAATTCAGGGAGATTGCCGCCAATGATGAATCTGCCGTGACATTCTTGACCTCCTTCTATCATCAATCCGCCACATCTGGGTTATCTGGCTTCCATGCCGGGCTTAAAGCGCGATCATTACGGAAGCTCTGCTTCTTGTTGACTAGGAGGTTCCTCCTTGATGCCTCTGCAACACCGTCTGAGCTGCTTGAAGTGGATGTTCTTGCGAACGTGTGTTGCACCTATCCTTCGAGCGCTGCCTTGAAGCGACTATTGTCCGATGCCTGGAACAAGCATCAAGATACCATAACATCCAGCCTCGAGAAGACAAAGACCAAGATTATCAAAGAGCTTTCGTTGCTGAATCCTACCAAGTCTATGACCGTCCTCTCAGACATCCGCCTCTTGACTATTCTGGCGTCTGCACTGCCCGGTTGCGGCCAGGTCCTCATGACGGGGTCTGACTTTCTGGACACATTCGCCGATGCATACCAAACACACAAACGAGCGGACATCCGTAGTGTCCTTGTAGCGAACGTCTACGTCGGTCTAGCATCGCTCCTCAAAGGCCCCAAGCTGAACCTCTCCGCGCTGCTGGACCAGCTCTACAGTCTAAAGTCCGGCGTTGGCATCGGATCCTCAACAACGAAAAAGGAGCCCACCCTCCTGTCCGACGTCATCTGCAGTACAGACCTTCTAGTCCGTCTCGACCGCCACCTCAGCACCCATCCCCAGAAACGAGGCCAAGACCTCCTCACCAGTCTACGAACCTACCAAGAAGAGACAAAGATCTTTCACCGTCGCCATCAAAAACAAAAGAAGCGACTCCTCGACAAAGGCAAGGGCCGTGCCGCCACGGACCTCCCCGCCCCCGAAGACATGCACATCCATCGCATGTCCCTCATCACCCAAGTCCAAGACCTCTTCCCCGACATAGGCTCCGGCTACATCACCCGCCTGCTAGACCACTACAATGACGACCCCGAAACAATAGTCTCCCATCTCCTCGACGACTCCATCCCCTCTGAACTCCGCACCTTAGACAAATCCGAACAACTCCCTACATCAACATCAACATCAACCCTCCCACACGACCCTCTCCCGCCCCGCTCAACGCCACCGCCCACAGAACCAGCCCTTCCAACCCGCAAAAACATCTTCGACAACGACGTCGACCTCGCCGAACTATCCGACCAATCCACTCTCCACCACGGCCGCCGCACCAACACCACCCAAGCCGACGACCTCCTCGCCGACCGCACCCACCACGCCGCCAAGAAAGCCGCCATCCTCTCCGCCCTGGCAACCTTCGACTCTGATGACGACGAACGCGACGACACCTATGACATCGCCGACGTCGGCGGCACCATTGATGACACCACCACCGACGATGCCAAGGCTGCAGCAGAACAACAACAAGAGGCAGAACTCTCCCTCTACCGAGCATACAAGTCTAATCCGGCCCTGTTCGCGCGCGACTCTGCTACGCGACGCTCACAGCCTCGCGACTCACTTAAGCGCGAAACCGGCATGACGGATGAAGCGATCGAGGGGTGGGCGGTCATGTTGTCTCGGGATCCGAAACGGATGGCTAGATTGGAGGATAAGATGGCTTTCGGTGCTGATGGTGGTGGGTTGAATCAGCCTGAGTTACCGGCTACGTCGTATCGGAGACCTGGTGCTGGAGCTGAAGATGACGATGAGAGTGAGACAGGTGGGAGCAGCAGCTCAAGAGGAAGAGGAGGACGCGGACGCGGTGGGAGAGGTCGGGGACGTGGTGCAGGACAGCAGGGTAGTACTCCTGGGAATAGTAACCCTGCTGTTGCGCGGCAGAGAAAAGAGGAGAATAAAGCTAGTCGGGCGAATCATAATCGTCGACAGCAGCGAGCGAGGAAGGTTGCGAGGGCTGGGGGCATGATGGGGTAGTTGGTAGCTTTGGTCGTAGTGCTCAATAGTTAATGAGTCTACTGGATATGAATTAATGAAAGGAATAGTCGCTTCAGGCATTATCCACGGCGCTTATTCATGCAAATGGTTATGGAGAGTGACATGTCTAATGGCTAGTAAGCATCTCCACCTAGCATGAGTTACTGTTTATCCGTGTCTCTATATTCCAGTAAATCCATGTCTAGTTACCCCCTACATACTCCGTAAACCCCGCAAACATGAATGAGTAGTTATCAATCAAGATCAAATAATCCAAGATCTATAGGGGTTTTCCTGAGCGTTCCGTATCTTCACCCCCTCCCTAGATTGGATAAATCACTGGGCTGCTCTCTTCCCTCGTATTCCATCTTTATCTGGTTCAGCCACCTACGCATCACAGTTACATCCAAAGAGGAGTGTGTAGGATATTACCCGACATACATAGATCAATCACTGGCTCCAGGAGCTGCCAAGATCGACATTCAACAGATGTCACCGATGATTGCACCGTGCTCTGGCCCAAAAGTCGTGCTGAGGTCAAGTTGGGCCAAGTTCACTTGCATTCTGTCGTGGAGGATAATGAGACTGAGCAGAAGAGAATAATCTTCGATTCGGTGCCTAGAGTAGAAGGTATTGAGCCATCGGGGGATCCGTTGATTGATACTCGTGCGGCTGCGTACCTGATCAGTGGTAGAGAGGGACATGCAGCTTAAGTAGCTAAATAGCCATGCATATATTCGCTTGATTATTTCATTCAATGGTGAGTAGGGTTCTTATCCATGCGGCATAGGTTGAAATGTTGTTGTATTCATGTCCTAGTCATACCAACATTATAGAACCGAGGGGCAATCGCCGCAACCCGACCTTCTAAGAGGCGACGACCTCGAAGCCTAGAGCAACACCGGTGTCAGATCAGGTAAGGCGTCGTCCATGAAAATTTGATTCTCCAATCTAGACTACTTCGGATGATCACAGGGTTTTCTTATCATCAACAGGGCGTATTGAGATCGAGTAGATTTCCTCAAACGTATACCGGTATTTCCTAAAGAGGAAATCTACCCGCACCTAGGGCGGCATCGACCGAAAGGGTAATGCATTGGTGAAGCTTTAGTATGGCCATCGTTTAGATATAAATGACTACCCTGCAGCAGAGTTCAGCACCCAGATACCACAGCATCTATCAGTACCGACAACCTACAATGGTAATAACTAGCCTCTTCCGAGCAGCTTCCCTGCCGGAGAATGAACCGACATACTTCGGTATCAGGTAAACGGGGACCACTTACACCCTCCAAGAGTCGTTATAATGACATGAAATAGGCTTGACAGCGATATATTATGGATTCCTGGAGACTCAACAGTAACAGGATATTGCCATGTTACAGGAAAGGTTGTGTTATGCCTCAACCAACCCCTCCGTGTTAAGGACATGAAGCTGCACTTTGAGGGACGGCGTTACATGAAGTACGAATATTCCCCCCTGGGCCGTGACCCAATACTAACAGCCTATCTGAATTAGTTGGAAGGGCTTTCCAGAGTCCCAGAGATCTCACCAGCACATGTCATTTTTGGAGCGACTATTCATGTATCAAACCTGGAACTTTCTACCTTCTCTAGGGACCCCATCACCGACGACTACTTTAACACCTGGAAATCACGAGTTCCCATTTACCTTCTGCCTATCCAACAACACGCCAGATACTATTGAAGGCCTCGACGACTGTTATGTTAAATATCAGTTGAAAGCCACTATCGGCACAGCTGGGGGACGTCGTATCGAAGCTGACACCCGGGTGAGGGTACGTCGGATGTACAGATCATTATTGCTACCAGAGCCGAAGGTAAGCTATTATACAAATATTGTATTTTAGTCTCTCAATTGCTAGGGCTGATTTTAAAAGGTGGTGCAAGATATATGGCCACAGAAGATAATCTATCGCGTTTCATTGCCATCTCAGGCCTATACCTTTGGCAGTGCTATCCCCATCAAGTTCGAATTTATTCCTTTATGCAAAGGGCTCGAGATAGCAACCATCCACACCGAGGTTAAAGAGACACACAAAGTCTTGCAGTTTACTCTCAGCCGTCGGGCCCGTGTCATCGCCGAGGACGACTTTTATCCCAGAGATTGGAATGAAGATGAATTCAGAATAACATCCGATAATGAAGGATGCTGGCATTCTTTAACCCGCTTCCTTCGCCTGCCGAACGATCCAAAGGAATGCCTACAAAGCCTTTCTACTAATTTTCTTCATGTCGAACACACTCTCACCACGCAAATCAAGCTTTTAAATCCCGATGGTCACCACTCAGCCGTATGCTTTCCAGGTCCACTGTTTGTTCCGCCTTACTGACCACATGATAGGTCCTCCTAGACCTGCCGATTTCAATTCACTGTGCCTTGCCACCTCTGCCAGAAGATCCCTTCATTTCCTCCGTACTCCAAGCTCTCAGAATGATAGACGAATCGTGTGATCAGCCCCTTCCGAGCTACAATAGTCACAAGTTGGACCGAACGCCCGATGAAATCGCATCTGAAGTACTCGGTGATGACATTGAAGGTCTCCCAGAACCCCCAAGTTATTTCCAATTGGGAAGCCCTTCAAAACCGCCAAGTTATGAAACTGCTCTTCTGCCGACTTTCTCTAGCCCTGTCCTGTTCAATGAAAGCTACGTCTGACACAGCATGCCGGATTTGAAATTTATGCAGGAACAATGCCTATGCCTAACCAAGCTCACATCCTAAGCACCTCGACTCTTGCCAAGTACATAGGCAAACGCCTCATCCAGTATCTTCAGCCCTTCCTCAATCTCCTGCGCTGAAACGGTTACCGGCGGCGCCAGACGGAAGACTCCTCCCATACCTGGTAGATTGACAACATTACACGACAACCCACACGCCATGGCTCTGTCCGACACCGCCTGACCTAGCTCCGGCCCAGGGCCTCGAGTGTCTTGATCGGTGATGATCTCAATCCCTTGCAAAAGACCCCGACCCCGTACATCTCCAATACACCAATACTTCTCCTGGAGCTTCAGCAGGCCCTCCCTCAGCTGCGTACCACGCTCCGTCGCCCGCTGGCAAATATTATCTCGTTCTACAATCTCCAACACCTTATTTCCCACCGCCGCAGTAAGCGGATCGTTCAGATGTGTCGTCAACCACAAAAACCCCGCGTCTGCGCAACCCTGCGCAATATCAGCACTCGTACTTACCGACGCCAAAGGAAGCCCGCATCCCAAGGTCTTCGACAAAGCCAGAATATCTGGGATTATTCCGGCCTGCTCGAACGCAAACATTTGACCAGTGCGACCGACTCCTGTTTGCGCCTCATCCATGATCAGCAACATGCCCCGCTTCTTACACTCTAGGGCCATGCGCTGCAAATATGCATCCGGAAGCTCCAGGATTCCGCCAGTCGAGAGAATAGGCTCCATAACAAACGCAGCCAACGACCCCACACTCTGCCGATCGATCATGGACCAACCAAACATCAACTCCGTCTCCCAGTCGTATGTCCCGTCCGCCTTGCGGAATGGCGAGCGGTATGCATATGGAGCAGGAAAGGCAAGTTGGCCTGGCATACAGGGGCCACCGCATTTCCTGCCCGTGGAATACGTCGCCGATCCAGAGCCCTGGGTAAGGCCGTGGTAACTGGCGCTGAAGGCGACAATTTCGAATTTGCCAGTATACGCTTTAGCCATCTTTATAGCAGCTTCGATGGATTCGGAGCCAGTATTCACGAAGAAGGATTTCTCCAGCGGTGGAGGGAGGTAGCGGGCGAGACGCTCAGCTAGGTCCACAACAGGATGGGTAATCATGTTGCTGAGGAGGTGGTCTAGCTTGGCGGCGTATTGTTGGATGGTGGACACAATCTCGGGATGAGAGTGGCCTAGCAGGGAACTCATCTGGCCTGAGGTGAAATCGAGGATGCGACGGTCGTTTGTGTCATATAAGCAGGTGCCTTGGGCTTCTTCGATGATGACTGGGGAGATGGGGACTCCTGTGGACATGAGGTATTTGTTCGCTTTGGCGAAGAAGGCGGCGGTGGTAGGGTCAGTGGCTGCCATGGCGCTCAATGATTATAACTTTTATTTCGATGATAAATAATTATAGTGTTTAATCTGAAATTGTTTTTCATAGTTACCTCCAGTCTCGATGGCTATAAGTAGTTCCAAGTCAGAATGACCGCGGGCATAGGGTCCTGCTATCCAACCATTCTAATTGGCTGAGTTGCCCGCGGGCGAAGGTTCCCCGCGGCCACGAAATACTTCACTTTATCAGAACCACCCCCTCCTTCTAAATGGAATTCCTCGGATCAAATATCCAGTAGAAAACCATCAGACTATGCCCGCTGAGCCTAAGGTAACGAAGGAGAATGGTAGCAGCTCGGGCAGACCCTATCGGTCCCATGCGCATCCCGCATGTCTACCTTGTCGGAAACGCAAGTCGCGATGCCGCACGAGAGATTCCTCCGCTACGTGTATGATGTGTTTGGCTCATGCAACCGACTGCATTTTCCCTCCTGCTGATACCCTCGTCCAAAGGAAGCGAACTGTCAATTTGCGGCGAATTGTACCCAAGACAGCTCGAACAGAGCGGCCCTCCACCCCTCGGGTCGTACTCCCATCACCCAGGACCAACAAAGCTTCCGACACACCACAACTTACGGGACACCACCAGCCAGCTCAGCCTTCCACAGCATATTCAGACGGCAAAGTTGCAAGTCTGATGGACGTGGTCGGCGATACCGGGGACGACAGCTCTCATGTCGTCAGCCCAGTCGTTGCTGACGACAGTAGTATACTAGAAGAATATCTGTTCACCGTTCCAGATAATCGAAGGCTTTGCTTGATGCACACCAATTCAAAACCCAGTCGACTTATGCGGCAGGTACTGTTCAATACCATTCCGAGGCGTCCATTGGGGGTGTACTCCGGTCAATCTCTCCCATCTATGAAGTGCGAGCTCATCGAAAAGTACCTCGAGCCTACGGCAAAGGATGTTGTGAGCCTGCAAGTCAATGCACGCTATTGTAGGGGGTATTCGGTTACTGACTGGTTACATATAGGTTCTTTCAATATGCCAATATATGCTTCCCTGTATTTGACGAGGCGTCGTTTATGAATGCCTACTGCACCCGCAAAGAGGAAATATCTCCAGCTCTCCTCTGCAATCTATATGCCAACTCCCTTATCTACTGGGACAATTCACCCAAGTTATGCTTAACTCGCACACCCGACATTCGCTATATCTGGAATCAAGCTAACGAGGCCCTTCATTCCGAACTTTTCTTGTGCCCTGGTATATCAACTGTACTGGCGATGCTGCTAAACGTCTGCGGTAGACCAAGCACCTCGATCTTTGGTAATGGGGGTATGGTAGGGACGGCGGTAGCCTTATCCAACGCCTTGGGCTTGAATCGAGATCCCTGCCACTGGAACATCTCTACTCTTGAGAAGGGACTTCGCATCCGCATTTGGTGGTTGGTGGTGATTCAAGATCGATGGTAGGATATTCCGCTTCTCGAGTTCTTCGCTTCCACACTAACATTAACCAGGTGCAGCCTCGCCTACGGAACACCGCTTCAGGTTCATCGAGCCCAATACGACGTTCCGTTTCCGACCATGGAGTATCTTTGTTCTTCTTCCGCAATGCTATCCCAAGAAGCCGCAGCTTCAATCTTCATCGCCTTCACAACGTTAACAGAAGTGTTGGGTCAATACCTTGAATACATCTATCACGTTTCCAGCCCCGTCAGAAAGACGATCACTTCGCTCTCACACCTGCTCACTAACTGGGAAGACTCCCTCGACATCAACACCCGCCACATAATCCTCCGCGGAACCGACCTAAGCACCCCCGGCGTGGCAAACTTGCGCCTAGCATACTTATCCGTGAAGCTCCTGCTCCGACGCATCGCACTCGACATGGATGACGAGCATACTGAGACTTCCAACTTCGACAATGGGAATGATTCTAACTGTTCCTCCTTCTCATTTACACAAGTCGAGCGCGCAGCAGAAGAGATAGTGCATCTCGTAGGGGAGCTGGACGAGCAGCAGCTACGTGGATTTTGGGTCCCAGTTCAGGCGTATTCGCTCACGTCTGCGACGACATTCCTTCTACGGAGTGGGCTGCGCAGGGTTCAATTGCATTCCGCGAATAGTGACAGCAATCCACCACTAGATTTGGCTAAAGAGATGGTTGCTACACTGCAGTCTCATCGGCAGCAGTTTCGATGGGATCTGGGGGATGATTGTTTGGCAAAGTGTGCTGAGCTGGTAGAGAGGGTTGCTTCTCTAGAGAATGATGGGATGAGCTTGTCGTTGAATGAGGAATTGTCTGATCCATCTCATATTCTCGATATAGACACATCGATTCTGGATGAGGTGTTTTGGGATATGCCGTGTATGGGGAATACCCTTAATTTATAACAACAGTTGCGCTCATTAATGAATCATTTTCAGCATTATATCTTTATAACTCTAAGTTTATTAGTTCTATGCTCTAAACCACCCTCTCTCCCTCCACCCACTACCCCTTAAACGGCGCAAACCTCGACATCTTCCTCAACCTGACCCCGTAAATCATGAACAAAAACGGCACCGGGATCGCCGCCGCGGCGACGCCCCCCAAAATGGACATGGCCGGCCCAACCCCCAAATTGCGAAACATCGGCTGCGAGAACAGCGGAAATGCAGCAGCCAACACACTCCGCAGGAAAGTATTCGAAGCCGTCGCCGACGCCGCATAAGGCCCATACGTATCGACCAGAAAGTTGATACACTGCCCAAAGATAATACAAAACCCACATCCAAACACCATCGCCGCCACAACCGGCAACCCCCATGAATACTTAGGCTCAGCCGTCCACCCAAACCAGAACAGACCACCCGCGAACAAGAACCCCCCAACAGCCATGGGCATCAGACGCGCCTCCGGCACAGGCTTACCGCCACCTTCCTCCCACTTGCGGATGTAGTACGGCTGGCCGATGAAGATAATGAATGCAGAGGATAGCAGCACGCCGACGAACAGGCCGATGAACGGCAGCGTAGCAACCACAGGTTTCCACTGGCGAATATCATCAAAAACAATAGGGAACACCTCCAAGGTGAGATACAGCAACGCATACGTAAACGACGCATACAGCGCAATCACCGTAACCATCGGTTCCGTAACAAGCATGACCAGCGGACGCGAAAAATGCTTCGTGACGATACTATGCACGTCCACCTTGATATGCTCGTGCGGATGATACAGTTCGTCATTCCCGGTCTCCTTGCGCATACGCACCGCCTTACGATGCAGCAGCACGGGGCCGTATACCTCCGGCAGACAGAAGAAGGTGATACCGAAGATGAAGAACACGATGATGGCTTCGATGTACTCGGTCCAGCGCCACCCTAGGTGCGGATTCGAGACCAGCGCAGCCCCGATGATGGGTCCCATGGTTGGGCCGCCGACGACGCAGATGGCGTACGAGGTGCTGGCGATGCCGCGCGCCTTCATGTGGAAGATGTCGCCGAGCGCGGCGGAGACATTACTGACTGGTGCGGAGCCGAACAGGCCCGCGAAGTACCGGGTGATGAGAACTGAGGCGGTGTTTTTGCTGGTTGCGGTGCCGATGCTGAACAGTCCCAGGATGAATACCGCGGGCAGCATCGACCATCGTCGGCCGAAGAGCTCGGAGATGGGCGCCCAGCATAGGGGGCCGAAGGCGAAGCCGAGACTGGTATCTTTGTTAGTATATAATTGTCGAGAGAAAAAGCTTCTATCCCTTCGCGGATAATTTAATTCCAGTGATTTACATACATATAAAGCGACACCGGAAGAATACTAACTTCCGTGCCAATCTTCAAATAAGCCTTGAGTTCCGTCTCCGCCGGGGAAATAATACTGGATCCCAGACTGGCGCTCAACGCCAATAAACCCAGCTGAAACGTGATCCAGCATTTGTACGCCGTCGAGAAGTTATGTGGATTTTCGGGGTCGTTTTCCTCCCATGTCACTAGGTTAGGCTCGGGGCCGCCTGCATGTCCGGCCTTGCCCTTTTCTGCATCTGCTGGTCGAGATGGTGGCGGCTGGGCCGTAGGGTCGACGACAGTCATTGCTGGCGCTGAGATAAAAGCTGAGATGCTAAGACTGCACCCTTATCCTCCGCGATTTCAGATATTTTTCTCCCATTTGGTGTGTTTCGAGGGGTGACGAAATTCCTACACTTTTTTTTTCTTTCTGATTCGCCGCTTCGGGGTTTCGGCATGTTGTCCGGTAGTTTTTCTCCGATATGCACGGGGTGGCGTCGGAGGATCCGAACGGAGGGTCCGATGGGGGTGGGGGTTGTTTATAACATGGATTAATTTGCGGTTCTGGTGCTGGGAGGCTGCTGGGTACGGTGTTAAGTGGGGATTACGGCTACACTTTTAGTGGCCTCGCTGCAAATGCCGAGCTCCTTTGCATGCTCTCCTGGCTGTTTCCGGTGGGCTCGGATATAAGATGTTTCGGACTTATCGGGCGAACATTCTTCGTTTGTTTGGGCATCTCCTAGAAGGGACCCACTGTTTGCTTCGTAGTCAGGGGCCGTAAGTAGGGGGGACATATATCTGGTTTCTACCTTGTTGCTAGTTGGGTGTGAAGGAGGATGGTGATACTGAAAGCTTAAGAATGATTCGTGAGTGCCGGGAATTATCCCACATATCGTCCGGAATAAGAGATCTGCCAGTTGCACAACATCTGCGCACGGATACATAAAAGTATAGTTTAAGAGAATCAGTCATTAAGCTTTTCCCAAAGCATGATAGAGCCCGATTACACGACTGCATAGATCCATATTTAGTCAGTCGACTAAGTAAGAGCTGTTGGGAGCTACAGAAACCGATCTACGATCTGCATCTCTCAGGGACCTCAGTAAATTCCCACAGTCACGTTCAGCTTCAGCTTGCAGCTACCCACTGCAAAATCATCGCCCCGCCAAGTCACAGTGGCGTTTGAGCGCATATCAGCGGGTTGGAGGTCAGTTGGGTTTGAAAGTGACGTTGCAGGGTTGAGATCCCTGAAGTATTGCTTCTCTTTTTATTACCTTTTCCTGAACACTGTTCAGCCATACAGTAGATGTCTGCTACTCCATGAACCCACCAATGCATGACATTGACTAGTCTGATGACATTAAACTATCCTGATACCGAAGCAAGCAGAGTCCATGGACGATAGGCTTGACTCGTATGTATGTGAAGAGATTGAGTTCCCAACCTGAAGAATCCTTGCAAAGTCGGTTTTAAATAAGTCTGGGGCGTGAGTCAGCAGACATTAACATGGATGGATAACAAAATGATTAGAGGGTCTCAAGAACTAGCACACAAACTCCGATGCGGGGAAATCCTCTCAGGTATGTGATATGTAAAAGTGGCGTCGACAAGAAGCAAGGACTTCGAGTATTATACTGGAAAGCATGGAATAGGAACCCACCCCTGTTCAGCTGCAGATTCTAAGTACCCCTCTTACCGTAGTCCAGGACCCGTGTAGATCAGCCCTAGGCACGATTGCCCGCCCATGTTTAACACATCACTAAAAGACAGAGAGCCCGTCAGTACATGGTCAGCACTAGGGACCTCCAAAGACCAATCACAACCAGCAACGCTATCTACGCACGGTTCTATCACACTTCAAACTTCTCCCACAAACTACCATGCACGTAGTCTCTATTTTCCTGCTGGCACTCACTCACTCACTTCTGAACCCTCAACCTACCCATCACCTCATCACAACCATGTCCTCACCATCCCCCTGGCTCTCCGGCACCCACTCCGGTCACGTTTCCGTAGATGGCATTCAGATATTCCTCTCCGCCTCCGGCCCCGCACGACAAACAATCAACAACACCGTCCAGCCCGCCGTAATCATCGAAGCCGGTCTGGGCAGCAGTCACAGCGAATGGGTCGTAGTGCAGCGCCTCATCGCCGAACGTGCCCGTGTATACACCTACGACCGAGCCGGGTACGGCCTAAGCGATATGTCTCCGCGCGAACCCACGGCTCAGAACCGCGTGTACGAATTGTCTCGATTACTGGAAGTAGCTGGGATCGAGCCACCCTATGTGCTGGTCGGGCAGTCATACGGCGGGGTTCTGATCCGGGAGTTCCTTCGCGTTCATACGAAGTCGAAAGTGGCTGGGATGGTGATTGTTGATTCTTGGAGGGAGCCTAATCCGCTACCCCGAGGATGGTTCAGCTTGATGGGTGGGGTAGAGCTCGATGTGGTCTTGGGGTTAGATTTGAATCACGCGTTTTCGGCGGAGGAGTATCAGAAGGTAAAGGAAGATGAGAAAAGGAATGAGGCTATGTTTGGTGATGAAGAGGAGTTTGTGGCTAGGAGTATGGAGATGGTTAATGACGGATTGCCGGTGGGGTCTCAGGCGATGGGCGATGGACGGTTGAGTGTGGTGTTTGGGAATCGGTCGATGGATTTTCGCAAGGTTTTGGAGTTTGGGGTTGCTAATGGGTATGGTACTGAGGAGGTGAGGGAGAGTCTTGCTAAACGGCTGGAGACTATGGAACGGGTTGATGAGGAGAGTCAGAGGGATCATCTGGGGTTGTCGAGTCAGAGTCGGTTCGTTTACGCGCAGGGCAAGGCGATGACGCATAATGTGCATTATGTGGCTCCAGAGCTGATTCGTGATGAGGTCTTCTGGGTGCTGGGGCTGACGGATCGGTAGCTTGATACTGTTGGTGTCACTCTCTAGTAGATGTGAGAACACCATTATTTTCATGGTCTTTTATGCTCTAGAGACTTTATGGTAAGCAATGTAGAGTCTATGTACAAGTGAACAGACCTAATATGGACAAAGGTGAGCATGCAGGATCCAATCAATCCACATAAATATTCCAAGCCCCAAACGCCATCCCATGCTCCAAATCATAGCCCAGGCTCCCATCACTCCGATAGTAATATGAAACATATCCCTCAAACAGTCGACTGACTATCCTCAGTCTTAACCCTATTATCCCTCGCCATCCAATGTAGATCCCTCAGTCTCAGCTGCCGCATATACACTCTCTGCTCTGCGGTGGGATCGATATCCCGCTCTAAGCCGTAAAACCCATTGGTCATGAGGTAGTGCGTGGAGTAGCCCGATAGAGTCACCATTACACAGCCGAGAATGACAAAGAAGATGACCGCTGCGTCGCCAATGTATGCCATGTTGATTATTGATTATTGATTTTTGTTGTTCGATGTTTCGGGTGAAGGAATGTTGGTGGTGGTGCTGCAGCGGAACAGAGTTAGTTGATATCGGAAAATATGTCCGGTCTGTCTTACTTTGGTTGTAGAATGGGTTGAGTGCGGCAGTTATTGAGTGAGTAAAGTCAATTAAGGGATAGTAGAAATGAAAGCAGGTCAGTTGTGATAATGAAAGTGGTGTTGTGTGAGAAATGCAGTCAAAACGATAATATTAAATCGTGTAAAGAGCGACAGAATGCAATCCTGAATGTAGAGAACGACAAAAACGTAGAAAAAGAAGGAATGAACTTTTAATCTTTTTTCCCCTTCATACTCATTATCCCCCTACCCCAGTATTTATATCTCTACCACTGCAACCATCATCCCAGTATCTACTAAATATCCTCTTCGGGGCCAGAACGTCGAACTACTCCAGATATGGCATAGCCTCTAGCCCTATGATGTCATTAGCGAGCTGACCAATAAGGTTGTCTGAAATAAAGTAGAAAAGGGTTTAGCGTTAGCAGTGTACTAGTGCTTAGTATTGCCAAGTCTGAATAAGGAAAGTCTTGATTTGCGGTTCCTGAGTGAGAGGATCCGAGATGGAGGTTAGACTGGACCAATTTTCAGCTTCTAATTCGTGAGATCCGTGCCACAACACTGGCCTTTGGATAAGAATAGACGGAAGGATGAATAGCTAACGCCGGGATTGGAGCCGAGTTTAGATTCGGCTACCTAAATTCCTAGCTGGGTAGTTGTGTACCCGGGGTACGCGCTATGGTGAAACCGATGGACCCCTTTTCTACAGAGTGAGGTTGTCCATACAGGTTGAATTGGGAAAGAAGCTTTTCCTCTGCAAGGGGAATGGAGGTAGAAAGGTACACCCCCCCAATACCCCTGATAAATGGCCTGAAACAATTCTCGCTATTCAGTGTTGCATCCTGTCGATTCATTTCCGAAGCTATACCCACCTCGTGATGTTAGCCCTGACATATGGTCTACTTCTAAGAAGCAGATAGAAATGATTTTAAAAACGTAAAATTGTCAATCTTTATCAATCAAGCACGACTTTTACCTCCCATTCCATCACCACGCACTCATATCGCACAACTCCTATTACTCTAATACCCCTCCTCATCAACACTATACTCGCGATACACTGTTAGACTAAACCTTGCAAACGTACTCCTCGCCCTAATCCTCCTCCCGTACCTCGAAAACAACGGCGGCACAGCACAAAATACCGTCGCTACGGCGGCCAACACCGAAACACTATAATTAGCCCCGAGTCGCTCCAACATAGGCGCCGAGATAAGCGGCAACGCAGCAGACAACAATGCCCTCACCAGACTCAACGCCGCCAGACCACTCGCCGCATAGCTGAGATAACTATCCGTCAGATACCCGCCCAGCACGTAGTCCATCTCATTGAGACTATACCCAGCCAGCACGAGAGCTGCGACCGACACAAGCCAAGGGAGATTCGTGACAGCGGGAGGAATGGTCCAGGCAAAAAGCCATAACGCTACAGCGAGTATGGGTGCGCCGATCCAGAACCCGGTCAATTTGTCTTCGGGGAGCAGTGGTCGGCCTTGGGCTCGGTGGTGGGTGATGATGCGGAGGTCGAGACAGCGGGTGAGGAGACCGAGGGAGAGACCTAGTCCGATGGCCATGAAGGGAAGGCAGGCTTGTTTTCGGGTGAAGCCGAAGGATTCGTAGATCGGGGGAAGGGCTTCGGTGAAAAGGTAGACTAGGGCGATGGCGACGGCGCTGATGATGGAGACGACGGAGACAATGAGCTCGGTGAAGAGGAGGCGGATGGGGCGGAAGAGCGCGATGCGGACGAAGCTGCGCATGTCCGGGGCTTTATCCGGGTTGAGACCTTCCAAGGTGTCGATTTTGGTGACCTTTCGAAGAGTGGCGACTTCGCGGGCAAGGAGGAGGGAGGGACGAGATTCGTGTATAGTGAGGAGTAGGAGGGTGAGGACTCCGGTTACGATGGCTGCGATGTAAAAAAGCCATCTCCTTGTGGAGTGTTAGTGAATATATTGGCAGATGCGGGGGAAAGGAAGTAGATACCAGTGGGTGTAGGCCACGACAAAGGTACTGAGGATAGGACCCACGACGAGGCCCAGATTGGCGAACATGGTCCAAAGGCAGATTACCCAGACTCGCTCGCGGGAATTGAAGGTGTCTTCAATGCTGCCCACTACAACAGTCGTGGGGATGGCGGACAGAAACCCGCAGAGACATCGGCCCATCGCTACTCCTATCAATGATGGTACGGATGCAATCAGGATGCATGACATGCCGTATAGGGCTGAGCTTGCCACATAGAGCTTCTTCCGGCCAAATACTTCAGAGTATGGGGGGAACACGACACCCCCGATGGCTTGGCCGATAAGATATCTAAGAAGTCAGACTGGGGTATTTGAAGAGAAAAGAAGAGGTATACTGACATGGAGACGAAAAGGAAGATTGACAGGGTTTTGGAGATCTTGAAGTCGTGGACGGCATTGTTGGCCGCAGTTGACTATATATTCAGCAAGTGGACACCCGTGATAACATTTTATTACCTACGCCGGCAGTGCTAATGGCAGTCCTGGAACAATTAGTTTAAACACCATCAAGATCGGGGAGCCTCTTACGTGAAAAATTCCAGGAAAATGATAAGAGTGGTATCATAGACCTTACGTTGCAAGCTCCAGTTTCGCGGATGTCGGCAATTGCCCAGAGCCCACTGGATATGGATCCCGTCCGGGGCTAGTTTGAGCCCGTATTGCGGAAGCAGCGCCAGAAGCGTCTCCTTTTCGCTTTCCACAGGGGCCGTAAAGACCCGGGCGACAGTTCTCATTGTGAGAATCGGAAAAGACCTCGAGCATACTGTTTCCTAGACACCGGACTTAGGCTATGACTATATACAAGAACCTGTCTCCAGTATGAGCTCCTAGGAGCACAAGCTCTGAGGTAGTACACGCCATCCAGCAAACAGAAAGGACCAATAACAAACGGATTGTAACAGGGTTACACAGTCACCGGTTCATTATGGGCATAGGCCTGATCTGTCCGGGGAAGCGGTTGATCTCTTTGATCTAGATTCATTCCAACCACCGCCAGTGGTTCTTGATGGGGAGAAGTACATCATCACTCATCATGCTGCAATGACCTGTGGAATGGTACTTTCAGTAAGGAGCACAAGTTGTCTGTGCGGTATAGCGGTCCATGATCTGTGTCTGCCTTCGGTCCGGTACCACGTCGGGAGGTAAACGGCAGCGGCATTTCGCATGTGCAGAACTTTATACATCCAATGGATGTGTGAGTTTCAGTCTCGGGAAGGCTGGCTGGGGAGGCAACAGCCTCAAGCACAGCATATTTGCGGTGTCGGCAAAAGTGAAAATGCCGACTTACATGAACAGGCCAGGGTGCTGATACACACTTTATTTCGCATATAAACTAGTCTACTCTCCGATCCCCACTATTCTAAGCCATATTCACTCATGTTACGCACCTAGTCCTCATCTCCATCATCGCTACCCCCTTTTGACACGCCGCTGTTTCCATTGTAGGCCAGAAGATTGGGGCTACCCGCCACATTGGTGACAGCATTCCGCGTAGCCAACCTCTTGAGCTCGGTCGTTGCAGCCGCTGGGGTAGCAAGGTCCCGCAAGCCCATCAAATAGAGGATCAAACCTGTCACATGGGGTGTAGCCATGGACGTGCCGGAGATCGTGTTGGTGGCCGAGTTCGAGCCGGTCCATGCAGAAAGTACTTGCTCTCCCGGGGCAAAAATGTCAACCACAGAGCCGTAGTTTGAGAATGACGCACGGGCATTGCTTCTGTTGATAGCGGCAACAGTAATGGCGTCGGGTGCAGAAGCCGGGCTAGTCCGTGCTGCATCTCTCTGCAAAACATTAGTCTAAATTTAGCTCAATGGTGGACAGTTCAGCAGAGCTTACATTCTCATTTCCAGCGGCAACACAAGAGAGCACACCCTCGTCAAAAGCATTCTCAACTGCATTGTTAAACGCATAGGAGTAGCCTCCACCTGCATCACGGTTAGCGGGATTAGATCCCCAGAGAGGGCGCACATACCAAGACTCATATTTATCGCCGCCTTACTGGTCCGGTTCTTGCTCACAATATCATTGGCGGCCCAATTGAAGCCATCCAGAATGACCGATGTCGAGCTGGATTCACCTACAAACACCTTCACGGACAGTAGGTGAGCGTTTTTCGAAACCCCGTATGTTTTGCCCCCGATGGTCCCTGCTACATGTGTACCATGTCCAACATCATCAACGTGCTCACCCCCTGCAGCATTATATGCCAGGCTAGCACGACCACCAAACTCATTATGCGTAGCCAAGATGCCGGTGTCCACTACATAAGCGTATGTACCCTCCCCAGCGCTGTCATCATAGATGTAGTCGGTGCTAGACCCACCACGGTGAGAAATGCTCCCCAGTCCCCAAGGAGCTCGCCTTTCGGTAACTAGCGTATCGAGATACCAGACCTGATCTTGTTCCACATAAGCTACCTGTACAGCAATTAGTCGAAACCATACGGTCTAGGATACGTGGACACAAACATGGTCATGTTTGCGGATCTCCTCGATAGTTTTCTCATCGAAAGACCCCGCGTACCCAGCAAAATTGGCAATTCTGTACGTTCTTTCGATCCCGGCGGGAAGGTCATCTTCGGTTGTACTGCGGCCTTCTAAGCTGCGCCTGTGGAGCTCCGTTACCCATGCGGCATGAGACTCAATCTTCGCATTGTCAATGCCGGACTTGAAAGTAACAATGTACTTCCCCGGGATGGTCTGGATGGTCGGATGAGGGACCTGTTCTGTGGCACTGAAAACTGCAGGTAAGATGAGGGCCAGCAGCGGGAGAATGCGTTTGAGGAAAGCCATGTTGAGCGAGTAGCCACCGAAAGGGGAGAAATGTCAATGGTAGACTAGAATACTTGATTTCAGTAGTGCAATAGTTAGATCCTTTTATAGTCTCACAACAAAGTCTAAGTCCTGTTGTCTGGACCGCGCCTTTCAGTCACATTCACCTTTTGTTGATTGCCATCAAGCGGGGACCGGGTCAGAAGGCACTTGGACAGTATATTTAAAACTCAGTCAGATGGTCACATTGCGTCTTCGGACTACTGGGTAATGCCCCATGAGGAAAGCATCATGCATGCACAGAATACAGATAAGCATGCAGGGATGGTATTACGGACTCATTTCGTTTCTGGCGCAGCTTGGCCAGCCATCCGTTAGCTTCCTCTGGGCACTGATTGCTTGCTAGGCGTTAGAGTAAATAGATTAACTCTGTTGATTGGGTCCATACTATGCACGCCTATTTCCGAGTTCTAAACAGCGGCTCTACACTGCAAGAAGCCTTCATAGAAATAAAGGTCGCTCAATGAGCCTTGTACAGGCGGGGGATGGTGAACAGTCTATTCGCCAGCCAATGTAACGCATCAATACTTGGCATCTTCAGGCGGTAGTCTCTGGTGCTGTGAGGCTTCTATATCAGGTCAATTCTGCATCAGCAATTGGAAAGGTGAGGGATATTGACAACCCTACTGTAGGGGGCGGGCATCTGAGGGTGGGTGAAAGGAGTCTACTGTTACCCAGTGTTACACGGCGTTCGAGCACAAAAATAACCTCTGATTAACCAGACCACGCAGCTATATTGGTGGTCCGACAGATTTGGACATTGTCAAAAGGGAATTATATACGAAGCTTTTTCAACAAACACCTTCGGCAACTCAAATTGTACCAAGAAGGCATTGGTTCCACGAAGGTGCCATATGAGTAGCACATGCCTGAAGGCCTTCTGATCCACTCACACCAAACTATGCAAGTGTTGATAATCTGGCTGGGGAGATGATCCAGATACCAGCTGGTTGGGAGATTATCACAATACGTCGTAATTGACACCCGGTCCGGGGAATCTATATCAGCGCCGCCCGGTTGAGGTCCGGATAACAAGCATATGCAGGGTCAAGCGATGTTATGCTGTCCACTACAGTGCGCCCAAAGTGCTGTGGCCCATGGCTTTAGAGACGCAAGACGCACCCTCCCCTGCATTTGCGACATTTGGAATCCGTCCGACATCACGGGGTCGACCGTCAGGCTCGGAATGACCATTGGCAGTGTATCTCCGTGGTGTGCAGCACAGACTGTCACGACCACTTGTCAGCTTCTCTTCTGCAAGTCATCTTCTAGTCAAGCTGCCTTGGCGTGTCCGGTGACGGCGGGATAGGGGCTGTCCAACATAATGCAGATCGCTTTCTAAGATGACGGTTGCATTGAGGGATGGCTGGAGGGGTCGTGACCGGGATAGCCTTTGCCAGACGCTTTGTTTGGTAAAGTAGAGAGGTGGGTAGAACAAGAATATCTGGTGGGAGGTTGACGTCGCAAGCGTGTTTCTTGGTTGGAAGGTCGTTTCACAGGTCCCGTGATATTGTGTTGCGATGATCCATAAAATATCTTTAAAAACAGAAAGGTTTATCCACAGTAAGACACTAGTTAGCATCTCTAGTAAGGGGGCATTTAAGACCTAGCGGACAGCTTGAAGGTTTACCCAAGGCGAAACTGAATATGTCGGGGTGAGCACGCGGGAAGATGCTGTACGAAGTAGCAGTCATCTAATAGAGCAAGATCCTTTAAATATAGTCACCACTGGCAGCTCTACATTCGCAAGCAACAAGGGTCCCACTTATTCAGGTGTGAGGCACTCATTCTGGTGCTTTCACACTCTCAATAAAATCAGTTGTTACTCGCCCTGGAGAAGATATGTAATTATCTCAAAATAGACTGGACGAAAGAGTTGTTCATCGAGCTTTGTAAAATGAGAATTCAGTGTCCAGAGTAAATATTATGGAACCAGACAGGAAGCCTGGATTGCTGTACCTTTAGTTCAAGGTTCAAGCCCTCTAACGAGTAGTTATGCTGATTACTTTCGAGGTGGCGGGCTATCTGAGATACTATCCCAGTACATTATGCGGGGAGGCAGCCAGGCTCGAGGAAAGGGTCAATCAAATACAACTAAACCCCCTGTTATTATGAGGCAGTCCCCAGCTCGTCCACCTACTTTTCTCCAACAACTCTTCCCGCTCCTTTATCACCCAGTAACGTGACCATCAGTCCAGACATTTCGCATCCATGATTGCAAGAAGTGTTCTCCGCCGCCCGCACTTCAGCAACAAACCCAGCTTCCTTCGCCTGCGCCCTCTTATTCGCCCTCCCGCTCCCCAGATCCGCCTTGTGCAGATTAGGCCGCCTTTCATCCCTTCCACCCTGTTCTCGACACAAATGACTTCGCGACAGGACCCCTCTAAGCGCACTCCCGAGATTGAGAGCGGGATGAACGATGCCGACGAGCTGGAGAGACTTCTGGACAAAGATGGTTTTACAACATGGGGTTTCGTTATCTACCGATGCACGTATCAAAGTGACTCCGACTGGGAGAAATTGATGATCCGGTACCACAAGCGCGTAGAAAAATACCTTCAGTATTACAACTGTCTAGATCTCCTCGCCAGATTTACTCCATCGGTCTTGGAAGATCGATCTTTTGAGAGTGCGACGGTCGCCTCGCTACGTAACAAATTCAATGAGTGGGCTGTGTCCGCGGTGGAAGAGGAACAAGGAATTGATCCCAGCCACCTGTGGCGTTTGAAAAACGGCAGGTACCGCTTTTTCATCATGGTGGACCAAGAAGCCTTGGATTCAATCCTGAGCACGCCAGACGACGATATAAACGGAGGATTCGTTCGTCTAGTCAACGCCGAATGGAAACCGGAGGAGTTGGATGAGGAAGAGCTGGCGGAACGCGGGGGACCTGGGCCAGAAGAGGAGCTACTGGAAGGGTGTACAGAGGAGGATGTTGGCTGGATGAAAGTATGCTGGGGGAAGTCACAGACGCCTGGATAGGTTACTCTCGACGACTCCCTTCAGTGGGATAGATATTATTCGCGGCCACCTGTGATTCAACGTCTTGCCTAAGAAACACAACTTGACCATATAGAGGCCTAGGATTTGTCCCACACTTGTAGTAGACATAACATGTCCGGTTGTCTTCTTCAGAAAGAGAACCTACCACGGAGAGCTGGTTGACATGAAGTAGGATAATGTCATCCATAAGCGGCTGGACACCCAAGTATGCTGGCCTTGATCTTTTTCTATGTGAACTAACGGTAGTTTCAGTTCGGTTATCTTAATGGAAAAGCAGCCTACCTAGATCTTGACTCAATGAAGAATAATATCTCGATTTGGGATATGCCTACTTATATATACAGAAGACCATAATTTTAGACGCGAGTTCCAGATAAGTAAAGGTATCGAAAAATATAGTGTATGTTGCCTAGAATAGACCTATAGCGCGATTATCAAGAACCCTGGAATATCCAAGATTGAGCTCAGCTGTCAAGGCTCTTACATAATAGTGCAAAGTAGTGATTATAACTAGATCAAATATTGGTATATGGACTATATGTCTTGACATGACTAATGAAGATGGCCAGTCTTCTTAGGTGGCCAGCCTGCTTATGGAGTATGTTATTGTGAACAGAGTAGCTTGACCTTATGAATATACCTCAACCTTAACCTTACCTTAAGTGTATTATAACCTGGCGGTTAGATTAAAGTATTGAAATCTATTCACTTATACATCTATAAGCAAATCAAACTACAATTAGCAAGACAAGCAAAGCAAATATTCAGTTGAATATTTTGGTAACACTATATATATCAATCTGGTAAACAGATATCAAGAAAAAAAACAATGTAACGATTGATATTTTATGGAGGTAAGGATTCTTTTGTGAGCTATCAAGACAAACCTTTTACTACAATGTATCAGAATATCTAAGGGATCCTTCGTAGTAAAGAATACCGAGTATGATCTAATATTCCCTTTCTCTGGAAGGGGATCGTGTGACAATAAATACAAGACATCATTGATGCGGGGTAATGTTGACGGACTGGATCTAGGCTCGTATCATTGTTGGATCCCTAAGTAAGAAAATAGTATTCTCATACTAGTATTTATTTTGATTAGATCGGGGAGACTGCATGATTCCTGGTGGGGACATAGTCACACTATTCATGCCCAGTCAATGCGTAGTCAACATTCAAATCGGAACGCAGTTTCAAGTACATAAGTATGTGGAATGAGAGAGGGTCAATCAAAGGAGTGGTATCTTCAGCATTGGTTGTATCAGGAGATTGAGCTGAGGTCCCCCGAGTCTCCTGCATTGTAGATGTAACATCCCTGTCAGGCCGGGCGCAGCCACAAAGTTGCTGACTGCCCAGACTTTAAGGCACTTCCGCCAGCACCCGCCTCATCTCCCGCTTATGCACCACTTCCCCGAACACGCAGCACACCTTACACAACCACCTCAAATTCGAACTGTCACCCAGGTGACGCAGTATACATTCCACCCCTCGCGCTAGTCATGGCCACTCCCAGAATGGGTGGCGTTGTCGCCGCAGTCACAGTGGCCATAGTACTCTTCGCCATATACCTCTCACCATCGACTGATGTCATAGTTGAACATATCAATGATTACTACAATGTCGTTTTCCCCAAAGCACCCGTATCTTCCCCTACAGTCTATGATCCTCATCGTGGCATCAAATATATTGGCACTTTGTCAAACGGGGTAGAACACTTTCAAAACATCTTCTACGCAGAGGAGCCGACTGGTCCCCGTCGCTTCGCTCCCCCAGTCCCCGTCCGCCCACCGAAAGGTTCTGTGATAGATGCCACTCAGTCTGGAGCATGGTGTCCACAGGGGACAGGAGATATCCTGCCTTTCACGAGTAGAGTGACAAATATCAGTGAGAATTGCCTGAGCTTGAGGGTTGCTCGCGCGACCGGTGTGAAAATCCAGGATAAGCTTCCTGTTGTGGTGTGGTTACATGGAGGTAAGCGTATTCCTGGTGTACTTGCTTCTAAATCCAGCACTGATGATGATTATGTTTAGGTGGTCATGCTCTGGGCTCTGCTTCTGACATCCTTTACAATCCAGAAGGACTGCTTCAAGAGGCAGTGGCAGCGGGGAAGCCGCTGATATACGTCGGGATAAACTACCGACTAGGATGTAAGAGATATACTTCGTGCACCCATTTGGTTGTTGCTGACAGTTTGAAGTCTTTGGATTTGCGACCAGCAAGGCTATGATTGCGAAGAAGCAGACAAATGCCGGACTGCGTGACCAGCGCGCTGCCTTGGAATGTGTGTAGACCAATCAAGCATTACTGAACCTTTGATAACTGATTGGCCAGGGGTCCGGGGCAACATTGAAGCCTTTGGGGGTGATCCCAGCAGAGGTACAGCAACCACATTATATCTTCAAGAGGCGCGTACAGCTAATGTAGCCATAGTAACTGCTATCGGACAGAGCGTCGGGGCCAGCGACATCGGCCTGCATTTGACATCATTCAATGGCACTAAAGGTGTCCCTTTCCGACGCGCAATGTGAGTTGATCTAATTTCTCCAACTCTTTCCACTCACTTAACCTGTACCAGCATGATGTCTGGCGCTCCAGGTGTCAACTTCAACAGTGACCCGAGTCTGGTATCCGAGAACACCGCAAACATAGCGCGAGAGGTTGGTTGCATCAACACCAATGACGCCGAATCCCTTGAGACCCTCGAATGTCTTCAACGCATCCCCTTTGGCACCCTCACCAACCTCTCCGTCACGGCATCACGTGCAGCTCGCCCCCCGTTTGGAGAAGGATTTTTCTATCCGACCATTGACGGCGACTTTCTTCCCGCTCGACCCTCCGAGCTCCTGCGTGCCGGCAACTTCGTCAAAGATATCCCTATTATTGCTTCGTGGGTGACCAACGATGGAGCCTGGTATGCCGCACCCCCCACCTCCACCGACGAAGAAGTGCTTGCTAGCTTCGGACTGTGGCTGTCAAAGCTTTCCACTTCCACAAAAGCAAGACTGCTGGATTTGTATCCCATCACAGATTTCGCGCATATGATCCGCGAGAGCTACGACGGCCCTATCTCACCACAGTACTACCGTGCCGCGCAAATGAATCGTGATATCTGGTTTACCTGTCCAGTGCTTGATTTTGCATGGCAATATGCTCAGAAAGGGGGGTTAAGCCCGTCCAAAGTCTGGCTCTATGAACATAATGCGACTAGATACGCACCAGTATTTGAAATTATGGGCGTACCAATGTGGCGCGTTGCCCATCTCAGCGATATTCCCTATGTCTTGAACAATGCTAATCTGGAGGGTGGGGCCGATAACTCCCCGGAACAAATGAAGTTGGCACGAAAGGTGAGCAGGAAGGTAATTGGGTTTGCGTATGATGCGAGTCCCAGTGAGGCGTGGGCTGCGGCATTCTCGGGGATCAGTGAGCAGGGTCTTTCTAAAGATTCACCTGATCAGCTGTCGATTCAGACTTTCGGGGGCCCTATGGGGTCGCGAGCCGTCACAGTCCGCAAAGGTGCTGATACCAGTGGTTCCACAGAAGCAGAAAAGGCACTGTTATGGGAGAGGCTGTTTGACCGGTGCGAATTCATCAATAGTGCGCAGATGCGAGCAGAGGCCGGAGTATAGTCTTACCTACATGGTGGTGACGCTATACTAGGCGTGTTGTAAAGAATAAGGGGATAATGGATGGGTTGGTGGGTTGGATGATAACACCGATAATAACACCTAATCGCAGAGTAAGCGGGTTTCATCGGTTCTAAATCCCGACTTCAGTCGCTAAGAAAGGACTAGCGCACTGGCTGCCCCGTGTCAAGATTGCACGAGCTCGGTTTGATAGTGAGCAGCTGGGATTACCGTATAACCCTCTTGCTGGATACCACAAAGCATACAGGGCCGATTATCGCCCCGGTTACGTTTTTAGATGCCTTTTAGTTAGAAAGCAAACCCCGAACTGTGACAACTGAGCGAGATAGTGCAGAGCGCATCTTTTGATGGGCTCATAATTCTATCTTGAGATCCAGATTTTGGTTCAGTCCAATGGGCTAAGGTGGAGGCTGGGTGATGCCATCATCCAGAAGAGGAATAACCACCGCCTGGTCGCAGATTTATTTGTGCGAATGAGATGCTAGTGCCATGTACCTAGCAAACCACGTATTCAGCTGGCAGTACACATAATAGAAGGTTTAGGGTAACATTGATTGGATGACGGACCAAGCCCCAAAATAACCTTGTTGGTTGGTACATGGCAGAAGGCCTAATATGGGTAGAAAATTTACCCCGACGGTCTAGAACTGGGTGAGGCCATGCCGTATGGCTTCCAACTCCATTATGCATTATCATGACTGACAACAGTCTAGATAAGTGAAGATTGGTAGCCGATTGGATAGATGTATAATGCAAGCTCCCTGCCTGCAAGATCCTCCTTGACGATGTCCCGGGTCAGTCAGACAGCGATATATCGTAGCAGAGAACGTGCGGAGACAGATAGTCATGGTTCGGGATTTGAACCTGCAGTCAAGATAAACTAGCACGGCGCTCCCGGCCCTAGCTGTGGGTGCACAGATAGTCGCCTAGTCCCATCCCGAGTCATGTTTCTGACACTGACATGATTCAGACAATACAATTTGCGAACCCTGAAATCCACTAGATGTGATGGAGGATCGTATCCCCGCTTTGTACCCTCGTGACTATCCTAAATCACACCATTCAAGCCCTGCTGGAGCCTTTAGATGGGATGCTGAACACGGAAAGAGGAGCCGAGAGTCTCGATCTCGAGATTCCTGCAGAATTCCACGGAGCTCATACCTCTCCGGGATGGTCTTGCCCATTGCATGCACTGCAAAGTAGATACGCTTTGTTGTTGTTGCAAGCGGAGCGGCCCGTCCGCCCCAATTACGGTGGGTCTCGGATCTACCCTCCAAAATCACCAGCCGGATAATACAACCGTAGAACTGCAGAAGAGCAAGTCCCTAGGGACATCTTCTTTATGGTCCCTATCACAATTTTTTAAAGATGATAAATGATCTTGTGCGGTACCGTTCATTTCGGTATAGCATATTCGGCCCCGTGAGCAGGGAAGCACGACTGATGCCGTACTCAAACACAATCGGAAAAGCAAAAACAAATTCCCTCGGGATATGAAATACGCCCTACACATGCCACTACAACCGCCATCGGGATTTGGTAGGAGTATAGCATGCCACATCCCTGCGATCTTGACAATAACGGTTACGTACTACTATTTGCCACTGTACACTATTATGGATGGTGTAACTAGAGTTGGAGAACATGCACACAAAACCTGATTGATACGACCTCATATTGCCAATGATAGGGTAAACATGACCCTCAATGCCCCTCATTTGATGTAAATGGAGCATTTACCAGAATCAATGCATTCGAGGACAGTCACCCATCATCCGAAGTCAAGCCATGTATCACGAAGTCGATATGACCGACTGCGAAATAGTGTCGTGTGCGTGCTATAAAGTCTCTCTCCTGCCCCAGCTTGCTCAGACTCTTTCATCCAGAGAAAGCCCAAATACTACACTCAATATTCTCATTTACTTTTATCTCTTGCGAATCATATCCCAAGTTCCTTGAACAATGAGCTCCCTCGTCTCAGACGTCACTAAGGCAGCAACCACGGCTGCGACAGCTGCTACTGACGCTACTACATCGGCTGCTACCACGGCTGCCAAAGACACTACGAGCATGGCTCAGAACTTCAGCAAGGAGCTTGAGACTCTCCTGTCCAGTTAGTGTCTCGTGAGGCTTAATCAGGGTAACTATCGCTGACTGACACAGACTTGACTGGCGAGACGCAGCAAGTACTTCACGTCTACTCCTACGACACCCATACCAGGGTGATCAAGGAAAAGGCCTGCATTGCCATGAAAAATGCGGATCCAAGCAAAATGAAGCTTTCCAATGTCCGTGAGCTGCTAGTCAGTGAGAAGGTCTTGGAACCCAAACTGTATGTACGACTGGAGGGAAATCGCCACACATACTAAGTAGTACCACAGGCTGTGGAGTACCTTTTGCAACCAACGTGGCGCGAAGGTCCTGGACAGTCATAGTTTCCAGGCATATCTTGATATCTTGAATGAGAAGGTGAGTGCCATCTGGTCTAAATTGACTGGTTGCTAACATTTCTGCAGTCAAGTGAAGTTGGCGTGAGTTAGCTGAATCTATCCGCGAGCCATTGTACTCATATATTATAGGAAATCGATGCTGATAATGCCGACACTTACCGAGTATACCTGAAACACGAAAGTGATGAGGTTTTCTTCCCATTGGGCGGCAAAGTCATCGTGGACGTAAGTGATGGGATCGTGCCATCAGTTGTCTGTATTTCTCACACCCTATGCAGAACAAGATCGCAGGCGTGTCTGCTGCAGAACAGCCTAAAGCTCCCGCAGTGCCTACTACTTTCAGTCACAACATCTTCACTAATCCAAACACCACCTTCGCCGTTGTGTAAGCCGCACCTCATATGTGAACGGGACGATATACTGATCTTGCTACCATATAGCCACCCCGCAGACATGTCGGAGAAGCACTGGAGTGTTGTCATCCGTAATAACAGTCTTCTCAACGCTCACCAGGTAGTTGAGGTTGATGACAAGGTGGGAAAAGTTGTGGAGCGCTCAATGCATACCGGTGAGTAATCATAGTACAAGTCCGTATGTGCCCCTTAGCTCATGTCTTTGTATAGCCTTTATTCTTAGGCCGCGGCCTTTTCTGAACTACCAGATCTCTGACAGTGCTGCGTCAGACTCTATTGCTAAGCAGAAGGTAAGCCGGCATTTCTCTTCACACAGCCACAATTCCGACTGACTACTTCACTCCTAGCAAATGCTGAGAATCCCCCGGTTCCGCATCGAGGATGATTCGTATGTTGAGCAGTTCGAGAAGACAAAGTCTGTCTCGCGTGCCATTGCACAGAGCTCTTTGTCGCAGACTGCAGCTGAAATGGCCGTGTAAGTTCAGCCATGTACGAGGTGACTTCTGGCTGACGATAAGACCATAGTTCAGGGGGCGCGTTTGGCTTCAAGGCTAGTGCATCCGCAAGATACAGTGAGAATAACTCATCTTCAACCGCTTCAACCTCAAGCGAGGATACCAAGGTTCTGACGATCACCTACAACGTATGGAAACTTCACAACAGCTTCATCATCAATAATATTGACCATCACATTAGTTTCCACGGGTGGTTATTGACCTCGATCACCACAGTCTGGATCTTACGGAGGAATGCAAGGCTGACTTGCTCTCTGTGGATTCGGCTGCCAGCATTTCTAGCTTCAAAGATAAATATGGTGCGTTATGCGTCCACTTTATACAGTATGGGATATAATGGCCTCTAACATGACACGCAGGTCGCTTCTTCGCTACTCGAGTTCAACTCGGTGGAAGGCTTTTGTCTTCTGAAGACATTACAGACACCACTAGCACTGCCAAGTCTGAACAGGCCAAGGCCATGAAAGCGGCGGCAGCTCTTTCATTTTCCTCTCCATATGTGCAGGCTTCTGCAAAGATGAGCTCCGACAAGTCTTCCACTTCGAGCTCGGACACGTCGAACGCTGCTTCGACCAAGTCAATGTGCTGGGAAGCCAAAGGCGGCGATACCTTGCTCTGTAATGAGTACGACCTCTTCTACCCCTTTTTGGTGCTCATCTAATCTAAATGTCTTGATCTAGCCCGCCTGCATGGGCCGCCACCGTGGGCTCATTCTATTCCTGGCGCGCCGTCAAAGTAAGTCTTACCCCCCTGACGTTTTAGATAACAAGTCTAACAACCACCATAGCAATCCAAGGTTCTCGCTCTGGAGGACGTGATCTCCACCATCCCAGGCTTCCAGTACATAAAGCAAAAGTTCGCGGATATCCTGAAGAACGACCAGCCAACCCTCACCACGGTATCCGTCGGGTTCCAGCTTTCGCATGGACCTGACAACAAGCTTCTTACCGTGAACCCTACTCTCACCGATAACGATGATACCGATACTTTCGGTAAGCATTGCACGATTCATTATCCTCCATCACTATCGATCCAACTAATTCCATCACAGAAAATGACGTCTATAGCATGGCCACGACAACAACCATGACCGCCGAACGCTACGACTACCTCCACAAACTCGGTATAATCGAGCAATCCTCAGATGCGGTGGGCCTGTCAGCGAAAAGCAGCAGCTCTGACAGCCAGAACTTCTACGTTGACGTAGAAACTGCCGAAGGCAACGAGGTCAAGCAGGCATGTCGAGCCCATTCCCCTCCTTCTATACTAATTTGGATTAATCACCAACTAATCCTATTCCAGCTTAAATACAACTACCCATACCGCATCTACAACAAGCCCAGCAGTACTAGCAGTGACCAGTCCTGGCTTTTCTCGAGTCCTACTCTTCAGGGATACGTCTCCACGTCGCTCATCTATGCCAGCACAAAGCATCATGCCTCTTCCTTCCAATTCAAGAACATTACCATTGGTGAGACGTCTGAGTATATCACGAGTGGATCCCGTGTTCATATCGTTATGTTTGATCATAATGGCACGGAGATCGGCACGGCTACTCGTCAGCCACGTCTTGGTGATCGAGTTGGTGTTGATTCGGAACACTTTGGCAGGATTCGGCTGAATGAGTTTACTTTGACTTATGTTTGAAGAGTGTACTAGTGGGTAGGTAGTAGGGTTTGTTTGTGAGTCTATTGTGTTGGTGGACTACCTGATATACCGCTGGATTCTACAACGGCCCTCACTTGTTAGGATTTGTCGGTAAATGCAGATCTGCTCTAGTGTGGCGAGATAGAGATGACTGGTATATTTGCATGACTACCGTAGGAGAGTGGATAGATTCAAAGTTGGTGCGGTATCTCCTTTCTGATATATTTAGATCCTTAAAATAAAGAACGTAATATGACGGTAAGGACGGGATGAATGATGATGGTTATAGACAATCAATGATGATTTTGTAGAGCTGAGGCTATTTAAATATACGTATGGGAAATACACTCCGGAAGAGGCCATAGTACATCCATTCACGTGAATACCAAAAAGATTCACGCATCATACCATATTCAAAAATAGATGTGTTGCTGACTTGCCTACCTAGCAGGCGGAAGCTCCAAATCAACTTGCCAAACCGGGTGCCTTGAAAGGCCACCATCTGATATATTGTTGCCCTCAAACGCTGCATTTACAAACAATGTCTGATCGCCCGGTATCAAGGCTACCGCATCATGCGTGCAGTGGCTTGTCTGAATAACAGCCGGCGATGTCATAGAATCAAGCTTCGACAGCTTATTAATAACCGTCGACCGTCCATAGTCAATAGCCGTGAAATGAGAAGGTTCGTTGCCAATAACAGTACTATCCCTCCAACGTGCAATCATCGCACCCCACCCTTCATGAATATGTCCAAAGCAGTGCATCCGGGGTCTAGCTCTGGCAACGGCTTTGAAAAGATCCGGACACCCGGCTCTTCCATTTTCAGTGCAATCCATAATTCCTCTAGGTGGGCCGTGGGTAATCACGACATCAACATCTTTGTCGATCTGAAAGTCATGTCCTTTTCCAGGATGGTATTGGAAGCCCCAGTCCCCGAGGGAGGGGGTATAGGGACTGGCATAGATGTTGAGTTTCGCACCGTTTGGTAGGGTAAACGAGTGTGTGCCTTCGTCTAGGAAGATGATTCCGTTCTCTTGTTGGTGTTTGAAGAGAGTGCGGATTTCTTCGTAGTCGCCGTAGACATTCTTGACGGTGGGGTCGTTTTCGAGGCCCGCCTCGCAGATCTTTTGTTGGAAGGTTGGTGTGTCTAGAGTGAAGTCGTGGTTTCCGGCGATGATGATCTTGAGTGGGGCTTTGAGACGCTGGAGTTGCTTGATTGTTGCTTGGAACTCGGTTATATAGGATGAGGTTGTGAGATCACCGCAGTGGATTACAATGTCCGAGGAGTGCTGGAAGCACGATTCGGGTAGCTCTGCGCCGTGGGTGTCGGAGAGGATGAGGAATCGGGTTTTGATGCCGGGGGTGGGGGACATAGTCTCTGTCGGAGTTAGGGTTGTTGGTAGAATAATCTGACTGGTTATATGCAGCGGAAAGAGGGGAGGTATATAGAGTAGTTCCTAAGAGTTACCGTGACGCTACAATTATGCCGTGACTCTGTTCAACACGGCTGGTTCAACACTACAAGCATCATTAGTACGTATTGGATCCGAAGCTCTGACACATTCAGCACAGTGATAGTGATAGCAACATATTAAGCAGTCCTTCAAGAAAACAGAGGAACGTAAGGGGATGATTAATATATCTGTGAAATGACCGAGCTGAACGGGATGATGGGTTCTACAATGTAGGACAAGGAGACGAGAAAGTTGAGATTTGGGAAGAAATAGCCAGATAATGCATCTCTATATATGCAAATCTTTCACAAGAGATTGGCGTGGATGTACTTGTTTGAAGTATAATGGTTGCGAAAGGGAAGAAACGCTAACCTACATTCCTAGCCTGAGGCATATATTTCTGCCTGAGGTACGTATCAATATATGTTTGACTGCCTGAGGCTGTGTCCAGGTTGGTTGAAAATCACGTGCCCTAAAAATATGCGGGGTAAGTGCCACGTGATGCATGTGCCACCGATCGTTGTCCGTCTTTGGCCTTACAATTCTTCTCCGTGGCACAGAGCGTCATTGCCGTCCAATCCCCTGTTGCCTTCATCTCTATGCAGCTCTGCGTATATCCTCGGTACCCGGCCATCTTTATTTTTATTATAATGTGAATACTTTGTTTCTCGCTGCATTACAGGTTGTGGTAAACTGAGCTATAATATAATCAAACCGGTTTTTGCCCAATGGTTGCTACCAACCTGCGTATCCGTAGATACCTCGGTCTCTGCAGGTCGGGAGCCGAGTGATGTGGGGGGCTGCTGACATGCATGCTGAGGAGACATTACATATCAGCTCTCGTCTTCCGTCAAGCTGTTTCCCCTTCCAGAGGACCAGTTATCGAGACAGACGACATGGCAGAACGGACACCTATCAAGCCCTCATCATCCACAGAAGGGTTCTTTCAAACCCTTCCCACTATCCCGCCGTGCTATAGCTTCACTACCGCAAGCGCCCGCGGAAACCACTCTTCATCCGACGATGTAGTTCTAGGCCGGATCCTGGAGCTTTATCTTCCCCACAACTGCGGCAACGCGGGCTACTCCATCCACAATCTCTCTCGCCGTGCCCTAGAGCCTAGTATCCTTCAGCACAGCGTCGACGCAGAGACCAACCCGCCTGTTCTCCGTCCGCTCACCACCTTCGGCGAGGAAAACCGTGTTAATCCCTTATGGACTTCAAATGGTTGGCAGGCGCTCAAGGCAATTGGCCAGGAAGAAGGTCTCGTGAGTGTCGCATACGAGACGGAAAACACAACCTGGAATCGCCGCGTGCATCAATTTGCCCTCAACCATGTTTGGTCCGGTAGCGCTGCCATGACGGGGTGTCCTGCCTCTATGACGGATGGGGCAGCCAAACTGCTGGCAGCTCATCTCAATGAACCGGACGGGGACCAACCCGGTCGTAGCGAAGTCTTGCGCGAGGCACACCGGCGCCTCATTTCACGGGACCCTAAAGTCGCCTGGACAAGTGGGCAATGGATGACGGAGCGAAAGGGTGGCAGCGACGTACGCGGGACTGAGACGATCGCACGTCGGCTGACTCGCGAAGAACTGCTTCAGGAAGCCTCCCATCACGACGCGCACGGCATGCCGCTTGGTCCGTGGCGTATTGATGGATTCAAGTGGTTCAGCAGTGCGACCGACTCGGAAATGACGGTGATGCTGGCGCAGACCACCAAAGGGCTCAGTTTGTTCTACGCGCCAGTGCGGCGGCGCGCTGGACGGTCGGCGTCATCTTCGAGTGACACTGAGTTGAATGGTATCCGTTTGCAACGGTTGAAGAACAAAGTGGGCACTAAGCAACTGCCTACCGCGGAGTTGGAGCTCAAGGGGGTGCGCGGCTGGCTGATCGGGGAGGAGGGCCGAGGTGTAAAAGAGGTTGCGACCATCCTCAATATCACCCGCCTGTACACAGCGGCCGGCTCGACGGCGGGATGGGGCCGTGGGTTAGCCATTTGCCGGGCATACACACGAGCTCGCAAAGTTCAAGGCTCACTTCTTGAGGATATCCCGCAGCACGTGCGCTGGATGGCGGGTGAGACGGTAAAATATGCGGCAGCCATGCACTGGGTCTTCTTTGGCATCGCTCTGCAGGGGTCCGTCGAGCAGGAATGGGACCTGATGGTTCGTAATACCAAAGCTGCTGCCATAATCCCGCGTGATAGGAAGCAAGCTGCAACTCTGCTTCGACTCATCACCCCGGCGTTAAAGGCTCTGTCCAGCGTGGGCTCTGTCCAAGGTCTCAGGGAGTGCATGGAAGGACTCGGTGGGGTTGGCTATTGCGAAAACAATGAGGACGGTGGGATTCTCAATGTAGCGAGGATCTTCCGAGATACGCTGGTCAATCCCATCTGGGAGGGTACGGTTAGTGTGATGGCTGAGGATGTGGTAAGAGTCATTAAGGACCGACGCCTCGGTGATGGTGAAGTCATCGACAACGTCCTCGGGAAATGGGTGCACAATGTACTCCAACACTGTCAACATATGCTTCCCGACGAGTGTGCGTTCGTCAAGAAAAGACTGGAGAGTCTCGTCCAAATCACGAATCGGGCTGACAAGGCGGAGCTGCTTTGGCGGGGGAGGGAAATAATTGGTCATTTACAAGCCATCGTTTGCTCTTGTCTGCTGATGTATGATGCTTGCACTGATGGTAATGAGGTAGCCGTTATCATGGCAGCAAGATACGTTCAGTCATTTGCGGACTCTGGTGTACAGCCACCGTCACAATGGGATGTTGAGTCACGGAAGGATAGAATGATATTCTTAGGAGAGAATATGGCCCGGGCTGTACATGGGAAGCTTTAGAAGGGACACCTTGGAAATATTGGTCTGTTTATTTGGAAAGGGAGCACATTACTGTGAGATTTCGGTCTATAGTATGTTTATATTGGTACATGTAATGTTGGCTTAAGTAAGGAGGAACTCGTGGACATATCTCTCGCACTGATCATGTGATAATCGGGGACGTTGACTACAGAGTCACAGCTGACTTAGCAGAGCCTTTCCAGCTTATTAAAAGCTTTATGATGCTAAGAATCTTATTATCTTGTTGCAACAAAGTCGAAAAATGAATGGAAATCCCACAAAACCATAGCAATATCTAAACAGAAAACGTCCTCACCACCTTCTCCTTCTCCCTCTTCAAGAACCGCTCAAATGTTCCCAGATCCAGATTCCACTCATTCGTTTTCTCCAAATTCGCAAACTGTGCCATGTCTCGCATTGCCAACTGCGCCTCAATGAGCGGATTGACGGCAGCCTGCACTTCGATCTCCTCCTCCGTCAAATGAGCAGCTTTAAGATCACGGCCCGTGGCCTTCCGCAGCTGGCTAACAATCTCCTCAACAGTCAACAACTCCCCCGCAATTTCAATCTCCTTGCCATGGAACTTCTCATCAGTGAGCGCCATTGCCCCTAATTTCCCAATATCCATCGGATCCACCAGCGGAATCTTTGTCTCGGTGGTCCACGCTGTAACCCAGCATCCCTTATCCACCAATCCAGAATACATATATACCATTGGCGCCACGAAGTTCGACATGAAGCTCCCAGGACGCAGAATAGTCCATCTCTCGAAGCCCATTGTCCGGACCTCATTCTCCAGTGCTTGTTTAGGCAGCAGCATCTTCCCAATGAAACCAGTGGGCGTGAAGGTGCGGATCTTGTGGGGTTCGTTGACGGCGAAGGCGCTGCTGTAGACAACATGCTTGATGCCAGCTTCTCTGGCAAGAGTGAGGAGTCGCCGGCCACGGATGACTTCGTTGTCGGGGTTTTGGAAGTCGGGGACCATATTTAGGAAGAGACCAGTGCAATTGGTGAGACTGGCTCGGAGGGAGGCTTCGTTGTCGTAGTCACCCGCGGTCACATCAGCACCCAGGATGCGAAGGTGTTGGGCCTTTGTGGAGAGCGGGGTACGGGTGACGGTGTGTACTTTGATACCATTTTCATGGAGGTATTTTGCTATGGCACTGCCTTGGGTGCCAGTTGCGCCACAGACGAAGACAGACATGATGTGTGGTGGATTGATGGGTGATGAAGTTTGTTTTGAGAGTAATTGGAGTGATAAGCAGAAAGAGGGGTGGAGGAGTGAATTGTAAGACTGGAATGATGTTGATGAAGATGGTAACATGTTGGAGGCATTCTGGCTGTTTATATAGACGAGAGTTGAGATATTTGCAGGGAGAGTATACAAAAGTCCGCCGCGGCGTTCCACTTGTTAAACCAAGGGTCATTGGTTGAGCTAAATTAGCGGGCGGAACTCCGCCGCCCCACTGTTTTCCTCCACAGCCATCTTACGTTGGATTTCCCACTGTCCACACATATTTCCAGAAATCTCGCATTTTCTCGATCAATTGGGACCCATGAACTCATCAGCAGAGCGGACTAACGCTCCACCGCGGCGGAAGTCTTGCGAGGCCTGCAAAATCGCCAAGCGACGCTGTGATCTCGCCTGGCCAGCCTGCTTCCGATGTGCCCGCCGCAACCAAGTCTGTATCTACCCTGGCAGACAACCACAAAGCATGGACGTACAGGCAACATCGCTTGCAATGAATTTCTTGGAAGACCCTTTGTTACCGGTTCATGCCGAAGCCCAGTGTGTGCCCGATATCCACTTGCACCTCCCTGAGGTGGACTCATTATGTGCTCTTGAGCTTCCCACTCCCGAAACGGAAGTAACCAACCTTTTGGCCCAATGCCCGCCTCTGGAAATCCCTGGATTATCGCTGACACAGGAAGGTCCGGGTCCCACTATGATTAGAACGAGGTCTTCGCTGTCTATCTCGGCTATTGTAACGGAGCGCTTACAATTCGGCATGGATGTGCTGAAACAAGCACCAAGAATGATGGTCCTAGAAAACCAGACGCCCTGGTGCCATCGCCAATTGTACAAAGATGGCATGCCCAGGTCAATGCAAGGTACGTTTGTAGCACCTCACCTATGCTCTATGCTAAGAAATGCAGACGCCGTCGCCTGCTGCGCCCTGTACATGGCTCGAAATGAAATCAATGCTCCAGTCATCCTCTCTTCCTTCAAAACCCGCATTGACGACTTGCTCGCTTCCCCGCCTCCAAAAACACCGCTTGAAGCACTCGCCCATACACAGTCCTTGATACTGTATCAGATAATGCGCCTGTTCGACGGAGACATCCACGCCCGGCTGTCCGCCGAACCTCTAATTCCTATGCTGGAAACATCGGCCTTCAGCCTTCTGAACTATGTTTACTTCCCGGCCGCAGAGCCCGACACTGCCCTGACTGCGCCCATGGATGCTGTCATGCAGTCCTGGACTGAGTGGGTATATCAGGAATCTGCGCGTCGCACCGCCCTCTTCACGTTTTATTTGGTGCAGATATACCGTTTAGTCACGGGTGAGAACAATCTCAGCTGCGACGGCCGTTTGGGCCTCATCCACTCATGGTATTTATCAGCGTATCTGTGGAGTGCACAGACTGCATTTGACTTTGCCGTTGCATGGAACGAGAACCAGCATTTTGTGGTCTGCAATGCAGATTTTGGCCATGTGCTTGAACGCGCGCGACCGTCGGATGTGGATGTGTTTGGACGGATGCTCCTCAGTACGCTTTTAGGAATTGATCAGGTCAAGGCCTGGTTTTACTCCCGAGGAGCAATTTTGTAAATTCATGAACCGAAGTCATTACGGCACATATTGCATCGATAGTTCATCACCACCTTCGATCGACCTTCGATCTCCACAGAGCACACAGACTTTGGCTCCCATGCGGGCTCGGGCGGATATCCCTCCGGCATCCGTCTCCAGCCTTTCAAGTTTCGGATTAGCGGTATGGCACCGTCCTGCTTGCTACCCCTGAGCCCAGCCCATGTTCCTTGCCCGCTGCTTAGCACCAAATTTGTGTCATACCACATCTTCGCGGCTGGCCGGGAACTACAATAGTGCATGCGAGGGACTAGAGAGCCTGGGTATTGAGGAGCAGGTCAAGGTCAGACTAGTCATAGCGAGGTCAATGCTTCAAATGCATTGCAGCTTCTCCGGTGTCCTGGAATGCTGGGGGCGCTAATGCAAGGCCATGTGACTTGGCCAGCCTGACAGTCAACTGCAGTCTCCAATTAGCCCCAAGGCGCTCTGGTGCTGATGAGGCAATTATGGTGTCCTCTGAAGCTGTTGCTTCAGCTAAACCCATAATGATTTGATCGGTACCATCCATGAAAATCTCGGTTTCCCCATCGTATTGCGGTCTCTGGAATCGGCAGTGGGGTTCGACCGGTCATTAATGATTCTTAGCGTACTTCGTCATGACATACCGTAACAGCCTTGAAGGCCAGCCTTGCGCTGTGTCGATGGAAGAAACTGGGTGATGGGGCTCTTACAAAGGCAATCAAGCATTCTAAGTCGTCTTTCCTTGCCCGCCATCATCATCATTCAGAAGCTGCACTCTCCGATACATCGTGACGGCGAGCTGAGAATTACTGTGCTCGTATTGCCAGTGGATAGAACTCCCCCATGACTATTACATTCCGTCGGGGACAATATACTCTTAAACATGATGTTATAGCGCTTGATACTCTAGCTTTATCGCTTATTAGAAAATTGTTTCGGAATCTAGTTCGGATGGCGAGTCGGACGCTAATTCGGAAATTGCTTCGGACAATGGCCTTTGCTGATGGACTGGAGGGCCCCCCACCGTATCCACAAAGCTAATCAAAGGCTTGTTCCTTATGAAGTCAATGTGTTGATGGACGCATGACTGGGTATATGTCTGCTGATTGAAAGTTGACGGCTCATAAAAAGCTATTGTTGAGTTGGGAGGAGGTTCCTATTAGTCTGGAACCACATGGACGGCAGCCTGCTAATGATTGGTGACTCGACGATCACCACCAGGGCCCTATTCGCTTTCCTAGTGGCCGCCAGCTTTCCCCCGGTATCAGCACTAGGGGGCTTTCACGCGGCAGCTGCATTGTCCTCCTTGGTTTCCTCCAGCTGTAGTATATAGTGGAGTAGAATGGCACCGATGGCTGCCCCTGGGGCCTTGACGACCTCTTCAACACCTAGACTCCCAACTTAAGTTCAGTCATACAAGATGCTTCAATGGAGCTCGCGCTGCCTTCCTGGGTTTAGCATTCTGCTACTGATAGCCCTTCTTCTCCTGGCTTTCTTCGATAATGCGGACTGGAACCTCAGGAAAGGTCTGAGGCCATCGCCACCTAGGAAACCGGGTCATGATCCCAACCGTGTACTGACCTTGGCGCAAGCCTTGTTTTCCATATACACTGTGGTAATTCACCTGAACATGTTTTCCTTCACACTCCGACTTACATGGTCGCTGTTCTGGGTGACAAGGCGAACGCGGCAGGTTTTCCAAAGGCGCATCTGGTCCAATGCGAGCAAACTGGACTCTACAGGCGACAACCTTCTGGATCTCAGCACCTTGCAGGGCTCAGCCAGAGAGCGGACCATACCACACTCACGGGGTATAGACATTATTCACGCCATTATTGTGCCCAACTACCGTGAGGACGTGGACACCCTTCGAACTACTTTAAGCGTATTGGCAAGCCATCCACATGCAAGATTTCACTATGAGGTCTGGCCTAGTCTGGAATGTGGTCGCCGCTGAATGATGCTTACTCGTTTTAGATCTACCTTGCCATGGAGGAGAAAGAGTCAAATGCCGTCGAAAAGGCAATGAAGCTAGCTGCCACTTTCGATGCCTCGTTCCGCACCATTCAAACCACATTTCATCCTTCTGGAATTGACGGTGAGATTTCCGGCAAGGGTTCCAACGTGGCATATGCAGCACGTCATATTGTCGGTGTCCACCATAAGACCCTGCGCATGGAAACTTGTAATGTTATCATCACAGTCATAGATGGTACGCCGATCTTCCATTCATTCCCTCTTCCAGCCTAGTTACTGACCTAGGGGTAAAGCCGATACCCATCTTTCCAGGGATTACTTCACCGAGATACAACGCATTCGTGATTTGAATCTTCTGGAGGCTGAGCGTACCCTATACTGCTGCCCCATCATATTTGATCGAAATTCAGTCGAAAGTCCCGTCCTAGTGCGATGTGCCGATCTCCTTTGGGGATTCGCCGGCCTATCCACCATGTACCCAGGGACCGTGCTTGCTATTCCCACGTCAGTTTACTCGTTACCGCTATCCCTAGCAGAAAAGGTTGGGGGATGGGATAGCGATCCAACGGCGATTGGAGAGGACATGCACATGCTGCTGAAGTGCTACTTTGAGACTTCGGGTAACTTGATAACACAGGCCATCTATGTCCCCGCCAGTCAGTGTAATGTTTCGAGCGACACTCGCCGAGGATGGCGGTGCTACCTAGATACATGCGTTGCTCGATACAGACAAGCGCTGCGACACATGTGGGGGGCTCTAGATTCAGGATATGCGGTACGACGGACGATGGGCCATCTGCGCTTCCGACGTTGCTTTGTCCTGCGGCCACGCCAGCTAGCTCTCACCCACCTCCTCTGGGAGGCTCATTTCCTGCCCTGCCATGTCACGATCCTTCTGGTGTTCTCCGTGTTCTATACCATATGCAACCCCAGTGGCCATATGCACCCGACCTTGGCATTCGCATTCAACTTCACCAATACCCTTCGTACTTGCTCGTTCGTCGGCATGAACTTGGCTATCTCGCTATACGACCGCTGGCATCAGATCTGTGTTGACCGGCGCATGCAGGACATGCATGCCGCTCAAATTCCCGGCACTGGCTGCTCACGACGCAAGTGGTACATGCCACAATGTCTGCTGGAGCGAGTTATCTTTCCCATTTCCGGCACACTGTATGGCGCCATCCCCACGTTACAGGCCGCTTTCTCGCATTTTTGGACTGATCGGCTGGAGTACCGGGTGAGTAAAAAGCCTAGCTTTGAGGCCGAGTACGTGGCCGAAGCGCCGATCTGCGCACCGGTCCATGTTCATGTTGCTACTGAGTGTGCTTGACTTTTCCCATTGTCTTTCATTTGGTGCAAATGTTTTGATTGGACGGTGGCAGGTTGGAGTCGTTCTTCAAAACATGGTGGCGTATTTACATAGTACTCTCGACCGACACAGACACATCTAATATCAACTAGTAATATAGAGATAGCTACCACTGTAAAAAAATAGACTACTTGGCACGAAAATACCACCGACTAGTAGTAGTAGTAGTAGTAGTAGTAGTAGTAGTATATTTGATGATACAACCCTAAAAAATCTATTACCTTGACTACTATGTTAGAGTTAGCATAGACACAATTAGATCGACCAGCTGATCCAGTCACGGTCCCGCTGATCACTGCGACTTGCAAGACTTTCTTGGTTCTTCCGCCCGCGCGAACCAACCGCAACGATGCTGGCGACCACACGTCGCATCCCGAGCAATCGGGTCGTCTGGATAGTAGTACGCTTCTAGAGGAACCTTGTCAATCCATTTTAACTTACTACGAGCGCCGGTCAACCCTGACCTGGATAACTAGACATCTAGTTCTGATCGCTCAACCATGGATGGGATTTACTCTTCTGCCCCACCGAGTGACAATGTCCGAGTGTTTCGGGCTAGGCTCCCCACGTGCGTCGGCCGAGCATTTATAGCATCAGTCACTTTGGAGGTAAAGGATATTGTTGCCTAGTGTGTTCTTACTAGGGTTTGGGTTCCGGGTGGTCGGGTTGTAGATTGGGATCGTCATTGATCTGGTCGGTTGGAGAAGTAAGTGATATAACAGAAAATTCCACTGTACCCAGCGTCCTCTAGTCGCCGACGACTGGGCGATATTGGGCTAGGTCAGAGACGGGATGACTTCACATTTTATGACCTTTGCTAGAGCATCCTCGAAGTAAATAACATGCAGGTAAATATGTTAGCGCAGAGACTGGCTTTTCCTGCCATTAGCGAGACCTTTCCGTAGCGTGCTCTGGAAGCAATTTGGAATGCACGTGGGCTGCGCAATACTCACTACACGATGAAAGCTGGAGGGATGTAAATAGCGGTGTTTAATCCCGAGTTAGTATCTAGCATATCTTCATTTAAGACAAAACTTATACAATACACTACTTTCTTTTTCCTTGCCCTTTTAGTGCTGCCTGTAGCGGAGACTTATTCTAATCACTCAGACACCATCAACTGCCCGCTTGAATTTGACTGGTCATCCCTGTACAGGGTGTGATGTGGATCGGCTTTATTGGAAAGTAATACCTCATTATGATACATGATCATGGACTAGGCTTGATGATTAAAATACTGAGCTCATCAATGGCCCTAGGAAGGTTGAACACTACCAGACAATATAGTTGGTGAAAGTGAACACTGGCTTTTAACCAATATCGATAGGTTCTGGGAGATTGTATAGCTTGGAGTTTTCAGCCGCTATAAAGCCATTACCTTCTACGAAATGGCGGCAATGCTTCAGCACAGATGCCTTTGTGTACGTTGGATGAAGCGAACATACTTGGCAATTGTGACAGCCACCGCTCACCACTTCCGTGATCGACCGGTTAGATTGATGGCCGGAGACAAAAACTCTTCATGCGGCCAGAAAATAACTTCCTTCATTGGAACTGTGCATAGAACCTCGCGTTGTCAGAGAATGGTTTACTGTTCGATGATACTGTCTGCATCGAACTCACATTCAGGGATGAGGCCGTTGAGTGCTCTAAGGGGAGACTCAGATCTTGTCCGAGATAGACGATAGAACACAAAGACATTGGTGAATAGCAACAATGAGAAAAGAATGCACGGTAACCCTGCGTTACGGGGAAACAAGTGTTTTCATAGCTATCGGCGAGTTGCCTTTAAGTCATTGTCTGATGAAATTCTGGTGGAGCGCACTGATGTTGTGTTGTTATTTGAACAGTGTACTACTCTCTTCGTTTCTGTCCCTCTGATTTCTGATTAAGCGTGATGGTACTCCTAATTAAACGTTTCATTTACTTCTGTCTGAACAACTTCATGGCAAGCTTATGTGTCTCGGCTCGGCTTTCCGAATGTTGGTTAGACGCCTATCATGTGCTCTGCTGCAATGTACTAAATTAGCTCGCTGATAAGACAGCTTTGACATAAGGCTGACACAGAACACCAACGCACATATTTGTCTTCGCCCTTTTTTCACTCTTTTTTTCCATAGTAGTGCCACAGATATCCCTCACACTTGCATTGCAATGGGTTCTTCAGAGAAAGGAACGTGTCATAAATCAGCACCTGCAAGACAACATCTGTTATCGTTACCTGCAGAGGTCCGACTCCTAATTTACGAAGCAGTATTTGATCATCATGTTTGCCCTATTGAGCGAAAGCCAATTACAGTTCAGTGTAAGGTTTCGAAGTGTTCCTTGAAGATACAGCGAAACCTCATGCGGCATCATTCATCAATCATATCCGAAACCTGCGACCACCCAGAATGTGTGACAACACAGCAAAAGATCCTCCAATCTGATCGGTACACGGGTATCGCACCTCAAATCGCATCTCAAGACTATCCTTGTCCGCAGGATCTTGCGAGCAATTCGATGAATCTTTCTTTACTTTTCACCTGCCGACAGATCTATTATGAAGCCCGACATTTACCCTATATGCGCACTATTTTCTTCACACAGGAAGTTGGAAGTTTCTCCAATTTTTCTTTTTGTTTACGGCGCTGGCAAGTTCAATCGATACAGTATCTCACAATACGCGTTCCACCGGAGCAAGGGATGGATACACACCTCGCTGAATGGAATGAGACCTTTTCGTTGATCAGTCTCGGTTTCTCCAATCTCGCTGCCATCTCTATCCAGATTTCTCTTCATTTCCCTGTGCAGGCGGTACGAGACACTTTTTGGGATGGTGGCCTCCTCGAGCTCTGCCGCCTGAAAAGTCTCCGGGGCATGAAGCTCTCCATTTTCGTGTTTGACCCTGCGTGGCAAACCACCAGAGACCCCGTGGCCTTCTTCACATACGCGGCCGGCTCATTGCCCGATTTCATGGATGAGACAACAGACAGGAACAAACAACTGCCATCCCTCTTGCCATCGTCATTACCACCCCATCAAACAGCACAACACATCTGTTTCCACTGTGCGCGCGACAAACTCAGGGATCAGGTCCAACAGGACACGTCCATCAGCCAGGAGTGGGCATCCCCTGACTCCTACCAGAGTGGCCGGCTCTTCTTCCGCTTTGCTCCCAATGTTTTCCCGCTCTACGTCCGCAGCCTGATCCACACCCTCCCCAGCCGGTGGCCGCATCGAACCCATGCGGACATCCGGCGCGAGGATCGCTTGCATACAAATAAAACTGACTACGCGTACGTCTATCTCGACGGCGGGTCGGATCCAGAGCACACTCGATACCCAATCTTCGGGTTCCAATTCAATCCCAATCTGGGGCAGCAGCATAACGAGGAGTATATTACACAAGGACTAGCAGCATTGCGGCTGTCCCGCGAGCGGCTTCGGCATTCTCTTGCTTCTTCTCCTTCTCCTTCTTTATCTGTCCGGCACCGGCAGCGAGAGGATGATGGCGCTCGACCATCATCGCGATCGTCTAACAACCAGGAGCGAAGGAAAGAGCCTTGGCATCAACGATCTGAGGCTATAGTACCAAATACTCGACGCTGGACTCGTCCGGTTGTTCCAGAAGAATCCCCTAGTCGTCGAGTGGTGGCATCCGCAGAGAATGAAAGACCGGGCGATTGGAGACGGCAGCTCACAGAGGAGGCATTTGCGCCATTCATTGAATCGTTTCCTATGGCACTTTGTTGACATTTTGAAGACTCGGCTTGTTAGCAGGGAGCCTCATCATCACTCATCAGACGGAAATGTGGGAAAGTGACTTTATCTCGCCGCGAGATAATGATCCTCATATTCGAGGTCTGTGTCGGGCAGAAATGGACGTCAGCTCAGATCTCTCTTGATCTCCTGGGTTTATTTTTTGAGTTCGCTCAATTTCCTTGCGTAGGCGGGAGGGGAGAGTAGTGAAAGGAAGAAGGGATGAAGCGGGAGGAGAACTACAGGTTACAGGTAACATAGCCTTCATTCATGCTGTAGGCTACCAAATATTATGACCTACCAGCTTCGGGCTAGTAATATGGACGTGTGAACTTTCTTTTTCTTTTTCACTTTTACGGGACTAAAAGATTCATGTCAAAGCATTTTTGTTTTGTTGTTCATGTTGACTTCACGAGGATCAGAAAATTTACAACGAATGCATGTCAATTTCATCCAACTTTGGTTGGCAGAACATTGTACATGCAATCTCGATGCAAGATCAGTATTGTACTAAAAGGTAAGTACAACCCGATTTCACCCAAAGAAAATGACACTTTACTGTGTTGGTAAAACAAAAGCCTGGTAGGCATTTACCGACTGTTCTTGTGAAGTGTTAATTGAATGGTTTCTCGTAATGTCGTTGAGTGGGTTAACACCAATTGACGACTTGGCAGGATTCCCTATCATCCTACATAGGTTCTCGATTGGCCAGATAGGAACTGTTTAATATCAACGGCCCGCCCTTGGCTTCTTATCATCATCGTATTCCGGCCATGAACGCATGCTGGGCCTCGGGTAAATTTATTTCCATCTTCGCCTCTTCGAGGACGGGGACATTTTGAACAGCTACCTATGCTCGTGTCAATGGAATGAAATGAACTGTGAGGACTTAGGTTTGACGAGTAAATTGCACCACTAACAGGATCGAAACCATGGTTCTGATGCTGGACAACCCGTGAGGGGTAAGCCACTAATCCTCCGAAGTGGACTAGTGATGTCTTAGTGTTGGAAAGGTTTTGCAGAGAGGGTGGGGTTGCGCGGCCGGGAAATTCCCTCGGATGTAATCAGTCCCTTCCATCTTATCTGATCATCTGATTATCTCTAAACCCCCCATTCCCCCGATTCTTTTTTCTTTGAACGTCTTTATTTTTGAGTAGACACCACCGGTCTCATACCCAATTTACATAACAATCTTGACAACAATTGCTGAACTGCGACTTCATGGCCAGTGAAGGCCTTCCCAAGAGTCCGGATCTGTCCGATCCCGAGACTCAGTACATCTTGGAGGGCAATGCCAGATTTCGCCGGCTAGGATGGAAACGCCTCACAGTTATTTCCATAGTGGAGGCCATCGCTCTTGGGAGCTTGGGCTTGCCTTCTGCCTTCGCGACTCTGGGCATGGTTGCCGGTGTTATCCTCACGATCGGTATCGGACTGGTAGCCATGTACGCGGGCTATAACATTGGACAAGTGAAATTGAAGTACCCTGAGGTTGGGCACTACGCAGATGTCGGTCAGCTTTTGCTGGGAAATATCGGAGGCAAAATATTCGTGGGCAGTTTTGTCGCCCTACTGGTCTTTGTTATCGGGTCTCACTGCTTGACGGGCGCAATTGCATTCCAGACCATCGCCGAAAGCAGCGTGTGTTCGGTGGTTTTCAGTGTTGTCTCCGCTGCCATTCTGATGATCCTCGCCATTCCTCCGTCCTTTGCCGAAATTGCCATTCTTGGTTATATCGATTTTGCTTCAATCATCCTGGCAATCGGCATCACTATGATTGCTACAGGCATTCAGAGCTCTAATTCCAGTGGTACCTTCTCCGCCGATCATATCCCGTGGTCGGCATGGCCCATGGCTGGCATCACATTCTCGCAGGCAATTGTGGCCACCAATAATATTGTCTTTGCTTATTCCTTCGCTGGCTGCCTGCCTTCGTTCATGGAAGATATGCATACCCCGGAGGATTACGTCAAAACCCTTTGGTGGCTAGGCGGCATTCAAATCGTCATATATACCTTGACGGGATCGCTTATCTACGCATTCGTGGGCCAGGGGGTGGAATCACCCGCGCTGCTATCAGCCGGCCCAGTCATTTCAAGAGTGGTTTTCGGCATAGCCCTGCCAGTTATCTTCATCTCCGGCTCCATCAACGTGACAGTCGTCTGCCGATACATTCACGGCAAGTTCTACCATGACTCGGCCGCCCGCTTCATCAACACCCGTAAAGGCTGGATGACTTGGTTGGCTCTTATATCCCTCATTACTGCTCTCGCTTGGGTCATTGCAGAGGCTATTCCGATTTTTTCGGAGCTGCTTTCCATCATCTCGGCGCTTTTTGTGTCCGGTCTCTCGTTTTACATTCCTCCGGTGATGTGGTTTGTGCTGTTGAGGGATGGGGCTTGGTATGAGAAACACAATCTAAAGCCTGCAATCTGTAACCTGGTGGTCTTTATTGTCGGTGTGATTGTTTTCGGTTGCGGTACTTATTCTAGTATTGCAGAGCTGGTAGGTGATTTCCCTGCGGACATGAAAGATCTCATGCTAACGTGATATTTATAGGTTAATGAGTTTCGATCGGGGGAGATAAGTAAACCTTTCACGTGCTAGGACGTTGAAAGCTACGATATGATTATACATTGTGATGTACCGTGAGAGACAGATGGTACTGTCTGTCCATGCCGGTCGGGCACCTATATTGTCTATAGTTTGTTATGTTGGGAGAAAATAGATTAGACCATTAAGACGAATGCACTGTGTGTATATATTACATGACACCATATCCGCTATAACTGCCCCTTCTAGGGAAATTGGCATCAAAGTTGCCATTAGTTATGTGTTTGAATCCCCCACAAAACCAGAGCGAAAAGGAATAAATGCTTTGTCTGTCAGAATGTCAATGTATAATTGTGAGTGGGTATAAGGATGAAAGACGCCGTTTTGCAATGAAAGGTTTTCCTGTCCGCAAAGGTCGGAATTTTTAGTTTTGTCGGGATATACTTTGGCTATAGGTGCCGTGTAAAAGGTGTTTTTGAATAGCAGCTCGCTTGGAGTGACAAAATGTGTTAGATAACAACAGTGATAATTTTAAGAAGTGCTTGCTTATGCACGTCCGGACATGGTTCTTTAACAGTATGCAGTATGCAGCCTTAGCGATGAGGCATCGAGCGGCTCAGTAGGGGATACGGCGGGAAAGACTCGACAACAAATTAGAAATTTAGCAACCAAGTATTCTCGATAATACTTCGAGGATTGTAGCCTAAAGGAACAAATGTTCATAGACGCCTAATTCCCATACGGCTCAAGGCATCCGATCTGAGGTTATATTGCGTTCCTTAGGCAGATATGGATTGCCTACGGTCGGACATCCAGGCAAATCTCCGACCACGGCTGTACACTTAGCAGACATGTTCAGCCTCATGCGCCCCACGACACGAGAACAATTCCACTGCCGAGCCAAGCATCTTCACAGTCAATAGTTGACGGGGAATCCGACTGGACATGTTTCACTGTAGACCCAGTTGGGCACAACACTACCTATGCACTAAGCACGTTGAAGCAGGCATCACCGCGCCCTCTGCAGGCAGCATCACCGGAGGCCAGGGTCCAAAGCAAATAGTGCTTCCTTCCATGGTGAGAATCGCCTCAAACCTTGTGCCTAACCATGGGACGTCGCTAAAGGGGGAAGTTTCCTATGGGAGCCAAATTGACGGATCGAGCCGTCGAATTCGCCCCATCCAAATTAAACGAACCACCAATACGCGCTGGTCCCTGAACGGCCCCCACGAGCTTCAGTATGGGTCTTTTGCCTATTCGGGAACCCAACTAGCTCAGGGATTCATGCTAACAGAATCAGGGAATTCAAGTTCTAGAGTCGCATTTTTGTGAGCGACTTCGGCCAATACTATGGATCGCAAGGATGTTGTACCATGAGCATGGTATAAATATGGCTGTCTGGCCCGTCGAGGAATATTAGTACTCCAGGCTCAGATTTCCACATCACAAGTACTATCCGCATCATCATCATCACCATGATTCCCGCTATCCTGACCGGAGTTTCCATGCTTGCAGGCTCTGCCTACGCTTCGGCCGTGCAGCCCGTTCGTGCAACCGGAGGATGCGCCAACATCAACTCGTACTACCCGGAGACCGGAACCACCGGCTATTTCATGCTTGTTGCCAGCGACTGCAAGAACGTGACGGCTCCGGATCAGGCTTGCCCTATTGAGGGATTTGGTGATACTAGCGTTGTCTTCCGCACTGCTGGAGAGACTGGTATCCACGAGGGATATGTATGTTCATCTCCCCTTTCTTCTTGACCATCATCTATCTAATTAACGATTGACTAATTGTCAATTAGATCGCGATCGGCTCCGAAAACGACGAGGCCAAGAACCCTATCATCTGCGATGACTCCTCTCCTTCTATCCTCAACGGTCTTGTTGAGACCGGCGTGAGCGGATACAGCTACCAGCCCTTGAACATCAGCTCTATCCCCTATACCGCTCTCTTGATGTGGGGATTGCCCGAGGAGGCGTCCGTCCCGGTCGACTTCTACCACCACTATGTGAACGGCACGCAGCAGGATGGGCTGTTCATTGGCGCCAACAATGTCACTACATGGGCTATTAAGGAATACTCTGATTCTGGTTCCAAGTTGCCGTACTGGTTGTTCCGGTTGTTGGGGCCTGACAGTGAGGATCCCATCACCGGTGCGGCATTGGAGGAGGGTGAGTTGGTTACCTATATTAAGGTTAGGTATTGAATGGGGATTTGCAATTGGGATCTGTGCCTGCAGAATATGGGTTAGCTGTGGAAAGGGATATAGATTCCCTGCTCTGTGAATGGATAACGAAAATACCCGCAGACGGGTCAATCAATATGTTGAAGAGGCGCCCACCAGTTCCCTCGATTAAACTTTTTGTTTTTTTCCCAGATTGCTTCTGCGGATGTAGATCAGTAGTGGAGCAGACACATCGCATGCGGCATTGCATCACGCATGAACATTTTCTCGATCTCGTGGTTGACACCTGCGGCAATCGGATCGATCGGAGTTCGCATCTACGCCGCGGCGGTTCTTTTCGATCGCTTCAGAACGCGATGAGAGGTTGCCTTTTCTACCTGTCTTCAGGGGATACCGTCGTAAATAGCAGCGATCTTTGGATATGTCGTGTCTGCGAATACCGGTATGCTGTATAAATGGGGTGTAATTGTCATGGCTCCTGGAGATCGGATATGCGACAGTCATAGACTCAGTCACAGCGCCAGACATGGACCACTTCGACGCAGGCTCGCTGCGCTCCTACCCATCCACTGTCGCATTGGATAATTGCCCTCCCTCAAACGCGATTTCGCCATGGCGGTCATCCTCCTCTTCCGCTCCCACCATTGAAGATGAATCGCGAGAGGGGCACAGGCGACGGCCCAGCGAGATCCTCCTGGGATTCCCTCGCCCTCCTAGCCGTGCACATGTCGCAACGAAAACCCTCATCTCGAGGCCTTCTATCAAGACGCTTCGTAGGAATTTTATGATTCACGAGCTGCCCCTTCTTCAACAGCCGAACCCGTACTATGACGAATCTGAAGAGTTCAATCCTGTCTATGACCCTGGCTTATCCTATGATCTGATTGCACCATCGCACGATACAAACGAAGCTCCGCCGCTTCATGACCTTGAGCGTCTCGCTGATCTCGTATTCTCATCGGAGCATATGCTCACCATTCTGAACAACCCGCGCTATCTTGCGCAATTTCGCGAATTCCTGCTTGAGGAACGTCCCCGCTCTCTCCATCGGTTGACTTATTATTTGACGGCGCGCAAGGCTCTCAAGGCAATAGACTACGCGAACGGCTTGGTGCGATGCGTCGTCGATGATGCTCAGCCGAAATCATCAACGTCGGGGTTGTTAGGACAGAAGATCGGAGAGATCGCCCACCCGGCACTGCAACAACGAGTACAGGAGGCTCTCAAGGTACTCACTGACGAGGAACTCCCTGCATTTATTACCTCGCGCTGCATCGGCATTACCAGCCGGGTAGTGGAGGAAAGGGTCAGGGGGACCTTACCGAAAAGATTTCAAAGAACAGACGAGGAGAAGGGGTTGGCGGAGGTATTCTGTCTTACGGATCCATCGAGGCGGGACAATCCGATAGTTTTTGCTTCGGAGGGTGAGTAGATTCCTGTTTTTGCTGAGTGTGTGCTCTTTTGCTGATATTTGTTGGTTGTGGCGGGGCGCAGAATTCCATCGCACGACACAGTATGGAATGGACTACGTGCTTGGTCGGAATTGTCGGTTTTTGCAGGGACCAAAGACAAATGCGAATAGTGTGAGGAGAATTAAGGAGGCGATAGAAGCGGGGAGGCATCATTCAGAGTTGTTTCTGAATTAGTGAGTTTGTCTGCACCCATACTGCGATCATTCGCTGACAGTCGAACGATGTAGCCGTCGGGATGGCTCACCATTTATGAATCTCCTCCAATGTGCTCCACTATGCGACAGCCATGGCAGAGTGCGGTACTTTATTGGTGCTCAGATCGATGTTAGTGGATTGGTTATGGACGGCGTCCAGATGGAATCGCTGCGAGATTTGCAACAGCAACAGATGAGAGATGGTGTTGAAGTGACAGATGCACCCCTTGGGATCCAGAAAGACGAGTTTCGTGATTTGAGTGAGCTATTCAGTCCACGCGAGTTGAAGGTCACCCAAGATATTGGAGGAAGTCTCTTCCAGCCGGTGACTTCTCCGGCATTGCGCAATAGCTCCCGGACAAAGTGGTCTGTTGCCGATGGCGAGGATTCTGTTGAGCCGAAGGCGAAAAGAGAGACAAGCATCATGACAGGTACAGCGTTGGTGGGCGCTTACGAGAATGTAAGTATCCCTCACCTAATATGGGGCAGAGGGCTAACTCTTACAGTATCTTCTCGTCCGACCTTATCCATCCCTAAGGATATTGTTTACTTCGCCGTCGCTTCAAATTCCTGGAATACTACAGTCCTCTTTCCTCTCTAGAATTGGGAGCAGTGCAGCAGTCAGGGATGAATTGCTGCATGCATTAATGAGCGGACGGAGCGTCACGGCGAGGATCAAATGGTTGACGAGATATAATGCACAGGGGAGGGATAGATGGGTTCATTGCACGCCGCTGCTGGCAAGTAATGGGGAGGTGGGAGTTTGGATGGTGGTCGTTGTAGACGATGATGAGTGACATTAACCGTCACTATGTTCGTGAATTGCACATGGGCACATCTGAGTAATAGTGAATATAGAGATAAAACTGGTCACGTGCTCATGAAAGCGTGATTCTCATCGATAATATGTGTGACTTTCGAAATTCTTCTCATTCCTCATTCAGTCCATAAATCATATCCAAGACTGTATATCTTTACCATCTATTGTTGTCTACCGGGCGAGCAATCCCTCCACTTCCTCATCCTCTCCCTCTCCACCCCTCACCACATCCTCTGAAATCTTGAGTCCCTCTTTTCTTCCTTTCTCCGCATCCACCATCCACACCAGAGGAATAGGCAACACAATCAACACCGCAATGAAGAAGAACCCACTCCTCACCTGTCCTGTCGCATCAATTAGCACCCCGACAATTGCAGGCCCGATAAACGAGCTCCCCTTGTCTGTCGCAGCGTAAAGTGCATAGAACGCAGCCTCCATACCAGGAGGAATCAGCAACCCAAAGAAACTCCGACAATACGAGGACAACCCGCCGGAAACGACGCCATGCACGATGGCAAGCGGGTAAATTTCCCATGGCTGCTGCAGTCCGATCACGCCCCATTTCTTGAATAGGGGAATGTATGCAAGCATACCGTAAAGGGGAATGAGCTCGAACAACGCAATGCAGACCATGATGGTGTGGTTGGACTTGAGACCGAAGTACCGGGAAACAATAGGCCACAGGAACGCTCCTGCCATGCCGGACAATGTCGCAGTAATGGAAAGGAGGGCAACCATAGTTGTGCTCATTTTGAGTTCGGTGCGGGCGAACAGGATCGCTGTTCCCGAGACGGTGGCCATTGCGTCTGACAGGAGGAACCACGCCACGAGGAACACAATCACTTCGCGAAGCTTGAGCGCGATTTTGACCGTTTTCCACAGTGACTTCCACGCAAAGGCGACGAGGTGAAGCCAGATGCGCCAGCGCGGTTGGTGGCTACTCGCGCCGGTTGAAGTAGATTCGAGGGGTGGACCGGGACGGTTGCGCAGCCAGCGCCGGCTCACCATGGTGAAGCTGAACCACCAAATGCCGACGAGCAAGAGCACGAAGCGCAAAGGGAGCGTGCCAGAGGCTTTGGAGATCGAAGTTTTGGACAGAGTGAAGAGGAGCAAGATGCTAAGGATTTGGACAAATACTGCTGCGCAGTAGCCCAGACCAACGCCCTTGGAGGAAATCTTGGTGGACAGCTGCAATTCTGGGGAGGAAGTGCCTGTTGCGCCGCCTAAGCCGAGCCCGGTCGGAGGGCGATGGGTTGGTTCGTCCCCGTCAAAGGATGTGCGGGCATGCACGTATTCGGCTTCTGGATCCAGCCGATGCAGTTCGGCGGCAGATTCCTTGTTGCTGTTCTGAATGGATGGGTCACTTGCGACGAGCACTGGTAGGAATGAGTTCAGTACGACAAAGGATGACCCGAGACAGACGACTCCAACGACGACCAAGAGCGCGCCCAGCACGAATACTGGGGGCGCGATGAAAACAAACAGCATGCTTGTTGCTGATCCAATAAATCCAAATGTGACGAGAAGGGTCTTGCGGTTGTTCTCTATATTGCATTCTCAGTATTGCTTTATGAAACAATAGGGCAACAGATCATACCATAGTCTGCCAGTGCGCTGAACGAGATTAGAGTCAACGCCTGCACCAGAACCGCCAGAGAGAAGGTATACATGGCGAAACTGGCCGTGTTGATCTCTAATCCCATCAGTCCAACCACACACTGCTCATTGGTGTCATCGCGGCGGAACATGGCTGGTGAAGATTCCTTGGGCGCGGAGGGCGAGTCGGGACCGACGCACGGCAGATGGCTGCTTTGGAGGAACCCGCGCTCACGGGCCAATTGCTCCAGTGTGAGGGGAAGGAATGAGCCTATACAAGATCTTTAGCATCGCAGATACCGGATTGGATTCAAGGAAGGCATCACACACCTACGCCGCATACCGCAAACACTTCAGCAGCGATACCATAGGCGTACCATCCCCAGATTTCCTGGCGGCTGGTGGGTGTTGTATCCTCGCCGGGATAGCGCGGCGCGCGGGCCTGGCCATCCTCATCCGGAGGAGAGGCCGGCGGAGATGCAAAAGCCATCAGAGGAAGCGGGAATGAAGAGCAGGGGACCAGAGGAACTTCACAGCAGGTCCATCAAGGGAGAAAACACGATCGAAGTCACATTCGGAGGTCTCGGAGACCTGCGGAGATGAGACCAGCCAGTGTTGTGCTGCTGACTCAGCCAGAGAATGTGCACAACTCACACTAATGCACGCTACGTCATGGGATCCACTTGGACTGTTCTTATCAGAGCAACTGATCCGATCGATTGATATCGGCTTGGCTTGCCGGCTTCACATCTTTTCATGTGCCCTCACTAGATTCCATGTCAGGTTGGTATATCCTTGTGCTTGTGCCCATGCCTGATCGTGAAATCTGCTGCCATGCTACATGTTTCTACAACATCGTTGCCTTATTCCGGGCTCTCTTGTTCATCCAGTGAATCATCCTCTCACGGCTTTAGCCCCTTTAAGACGCGGGCCATTATTTCCTGGGCTTGAGAGTATGACTGGCAGACGGCTATTAAATTGGCAAAAGGTAACACTAGACTGTTGCTATTTCTATGGAAATGTCGCTTAGTCTAGTGCAGCCGGCCACGGGCCGGTTCAGGTGCTTTTCCTCGACTGCGTTGAGCCCTTCCCTGTCAACAACACGTCGATTGTTTCTTCCTCATCTTCTACTCCTCTCCTTCTTCTTCCTCTATCACCACCCTCCAGACACGTACTGTCTTTCTAAATATTCCTTGTTTCGAACACTCTCTTTGATCGTACAAAACCTTTCACAAGTGCTTACCACCCGTCGAGGGTTGCTGGCGCCATGTTCTCAGTTTTCCTCCTCTATTTGCAGCTTTTGCTGTTCAAAATTCTGTACTACATCCGCGGCCATGACAAGAACCTTATCACCAAGTCCGCTGCTTTTGCTCACTTATCTGAGCCCAACATGAAGCTCGAGGCTCCGGAGTGCGGGTTGCCCGGATGTAGCCTCCTCGAACATCACACTTATCTCGACCTCGAAAAAGGAGGAAGATTTCCTCACCTTCGCTGGACGATGCCTCGTTCCGGTGAAGCCAAAGAGTTTGTGCTGATTTGTGAGGATCCCGACGTCCCTATCCCGTCTATGGTTTTTGTCCACGGCCTGTTCTTCGAGATTCCACCTACTTGCTTTGTCGCATATGATGACGACGTTGACAAGAATCCTAATATGCCTGGCCGCGTCACCTTTGCTGGTTGGAGATACGTGCCTAACCTGCTGGGCTCTTCCTACATTGGTGCCTCGCCTCCTTACGGCCACGGATACCATCGCTACATCTTCACCATCGTGGCGCTGAGCGAGCCCCTCGACATTGCTCAGCCTGACAAAGCGACCATCTCAGTTATCAAGGAAGCCATGGTTGGCAAAGTGATCGGCTGGGGCGAATGGTTGGGCACCTTTCAGCGCCACACGCCTCGCTAACTCGCAAAGCTGCCCCTTTGCCATGTCTCTTCGGTTTGTCTCTTAATGCGAGTTCTTACTTTCGACACGCCTTTGGTTCACGCCTAGGATTGATTACGGACAGCTCGTTGGGATGAGATCTGGATAGGATGTGGCGGATGCATTGGCCTTCCTCGGACTGGTCTTCCTTGGAGTGGTCTTCTCTGAACTGGTCTTGTGACTGGTCCTCGTGTGTTTTTTCCCTTTCCGATTCTGTTATTGACTTGATTTTGTGTCGCGACTCGTCGTCGTGTGTTGTTTTTTCCTCCTTCTCTAGTTATGTTCTCGACTTCATGTTTCTCGCGACTGATCACTCGTATGTTATTTTGTCTTACTTCATATGATGCTGGTCTTAGTACCAGTTCAATGATCGGATTGAGCTAACGCGTCGAAACCCAATCTAATTTATCAACTTGCCTGGTCTCACATAGTATATAGGGTACGCCTTGTCCTCGCCCATCGACCCTCGTCGTCGTCCTTCACGCCCCTAGACGAATCAGTATTAGCCACTACCGCGAGCCTAGAACGTATAAACGACCCACCAGAGCTATCCTCAACCTGCTTCATAAACACCGCGAACCTCTGCATGGTGGCCTCAACCGACGACTCACACGCCCGTAGCGTTGCGGGGCCCGAACATCGTCCCCCTCCAACCGCCTCTTTCCCCAACGACACGAATATCTTTTGCAGTGTTTCCAACACTTCCAAGATTTTCATTAAGTTCCTCCCCAGTAGCGTTCTTACCATCATCAGCGATTCCTTTTCGTCCAGCTCTATCTGTCCCAACACTGTCTTACTCCTCATACAGATGAACTGCGACAACGGCTCCTCGAACGCCAACATTGCCGGATCGAACAGCATGTTCCCCCTCGTAATGTTATATGCTATGCATACTGCTTCAAACAGGGAGAGACATTGCTCTGCTAATGCTGGTAGCATCACATATGATGAGTGTGGGCTTTTCCGACAATCTTGGCATTGGAGTACATCCTTGCCGTGTGTGTATACCCTTTGGACAATGTCAAGGACTGTGCCGAGTTCAACAACGGGTTGGACAGTACGGAGCTCAGTAATTATCTGAATCCCGTTGATAGAGCAGGGGCAGTTGGTAGTGGACGGTTCCATTATGCTTCCGTGCTGGGGCATTTGGCACTCCGTTGGCCTTGCTGGCGTGGCTTTCTTGTCGATGGTGAGTCTTATCCTCGCTTCAAATGCTGTGTGATGGAGGGCTTGGGATATGACTCAATCTAGCTTCATGCTTGCCTTCACGTGTCGTTCCATTCAAGTACAACCTCGGTGGGTGTGATTCATGGCAGCCTCACATTTCCGATTAACCTTGAAGGATTTGGCTTTGTTGGTCCAGAATATCTGGACAGCCTGTTCGTCGTGGAACATGTTGTCATTCGACCCGCCGTGGGTTGCACAGATATCGTTGTGACCGGCAGGCTGGTCGACGTATAGCAATGTGGTTTGAATGAACGCGAGAAGCAGATCTTCGCTTTAGCAATAAATTGAAGCCAGTACTGATTGTATTCTGATTTTAGGAGAGACGGGACATCAGAAGGGGGCTATAGGTCAGAATGGTTTTTGAAGAACATGAGTATTTGAATCAAACTAATCACTACAGAGTTGCTGAACTATTAACGGCATTCTTATTGCCTACACCCTGGTCATCCTCTTCATCTGCAGCATGACCTCCTCTAATCTCCTCTCAGTCTCTCTAGTCAATGATATGCGAGCCGATGACTCCTGCGTATAGAGATTTATTCTTTTGACCGTCGACAACAGATCTGATAACTGGCTGTACAAGATCTGCAGGATACAAAAGAATTTGTCACCAGACTGGACGCAGAACTTGCCGACAACCAATGGACACGCATCAATTTGACTCCTGAAATGCAGTCCACCACTCCGATACCGTCTTGCCATATTTCCTGGAACATCTTGCTTGCAGTCCGGCAGCATATGCTCATGGTACCCGTTGTACAGGAGTCTCTGCGTATGCCCGGCCTCCCCGGTCGTTATGGCCTCTAAATTAGTCATTAGACTGTCGATATTAACAACGACGACCATGAGTATATCCTTTTTCGTGATGCAGCAGACGCAACATTTGAGAATTGTGTCGGATACATTCAGCAGCATACGCTGACAATGAAGAATATGGTCAATCGACATATACGGTCCCATTCGTATCGCGATCGACATCTGCCTGAACGATTCCTGGATCGTGTACTCATGACACTGAAATTGATATGCGTGTGGTGCTAGCACGGCTGATACGGGCATCATCTCACCCGCAGGGAGGCCATACAGGTATGGCCTCTTTGTCATCTTAGCTTGAGCAAATGCATTTGTCTCAGTGGCTGTCTGTCTGGTCGGGAAATTATCCATGGCCGAGAACGGCAACGACCAAGCCAGCGGATCCTCTTTCAAATATTTTGCCTCCGACGGAGCATCCATGATGCCAATATTATTATCCAAGGTCGTGGGTGTGATGAATGGTGTATCCTGAATAAAACCTCTCGAAATATGCTTCGGGTCTACTGGAGTACGACCGCCAGTACTTTCAGGCTTGACACTGCTCACAATTGAATCCAGGAGTAAACCTTCCGGCGCGAGATCGACCGGCGGGTTGGCAATGAACTCTTGCACCCAGCTATCGGAGAATAAGTCGAAGCCACTATCCGCGACTGTTTCAATCAACATCACACAGCTATATAGTAACAGGCACAAGAGCGACACTTACATAGAGCCGTGGGAGTAGCCCCATCCAAGAAGCAATCACCCGGTAAACTAGATACCGGATCTATCGCACCAACAGGATCCAAGACACTCTGACTCCCACCTGCCTTGTCCAAGAGCAGGAGAGTATCATCCAACACTGTCTCTTGCTCATCCTCCAGCTTCATCCTTCTCTTTCTGCTGTTGCTGCTGCTGTTATTATTGCCGTGACTGTTCCTGGAACAATTCCGCGCTCGCGAGTCTTGCTTCCTAGGCCCGTCTAGAAACTCACGATCTCGACGATAATCGCTCTCATCGTCGGCATCTTTCTTCTTCGCTGGTCGCCCTAAGCGTCGCGATATACTGTAGACACAGTCGATGTTGTGCTTCTGACACCGTCGACAGGCTGGCTTCTCATGACTGCAGCGGATCTTGGCTTGTTGGCAGGCATTGCAGGTGGAGCGGACTTTGACGCTTTTGGGAAGGGGGTGGGGATGGTCATTCATCTTGAATAGACGTAGGTAGCTTGCCTGAATAGACTGAAACCCAGTAGATTGCAGCACTAAGGCAGACGAATAAACACATTCCAATTCCCTCCGGGGGTACACTACTATTTGTACTATATAAATAGTATACAGCACCCAGTACTACGAATCACAGCAAACCCAACCCAGCACAGTATAAACTCCATAGACAGTATAGACCGCCACGCCATGCCACGCCACGCCACGCCATGCACACGCCCTACCACACAGCAACAAGTTCCCACACAGTAAGCCACCCGTTCGGACGGACGGGTGATAGTCGGTAAGGTTACATGGAGAGGAATCTTCACGTTCCACGCAACCTACTACTACCACACATAGTCTACTACCCACATCTACCTCCTATTTCTACCGCTAAGGCTGAGCCTGGAGCAGTTTACTGTCTGCCCAGGAATCCAGAATCTGAGTTCCTTGTCCTACCTCCTTAGTATCCTCTGCGTGATGGTGATTGGAGAGACATGCTTCTCCGACGGCTGGCTTTGTCTGCACTGAATTGAACTAGAGTGTGCAGCGGTGTAGTATATGCTTGTCATAAGTCCTGTTCAGCTTTGGCCGCTGCTGATGATTGGACATGGCCGAATGAGGCAGGTCTACCCCCTTGTGTTACGTGGGTGGCTTACAGATATGGTAGATGGTTCGTGCGTTTTGATTCATTGACAAGAAAGAAAGAAGGTTTAACCATACCCCTTGTTGGGTCGGTTGGGTTTAGGTTATAGTTAGTGCTAGATGGGCTTGGGCCTGGACCTGGCTTTCTTCTTGGTCATTGCTCATCGCTGGTGTGATGCCTGTGTGGGGGAGTCGGTGGCTGTATGTGTAGGTGTAGTAGCAGAAATACTGCTACTGCTGCTGCTCCTGCTGCTAATATCACGTTCAACGCACCTCATCGAAGTCGTCAGAGCCATACTCATACTCCTAGACGTAGCCACCCCCCTCCCTCGATCCCACTCCCAGTAGGCAAAGAAACCTTATTCCTAACATAAAACCGATCCCCTGCTACGGGCGGCGCCCCCATCCCTGCTGCATCTGCAAATAGTTTCATATCGAATCTTGCTCGTGCCTCCACTCTGGATGGGAATATATGCTCGAAACAAAGCATTCGGGAAATATGTATTCGGGTGGTTGGGTGTACAGGAGGTAGAGGTATCGGTGGTGGCAGTTTGGCGGGGGTTTGGGGGGCGATGTTAGGTTGCTCGTTTTCTGCGTGGATTGTGTGGGTTGGGGAAGAGTGTACTGCTGCTGTTGTTGTTGGAGGAGATCAGGTCGGGCTGGTACCAGTGGAGGATGACGGTTGCTGTGGTCCGGTTGTAGAGACGTCGAGGTCGGGGAAGAGGATGATGTAGGCTTGGTGTTGGGGGAGGTTGATGGTGCTGAGGATTGGGAGGGGTTTCTTGTCTATCATCCGTTATATTAGGTAAATGTGTCAGACGAGGGGGGGTTATAGGGAGAGTGTATACCTGGTATTTGGAGAGTGTCGCTGGGGAGGATTCACGGGGTGTTGGGATAGTGGAGATGGAGGGTCTGACGATAGTGTGAAGGGGATTGATGGAGAGAACTATGCGGGATAGAATGTATGTGGGCTCCTGAATGGTGGTCTTTATAATTTCTATCATCGTAGGCTTTAGTGTAACAGGACGGTGAATATTGTTGACCGGTAAATATTGCAATTCAGTCTCACTATCATGATTCTGCTACCGGTCTATATCTGTCATCTGCACATCTCCATGCCATCCTCTTCACATACACCCACCCCAACAGCGGACACACTACTTCCCCTACCATTCCTCCCACATTCTCGTATATCTATCCAAGTGTACTATGGCTGGATGCACTAGTCCAGTTGCCGCTGCTCCCAGAATGCAACGCACCAGGGTATTCGCTGCCGTGGCCGTGGCGGGCGTAGCGTAGTACAAATCTACAGTTAAGATGATCAGTATAATGTAGGCAACTGTAATGGAGAAACTTGTGGCGAAAATGAGGACAAGAGCGTGGGAGAAAATCGGCATGGCTAGGCTCATGAGCATGGCATAGCTTAGTATGGACAAGGCTGCGAGAAGCTATAATGTCAGTCAACAGCATCGTCTTGGGGATGTCAAGGAACGAGGGGTAATACCGTCAGAGAAAGACAAATTTGGTTCGGGCACGCTCGATTAGAAATGCCCCGAGTTGGTCTGCTTGAGGGATCGGGGACTCGAACTGTCCCTGTAGACGCCGGTAGTTCCAGTCAAGTAGGAGTTCGCTGATAGTTGTGCTAAGAAGGTATCATACGCCAGCAGGTACAAAGACCAGCCCAATGGCGAGGTCGTTCGAACGGTATGTCAGATGGGATAAAATCCCGGCGGTGACAGCGTACTAGCTAGCGAAGAGAAGGCCGCTGTATAGCAAGACAAGCCCGGTGGAGTGGTGCAAGAGGAGACGTAGCGTGGAAAATGGGTTAGAAAGCGTGATCCTGGGAGATTCCTGGCCCTCTGTACATGTAGTCGCAGATGCATATGCCATGTCAATACCATGCCAGGCCAGATTGAGTTCAGCCCTGTGGGGGAAGGGAGCCATCACCTACGATATTGCGACAAGTTGCCGGAAAGAAGAGGAAGTGAGGGACAAAAGATACCCCAGATGTTATTGAAAGAAACCAAAATTTAGCCTTTCAGCCGGGTTGCTGGCTTAGAAGTCCCCCAAGAAGGGGTCCAATAGATGGAACGAGCATGATCCCCAGAGATGTGATGTTCATATAAGGGCCGCGCTCGGCGGAAGTTAAAACGTCTGCAGCCACAGCAGAAGCGAGCGAGACCTTGACATAGCTGGCTCGATCAGTGCGACTGGTAATGAAGAGGCAAGTACGGCAGATAAAATGATGAGCCGTCTCTGGCGAACTGTGAAGACACAGTATGGCTTCTTTGCTGGCTGGTCAGCCGGCAGGGCAGTAGCTTCGGTGGCAGGCTGGCTAGCTGCCATGAGAGTTGCTTGACCTTGCTGACTGTTTGACATCATCCTCGACTCTATTACCGAATTCATACAAATCCAGCCAAGAATACACTACTTCTAAATCAATATTGCATGCTCGTGAAAGTCATAAATTGCTCATCACCTAATGTAGCATCCAACCATACTTACATCCCCGGCAGTACTCCTCCCTCTGCCTCCCCCGTGTAGATGTGGGATGGCCGCAACAACTTGCCGCGCATCACTGTAGACTGTTAGAAAGTCCCGATATCCTACCGTCACATCACTGCTTACACATGTACTCCCGCCAATGCGTCATAATTCCCATGATCCGCTGGGCCAACATAGCCATTGAGATGATCTTCGGGTAGAAGCCATTACTCGTGTCAGCATCTGGTCCAATCGAGCAATGTCGTTCTTCGGGCGCCGTACATGGCTGTAAAGACAAAATTTCCGGAAAAGTCACCGTTCACGTACAGCCCCTGCTCTTTGAAGTAGGCATCAGTTGGACAAACTCTCGCTCGGCTAGTTTGAGGGGATTGTCGGCAGACAAATCCAGATTCTTCAGTATGGATTGGATTGGCGGCACTCGCGGATTGATGCCTTTGTACGAGCGATGGCCATACTCAAACACCTTCACGCGTCCCTGCTTCACTCTCTGGCTATATCCTGGTATATTCCCGGATTTCCAAGATCTCTCAAAGTTCTCTTGGCAGATTCTGTGGCACCGAAATGCAGCCGTCCCCACGCCGAGCCTATGGCGGTGATCAAAGAGAAGATAGGATCCGTCAAGGATTATGGTGTGGCCAGGGCAGAGAAGACTGTAAATGCCATTCCGTGGTCCGAGTTGAGAATATCAAACTGCCGGAAGCAGGACAGCTTGACACGACCTGGCCGACCTGTCCTTGGGACAAGTCCAGCCATCACAAAAGACTTTTCATAGTATGATCTCCCCCTCGTCGGCGGCGTAAACCGTAGACCCTTCCGGTGACTATTCGCGAGGCCAGATACCACAGCATAGGCTGCCACAGTTCGGATCATTACACGGTCGGTATCTTCAGGACTTTTTCGAAACATATTAGCATCATGCGATGCCGTAATCATGTCAGGGTGGCTGGCTAGACAAGCAGAAATGCCAGCAACTATGAGCGGCAGCGGCGACGAGGTGCTTCCAGACAGCCAATCCGTTAGCAATGGCAGGCGCAGATCACATTTACTTACGGATGGGTCCAAACCGTTCTCTGCACATCATCTGGCACGGCTAGCATGGCTTCTGTCAATTTGTGGCTCAAACCATCCATGTGCGGCATCGTCGGATAAGACCCCGAAACAAGGCGATGCAGTACGTCCTCGAGGTCGATTTCACTGAGTTACTCCAAACTGTGGCCGCCGAAAAGAAGCAAGCTCCTTTCAAGATCCCTAGAATAGTCAGATTGTTCCGCCACTGCAGTGGACCTCGCACGAGAAACTTATGGCCGTCTCCACAACAGTAGTGTTTCTCACCCCAGGTCATGTACCCTGAGGCCACCCGCGACCTGATCTGCGCGGTCGGTTCCCGTTCCTGTGGCTCTGATCTTCGTGAAGTCCACGGCTGAGACCGCCTTTCTTCGAATTGGGATCTCATATTGCGCATCGGTGTGCGTGTCTTTGACATAAGTATCTCGGAGGACAGTGGATTGACGATGTTCCGTAGCGGGTTAGCTAGTTGGGCTCTGTTGTATAGATGCACCGCAATGTAGGCGATACCATCATTCAATTTAAGATCACCTAAGACTGCGGCATAATGTCCCGGTGATTAGCGGATGTCCACAGTAGCAGAGTGTTTCGGATTTCCAAGACTTTCGATTGTGTTGCTTGACAATGTTGCTTCCCAAGTATCGACCGTCAGCAAAATCCCAAAATTTCGTGCTGCTTACTCGGCTTCTTGCGGAGTAAATTTCTCGCGTGTATGGCAATTAGCTATGGTGTCACCATGTTCAATCCGCCGTGGCATGTCTTTTCCAATCGCCGCTGAACACTGCCTCTTGACATCGGTAGCCATATCTGACCCTCTACATGCCTCTCGGCGATCAAAAAATATTGGTCAAAATGAGTAATATTCCAAGAAACGATAGTTGATTCAGGTGAATACATCATTAACTACATTGCATAATATTCGTCATATCATAGCATGCCTTGTGAACCCTCCATTCGGTGTTTGCTTACTCAGGCATATGCTTGAAAGGCTTAGCCAGGTGCTCCTGGCAGAAAGGAAGCTTGCCAACGGTCCAGATCTCGGTGTCCTAGAAGGGATTCAGATCAGCATGGGGCCTATTCCACGGGATCGCAGCACATACTGGCTTGAGGGCTTTCTTGATCTCCGTGTCCAAAGTACCAGCTTTCAGAGCGATAATTTCTGGGGCCGCGTCGGGATCGTGCGCGATGGGAGAGCCACATTCCGAACAGAATAGACGGTGCACCGCATTGCCGGAGGATCCCGTTCCAGACCACTTCTTGAGAGGTCCATTGACAGTCAGTTTGTCCTTGGGGACAACAGCAACTAGAGCTGTTGGGAAGGTTAGTAACCATGGTACGGCCATGCTTAGTTCGAACCGTGGGGGTAAGCCAAGGAGAGCACCTACAGTAGGTTGACCCGCTCTGACGCTGGCAGTCGTCACAATGATCGTACCCCACGAGGAGGGGTGCATCAATGTCCACGGTGTAAGTGACAGCCTTGCACAGGCAGTGGCCGGACAAAGGCATTCTGACAATAATTGGACGGGGAATCTGGAGGGTGTTGGAGGATGCTGATTGGAGAAGGGGAGACTGAAGGCGACCAAGGTGCTCACGAGATGAGGACCCTCGAGAAAAGTGGAAGACGAGGCGGCGTATTTATAGCTCCCATCTTGCCCCATCCACAATGTGTTGAGATGATTGTCACCCAAGGATCCGGATGGGCGATAGAGAGGAAGAAGCCGTTCTCGTTGACGACATGGCTGGATGGCTGGAATTGGCGCTGGCCGCGACCGTCTGAACAATTTGTCATGGCCTGAAGAGGGGGGCGCCTTTGCGTCACGGGACGAACTCTGCTTCGTTCTTCTCCTGCTCGTCACCGCGCCAATTCCCCACTCCTCGTCCCTCGATGCGATGCACGGTTTCCTTCTTTGTTGCGCCTCAAAGAAACTTCTGGTCTTGGCCCCTTGCTTACTTCTCGGACTCCATTATCAGCTGGCTCATCTCTCAACAGGTTTCGCGGCTGTTTGTGCGGTAAATGCGGAGTTATGTCGGGAACCATTCGCTCCCTCACTGCACTGCCCTGCACTCTCACCAATCATCCTCCTGCTGCCCCATATCAATCAGGATGCTGATCGCGCACTTGACATGCCGCCATCCTGAAATGGTGTGGGCGGTTGTTCCAATAGACGTGTCGGATCTCGTCCATAAACCATGTTGACCGGATAAGGTGCAGTGGTGGTCCCTCTTTCCATCCTACTCTTTCCGGACAAAGATTTGTCACGCTCTACCCCGGAGATGACCGGCAAGGTGCACTGAGTTAGTCCATAATCGTGGATATTTGAGATTCCTGGTCCCGGATGGGCGCACTGGCCGCCGATCGCTGGCCGACAGCTCCGCGACACGCGGGTCGGCGGGGGAACTTGTTGAGGTCACCTCAAAGCCCGTGAACTATCCGGTCAACCGAGCTAAAGACGAAGTCCTGCGCGTTACTCCACACAATACGTGAGCTCCGAGGCATATTGTTTGTGTTTGTGTCGGGAAAAAGCAATTATTTGCTCACCGATTTCCAAAAAATTGGGCGAATGTTAGATCTGCGCGGGGTATCCCTGTTCAACATCTCGAGTCAGGTATCCGGCACAATCTTCAGGAGGCTTGATACATAAGCAAACGCCATGTTTGATCTACGAGTCGACCTATCATCTTCTTGATTTGAAATATTGTCCTCTGGAGTACCACTATGGAGCTGCTCGGTCTTTGGACATGGAGAGCTTGTACACCATACATCGTTGCCGAGCACAAACACCTGCAATTGCGTTGGACATCGTTATCCTTAGGTTTGCTCGGTCCTAATGGCCTAGACCGCCATTCGGCATATTCTGCTTACTCCTGGGTTTTGGCGCTAAGTGCAGCCAGATGCGCGATAATGTCAAAGGATGGCCCCCGATCAGACCTGGCAGAGCATGCCTGACAATGCCACTGCATCATCGTAGTTGGTTTGAGGCAGAGCTGCGGTTGTGACAGCTACAGTTCACGTTCAACTCACTGCTCTCATGCAGTCTACAAGATGAAAGAACCAATTGGCATCGCTGCGGAGAAATAACCTTTCTAGGTAGGAATTTATGCATTTCATCACTCTGCATATGCAAAGCCACGCAGAACCAAGCATCTCAGCCCGATTATTGCGTTCATAGTCCAAAATCTTAGAATACAGTGTGCATAATGAGCGAAAGGCATACAAGGTATGAGATTGGAAAAGACGAATCAGCAAAAGTGATCGATGATCACACCTGGAATCAGTAAATATTAAACATGACAACCTATCAATGGCTTTCCAAACAACATCTGTAATCAGTTGTCGTAAGCTACCTACAAAAAAAGAAATATCCCTTTGGGAGGCTTGAGCTCGTAACATTAACATCGCTGTCCGTGAAACTACTACATGCCAAGACTACTAAGCGAGACAAATAGATACGCCTACACCGTAAATGTGATGATATCTTATATAATTCACCGAGGACAGGAGCCAAATTTAGCCGTCTCTCCTCGCTTCCAAGAGCGATAATAATTTAGTTACTATCTTATGCCCGAATGTACAATTATACATCGCTTATCTCGAATAGAGTAACATATAAGCTTATTCTTGAAATGTATAAATATAAGCGATAGCGAATATGTTCTGAAACAGTCATAATACGTACTGATGGCTTTTTATGACCAATGGGCAATTTGAATGGGATAGAATATAGGCTCACTATGGCCTTGTCAGACTTGAAACCCATGATTGTAGACGAATCAGTCCTGATAAGCATGTTCAATTTTATCAGCAGCACTCTAGGCCAATTGTTAGCTGTAGTCCAGACCAGACAGGGACGCTCAGGTCCATCCATCTACTCTCACTTACCTGCATCTGTGCCGCAATCCCACCCCGTGGGTTTTGTCCGCCATAGATCGTCGATTCAGCATGTTGAGCCTCCCTCGCATCATCCTTCGTAATGTACACAGGAGCCTCTCCCGGTACAGCAGGGACTCCAAGGGCCTCATTGCGATCGGCTATAGATTGGACTTGCGCGGAGACGGACCCGGGACCGGGTGGCTTGTTGAAGGCGCGGCCCTGCATCAGACATGAGAATTAAATCTCTTGGTTTATCTCAGAGAGAAGTAAAACCATGATGTCCTTACCTCAGCCGCGTGAAGCTCCCGAGCATCATCCTGTGTTATGTGGCTCTGTGGCTTTCGCGATAAAGCCTCCAATTTCGCGTCGGAATTCATCTGCTTCATGGCCAGGCTTTGTGCTGTTGCTGTTTGCTTGGGTCAATACAATGCATCAATGCCTAAAAGTAGTATGAACGCACCTGCTGTTCCACCTCTAATGGGCCCACCACCGCTCAATTCGCTCTCGGTCTGGGCCAGAGCAGAGACATCCCCTGGGTCAATGCGCTGGCCGCTTTCCACGACGCGCTTCAATTCAGGGATATCTGGAATTTCAGAGGACATGATGTACTGATGAATGTGGGATTTTCTGTCTCAATAAGGGATTTTCATGTTGTTTGATGTTTATATGTCGGATCGACGCGTTGTGCCAGCGGTGATGTCACGGTGAGTAAATCGAGCATTGTGCCCGCCTCATCCCCTTTCGCCACTCCCGGGCACGTCAGGTTCAGGACAAGATCCTGTATTACTAGCGAGCAGAAGTATTAGTATAATGGCAAGAGTGAGGTAGCGACACCTCTATCATGGTCTCTGCATCCGGAGTTCAGCTCGAGGTCTACAGGTCGGCTTTCCAAATACCCATCTACTGACAACTAAAGGGCACCCATGAGACGGCTCCATACAGCGTACGATGCTAGTTGGCTTATAATATTACTGATATCGTGGCTACTACCATATAATCTGTTGGGTCCTTTGTCACCACTCCGTCTTCACATGGCTCTACAGACAGACTTTGCAATTATTACACATCCATTACTGATCCACATCAGCCACTTTACAAACCGGTCATTGCGCCTCGAATACCATGGACATTTGCGATGGCTACTTGGTGAAATGACAGATTAAAGCAACCTCTGTCACGAATCCAACGGTGGGGAGCAATTCCACATCGAGACACCTTCATGAACGTCAGTATACGTTTACGAAGACTATCTGCCCCACGGGCACCCAAGTGCTTGGATTACAACGGTCCCGAAGGACACGCAAGCAACTTAACAAGTGTCATGTCACATCACTCAATGTAGCAGCAAGTTTCCGGTGCACTTGTGGCACTGTAACATCATAGTTCGCCAAGAGTGTGGTCTGATATAGAAGCTAAGTCTGGATACTTGGCCGGCAACTTGCAGATCTTCAATGAAAGATAGCTACCCATGCGTCCCGATCTATAATCGTGTTACTTAGGGGGTTGCAGTGCTGTATCAACGACGTGGTACGCTACATATGCGCTTGGCCGCATCAGCAACCATAGGGGTTGGAAGGAAAAGGGAGGCAGATTGTGTTACTGCTGATGGTGGTTCACACATGTGGCCTTCTGATGACATCATCTCAAGTCGGCAGTTGATCCAAGCCACTGGGACTAGTCTCTTTACATGAGTCTTGTAGCCTAATGTTGGTGCAAGCCTATAGGAGCTATGGTAGTTGGGATATCCTTTCCTTGTTAAGGGAAAATGTCCTAGCAGTTATACCATCTGCGTGGAGGGGCGCATATGCGTGAGATTGTAGCATCGCGAGAGTTTCCAGTCTTGCAGCCTCATAGCATGTACTAGTAATTATCCAGGTTCTCACCAATAGTGAAGACTTGAGTATGGTACTCGCTATTAAGTAGCGGTAGAATCAAGATATGCATACACTGTTTGGTTATAACTTAAAAGAATCACTGTCGCTAAAATATATATATTGCCTCAATCGCCTCATGGATCTATCAATGATTCTGCTCTTCTTATAATCTTTCAAAGCACAGACTAGGGAATATATCCCCATCTATATCTTCCTCTTCTTTTTAAAGTACTGCTCAATTTAAGTTTGAGTTGCAGGTGAAACAATAAATTGTCCTAGAATCACAGCGATAGCGATAAGCCACAAAGCCGGTACCGGGATATGGTCCAATGATATTGCGCCTTTTTCCGAAGTCCCGTGATTCCAGAGGCCGGTTCCGGCAAAACAAGGCTTGATGACCAAGAAGTTCCCAATGGATGTATTTGGAGATCTCTAGGCAGCAAGAATCAGCTTGGCTTGTAGTTTGACTGGTCATGGATAGGCCCATCATTTTCAATTTTATTCACTAAAGCATCTCTCTGTCGAGTGTGGATACCTCCGTATATATTTTTGTCAGGTTATCACGCGACGGAGTCTTCAACATTACTAACTGTCATGTTCCTTGGCGGCTCGGCCCCTACTTTTGTCTAAGTACTCTTAGTAAGAGTTGATATAGTTAGTTCTAGTATTGACAAATTTCCGTCATATCTTGGTTTTGTATTAACTTCGTCAGGTAGGCTGTTACATTCCAACACTTCCGACTTCTTAAGACATTGTATCGGAGATTAGAATGGAGTTATCTCCGCGCGCTGCTCTGGAGCCGAATCTTCGCCGCCGGCGTCTCCAACGTTCATCATCGCAACAACAGCAGCATGAGCCACCGGATCATAGAGCTCGAGTCCGCATACAAGATGCATCGCGTGAAATGGCATCTGGCGAGCGAACGTAAGTAGTTATCGCTATGTATAGTGACACGAATGCTAGATTCGCCTGCCCAAATGCATAACCAGTACTAACATGGATGGATAATAGACCTTCACCATCGGTGAAACGAGGTAAAAAGGCCTGCACTGAGTGTAGGCAGCAGAAGGTATGGAACATGAAAGCATGAGCCTCTTTCTGATGATAACGGAAATGGGATTTGGTATCTATCAATGGCTATTTCTAACCGAATAACAGGCAAAATGTGACGCCTACTTGAATCCCAGTCAGGCATGCTCGCGTTGTTCAAAGCTGAACATTCAATGTATTATATCGGATCCCTTTCGCCGGGAGCACAAACGCAAGTATGTTGGCTCTATATTTGAAATGATTGACAGGCGATAAATTGTGACCAATTCACAACAGGCGACTGTCCGAGCTCGAGCAAGAGACCGACGAGCTGCGACGAAGACTGCGATATGCACAACCCGATCCATCTCGACCCTCGCCTATCGCGATGCTAACGGCTGCGGCTGAGATGGGAGTTAATTCCGCAGCTGTTGAGGGCGACTTGGCTTTCCATACTCAGTCACATACACCCCCGGTTGAGGATTCGCAACACGTTTTACCTTCTCCTGGACTAGGACCGCCATTACCGGGACCGGGGATGATTTCAGGTGTACGCGCCCCCGATGCGACGGAGCCCCGCTCACTGAACAACATCTACCTGACCGGAAGTGAGATAGACGAGCTCTTCCAGATGTGAGTATATTTTTGCCCCGAAAATATCGTTTTGGGCGTTCTGATGCGGAACAGCTTCTTCCAACAATATGCTCCATTCCTTCCAATTCTTGACCCGGAAACCACTCCAAATGTGTACTATACGCATTCACCGTTTCTATTTTGGTCTATAGTCGGCATTGCGTCCCGAACCTATCCCAAAAACCCAACTCTGCTAACTGCTCTTGCGCGCAATATAAACGAAATGGCCCTACTCTCTATCATATCAGGGAGCTCAGCCTGGCACTGCATCCAGGGGCTGCTGCTAGTTCTGACATGGCCATTCCCGAAAGATGCCACTATGGCGGACGTGACGTTCCCATTAAGCGGCATGCTTCTCCATATTGCCATGCAGAATGGTTTACACATTCCCATGTCCAGTCATGAATTTTCCAAGAGAAAGAGGCTCCCTGCCCCATCAGAAGCGGAAATGATCAGACGGTCAGAGCTCTGGGCTCATTGTGTTATCGTCTATCAGCGGTACGTGCTTCGCCCCGGTATTTGGTTTCTTCCTGCTAACTGGTACAGTACGTGTGTGATAAAGGGACAACCCCCTCGCTCTCTAGTAAACCTGGAACTGGATGGGGACCTGAAACATTCGTTGTTCCAGACGATCTCTCCATCGCTAGTGCTTGAACTGAAGTGCGAGGATCTGAAAACTCGGTGTAGTACAGCAGTACTGGAGCTCGGAGTCCGGAACATATCCTCTGAACAAGAGAGATCGCTCGATATACTCTTACGGGCGTATGATGACCAAGCAGTTGATCTGGAGGTGCAGGCGTTCTCAGGTAAGCCCTTTTATCTTCGCATGAGTAATCATATAATCTAATACAGATTAGCGTACGACAGGTTTGCTACGAGCATGTGCCGTCTGAGTATCCAAATCTTCCACCTGTTCCGAAATCCCAGTTCATTCTCATCAGGCTGTCTGGCAACTCTGACGACTGCCGCATGTGACACTATTAGCAGCATACATAGTCTGGGACAAAGCATGGCCGGTTATGCTACTTCTCCCATCCAGATGAATTATGCGTTGCTTCTAGCATCCTCAGCCCTCCTACGGGTCCTGAAAGGCCCCCAATGGGCTACCATGGATGTTGAAAAAGCCAAGGCATCTTATTTCACTGCAATTAACCTGGCCAAGCAAATGTCAGTTTACAACTTCGATATCGCGGCCAAGACTGTCATGGTATTAAGCCAACTATGGAATAGCACCAAAGCGTTCCGGAAGGCAGATGGGAGTGAATACCTCGCTCTTCGGATCCGGAGCCGGTTGGTCGTCAGTCCTGTTATCGATACGGTGTGGTGGTGGCGAGAGGAGTTCGACCCCCAGTTCTATAGCACGGTCACTTCCCAAAGCAATGCCCCGGAAGGTACGGCCATGCATCCTGGTAGATACGCACGGTTACTGACGCAACTTTCATATACGATAGGAGCCGATGCAAACCGCGACAATCTAGCTATTTCAGGGAACGTGTCTGGAGGCTCTACGGATCGGCCAGATATCTCGTATTTTGACGAGCAATTCCAGGCGGACTTCGAATGGGCATTAACGGATGAGTTTCTCTTCGCTCCCACCGAACCGTACGGACCGCTGTAAGTCACCAATCTGTTTGCGAGATGCGAAAAATCAGGGTGGAAGTCCATGATGGCAAAGTCCGAACTACAAAACAAGAATTCAATCCTCGACGCAAGACCATCATTCGATCGGCTTACATGGGCGGAGAGACGAGCAGTCTATCGCGTGACTCCGATAGCCAACATGAACCACCAATCATCAAAGGGGAAAGAGAGGGGGGGCGACAGGAAACGCCAGATCATGGGATGGAGAAGCATAAGGTTCAAGCCAGCCGGCCGACCCAACGGAGCCCCGTTGGCGCAGGGAGCTAAAGCAAACCTGGCATATGCAGTTGACCTACTGGACGTCTCAGTGCCTGGTGGTCGCATATTGGTGTGCATGCCCCTGTACTCATGGCTGAAATAGGCGTTTTGTCCGGCTAAACCGTAAGCACACTATGTGTCCCTGTCTTGGATAATATTTCTTTATCTACCTCGTATCCATTAGACGCGGTACCCACCCCAGATCGGGGCTTCTAGTCTAGCCAGCAAACGGGCTAGATTGGAGATGTAGCGCAACGTTGACACCAACTCATCTAAGTGGTTCATGGCGAGTCCAGGATGCATGGGTTAGCTGGCCCTGGTGTTCAATCTAATCTTGTTGCCTTCGAGATCACTCTGGCCCCTCGCGTTATCGGCTGATAGGGCAATCTTCATGCTACATGCCAAGGAGTCAGCACTCCATTCAGCCATCCGGTGGCTCTTCAGTGGCTGCGCCTATCTTTTCTTCTCGGCAAAAGTAGGCTCGCTTAGAGGGAAAGTATCAAGAGGCGTTCGAACTATGGAGTGCACCGGCACGTAGAAGAGGGAGGGGTG